ATACAAGCCCTATTCCGAGTTCAGTATATATTACTAGGTTATATATCTCGTAATAGTACTAGCTATTATTATTAATATAGACCTATATCCTATTATATCAGTTCTTAGCTATAATTTCCTATTCCTCGCCTACCTCTAGTAGCACGCTAGTATTAAGAATAATAGTATTCTAGAGTAGCAGGTACTATATAAAAGTTATTAATCCTTCCTAGCTACTAGCTATTCTTTATCTAATACGCTTATAATCCCGGTAGACTACTTCGTACTTTACCCCCTATAGTAGACCCCCTAAGCTAATAAGGCCTAGTTCTTAATAAGTAACCCCGGTAGCTATATTAGTTTAGTAGCAAGTGTTATAGCTAACCTAATATAAGCTCTTTTCTCTTTAAGTAACTTCCTAAGTTTCACCTACTCTTAGTCCTAAGAGTTCAGGTTAAGGTAGCCTTAGTTCTAGAGTCTAATCGGGTTCCTAGGCCTCCTTCTCGCTATCACTTAATATTAGCTCTATATTATTATCTAGCCTAGAGCTATTATTATCTCGATATATATAGTCCTTAGGGGGCGTGCTAATAATAGTTTACTCGAGCTAATCTATAACACTTACGGAATCTCGCTTACTATTATTAGAATCGCTTAACTAGGTATAGATATAATTCTCCTTGAGTTCGTCTATAGTTATATATTAATATATCGCGGTAAGTTATCGTATTAGTTTATTATAAGAGCCACGTCCTATTATATTAGTATATTTCTTATTTATCTACGACTTCTTTTATTAATAAGAGCTAGCTATATAACTAGGGAGGCTACACTCGAAGTATAGCTTCTTTTCTTATTACTCGCTTATAACTTTCTTAGATAGCCCGCTATTACACGGCTTTCCTTAATAACTTAGTTTCCGGAATATCGTATTAAGTTCTATTTCCCGAGGGTAGAATAGTTTCTTATTATTACTCCCTCTTCCTTAGTATATATACGTTCCGGAGTAGTATTAGCTTTTCTTCTTAAGTACTCTCTTGTAGTTTTAGTTATTAATCTTAACAGCTATTTCAATAAGTTCTTATAAGTTAGTAAGCGCGTCTAATCTTACTATCTTATCTTTCACTCCGTCTTTTAACCCTTTATAGTACTATACCTAAAAGGCGTTGTTATTCCAGCTAATCTAATTCGTGAATTACTAAAAGGCAGTAGTATACGTAGTCGCTAACCTGACCTACTTTAAGTTCTAGATATTCCGTTTAGTAGTACAGTTCTAATTAATATCACTAAAGATATAGTTAATCCTATACTCGAAACCTTTAAAAGTTATAAAGATCTTCTAGGATTCCTTAGTTATTATTATAGAGACTCTCCTATCCTTAGTTCAGTTCTAAATATAGTCTAAGAGAAAAGTCTCGATCTAGTTAAAAGTAGATCCCCGGAGAAAAGATAAAACCTAAAGGACTTTATTAGTCTCTATAGCGAACTAGTAACTATTAAAGCTTATATAGAGCTTAACTTACGTGAAATATACTCTAAGCTTAGATCGGTCTCCGTAGTAGAGATCCAGGGCAGCGATCTTAAGTATATTCTTTAGGTCGAAGACCTTAGTAAGAGCTAAGTAATCGTTCGACGATCCTTTAATAGAGGATATATTATCTTCATAAGTTAGTACCTCTAATAAGAAGGTGCTTAAAGTGTAATAGTCCGGTATTTACTCGCTATAAATACAGAAGGCTATAGTTAATCTCTAATAATCGAGAAGTAAGTATATTACGTAAATAGGAAGATAGTTACTAAGTATTAAAATACTATTTAAAGTTAAGTATAAAGCTCTTATCTAATAGCAGATATACTAGTCTTATATAGAACCTTTGTTCGCCTTAGATCTCTTAAGATACTAGATCCTTAGATCCTTAGATCCGTTTTCCTATAAGGGGATCTAAGGATCTAAGGATCTATCACGTGACCTATTATCTACTATAATCTAAGTAACTATTACTACTGAAGCGTAAGTATATAGTAGTACTACTCGCTATCCTATATTATTCCCTAGCTAGTACTACCCTATCAATAGTACCGCTCCCTTATTAGTACTAATACCCCTATAGTACTAATAATGGTTTTATTATCATATAGGTGCCAACTGAACCGTGGCGCCAAGGGGTCCGTAACAGCCGCTTAAGTAACAACTATAAAGCTATACTCTTAGTAAATCCTTAATAAGGTACTAACCTATTAAATAGCGCTAATTACGCTAGAGAGTGAACTTATATAACCTCTTAAGGTTATAACTATTATAGAGGCTCTAAGGGAGAATCTAGTAGAATAAAAGGCTACTATTCTTAAAGAATTATAGGCTATATAAAACGCTAGAACCTATAAAGTATACTTTAGTAAGCCTCCCTTAAGCTTAAAACTGATATCTTTAAGACTAGTTCTATGTAATAAAATTAACTCTAATAGCTCTATAGTATAGTAAAAGGCTAAGCTTGTAGTAAGAGACTTTAAGTAAAAACACGGCCTTAATTACTTTAATACCTTCGCGAGTATTATACGCTATTCTACTTTATAAGTACTACTTGCTATTATAGCTAAAAGAGACCTAGAGATTAAGTATATTAATATTAATACTACCTTCCTAAATATATACTTAAAAAAAGATATATATATAATGATTCTAAATAATAAGATACCAGAGATATAGAATAAGCTTCACTTAAAGCTAAATAGAAAGAAAGATATATATCTAAAGCTCCTACACTTTCTCTACAGCTTAAAATAAGTACTTAGGGAATAGTAGCTCCTTATTAAAGATAAAATAGAAAAGCTAGGTCTAGAAGCGTTAGAAGCTAACCTTAATCTCTTTATCTTTAAGAATAGAGTATATATATTAGTCTTTATTAACGATATACTAATTATAAGTAACCCTACTAACTACGAATATCTTAAGAAATAGCTCTTAAAGACCTGGAAAAGAAAAGATCTTAGAGCTATCGATATATTTATAAGCTTATAAGTTAAGAAGAATAGGAAAAATAAGACTCTATAGATTTATTAAATAGCTTATATATAAAAGCTACTAGAAAAGTTTAGAATAGCTATAGCTAGAGGTAATACTTTACCTATAGCTACTAGAATAGTACTAAGGAAGTTAGCTAAAGATAAAGGTATTATACTAGCTTCCTCTAAAGAGATCTTACTATTTCAGCAGATTATTAGCTCTCTAATATACTTTTCAAACCTCACACGACCTGATATTACTTATATAATAAGCTAGTTAGCGCGGTATATATTAAATCCCCTTAAATCTTACCTCTAAGACATGAAACCTCTTCTCTGATATCTATAATATATAAAAGGTAATAGAATAATATTTAGAATCGGAATAGAATACAAAGGAAAGCTAGATAATAATATATTTAATATTTAGACTAACGCTATGTAGGAAACGGAATACAATAAGAAATTATTCTAAGGATAGATAATAAAGTTCTACAGGAGTCTAATCTCTTAAGCTACTAATAAGTAAAGGTCTATAGCTCTCTCTAGCTTAGATTCTGAGATAATAGCTACTAGTAATAGCTCTAAAGAAGTAGCTTAGTTACTTAAGCTATAGAAAGACCTTGATATAAAGCTATCCCGAATTCCTACGTTATATCTTAATAACACTAGAGCTAAATCTCTCTTAAAAGAACAGAAATTCTATCTAAAAGTAAAGTATATTAATATCCGCTAGTTCTATATTTAAGATAATATAGTTTTATATAATAAGTTAATAGTAAAATATATTCTAAGAAATAATAATATAGTAGATACTCTTACGAAAGCTTTACCTTTAGAATTATTTAAATAATATAAGACGTATATAAGGTTACCTAGTAATAACTAATTCTCTAATAACAACTCTAAGATTAATAATAGTTAGCTAATTAATAGTAGACCTATATAAATTAAGGCTATTTCTAGTAGTAGAACCTATAAAAATAGAATATTCTTCGCGGAAAATCAGTCTTTTAATAAATACCTTCCTTAATAATAATATATAACTATAAATTAAGTAAAATAATAATATATAACTACTACACTTAATAGTTAAGACGAATCTTATTCCGTAGTTAAAGAAAGAAGGAAAGGAAATAAAACTGGAAGAGAATAACTTTTATATACCTTAAAGGCTAGAGAGAAGGCTAGTAAGGAATAAATCTTAGTAACTATAAAAGGAAGGTGTAAAGTAGCTATAAAGAAGGGTAAATAAGAGCGGTAGGAATAGGAGATTATTAATAAGGGAGCGATTTAAGTACACTCTTATACTATTTTATATACCTTAATACTATAAAGTTACTAAACTCTTAGGAAAACAGGAGACGTAGGCACTATATATATACTAATATATTACAGGAGTTAATAAGGTATAATTAAGGCTCCTTATATAATATAAGTTATTAGCGATACTTCGGTGATACTCTGGCGTTGCTTCGGGAATATTTAGCGTTATACTACTTTAGAAGGCTCTATTTACTACAGATATAGAGAATAGGGGGGCTATTAAAAATATGAGGATTATAGGCGTAGACTTAGTACTATAGGCCGTACTACTGAGTACGCTACCCCTTTATATAGGAGATTCTCTCTCTCTGTAGTAGCTCCTTATGCAACTGCAATTCTGTCAGACTTACTTGATTATCTTCAAAGATGGGGGTCGGAATGCCTTGAACAGTTAGTATTATCGTGATCTTGCATGAGATAGCTCTTGGAGCAGAGATTCGTCATCCACGCCTTCAATCCCATCATATTCCAATCCTAGCATTGGGAGTAGTTATCTGAGACGGCGGGGTGGTGTAAGATAACGTCCTCAAGTGAGGGGCAGAGGCGTCCTCTCGGATGTGGCTTCGGTCTCTCGTTCCTGGATTGGCTTGAGAGTAAGATTTGTGACCCCAGAACTCGGATGGTGTTGCCATTCGCGATGTGAATAACGCGATTGGCTTGAGCAGCATGTGTAAGCTGACAGTGGGATAGCTCTTTCAAGTCCAGTGTAGAGTCTGGCTTGCGATCTTCCCGAAGATTCCTCTGTGTTGTTTTCCTTCCATTATTATGCGTTCATAACTGTCTTTTGTCTCTTGTTGCTGTTGTTCGTCAAAAATGGCACCTTCACTTGAAACAGCTCTATCGCAACCGGTGCAGCTGCCACTGTTGTTCAAGGAGAAGTCTCCAGCAGCCATCCAGGTTTTGTCACCACCAGAACCCAATCTGAAAGTGAAGAATACCCAAAATGGATACTACATACCAGAAGTACCGCAAGGAGGTGTGCGAAAGCACGCCAGCACATTTGAATTGGAAAATCATCCAATTGATGCGCCATCCAAGATCAGAGTAATTCTCATATACCCCACTCGGAATACCATCTAACAGTATGAACAGGTTGCAGTCATCGGAGCCGGGCTTGCGGGAATCACAGCAGGCATTCTTCTCCCTGTAAAGGTTCCTGGAATTGAGCTCACAATCTTCGACAAGAACGCGGACGTGGGTGGTACATGGTACGAGAATGTCTACCCTGGAGTTCGCTGCGATATCCCCGCAAACGTCTACCAATCCACGTTCGAGCCCAAGACGAACTGGACGGAAGAATATGCTCAAGGAGCAGAGATTTTGGAGTACTGGCAGAATGTTGCACACAAATACAATGTCTACCAATACCTCAAGCTGCGACACAAAGTTGCAGGCGCAGAGTGGGATGAAGACACTGGCCGCTGGACTTTGCGGATTGAGAATATATCCACAGGAGAAATCTATGCCCCAGAGTTTGATGTAGTGATCACAGCGATCGGTCGATTTAACGCCTGGAAGTTACCAGATTACCCAGGAATCAAGGACTTCCAGGGCCATCTGCGGCATTCAAGCGCCTGGGATCCAAAGTTTGATCCAACCGGGAAGAACGTTGCCGTGATCGGAAATGGAGCGAGCGGTATCCAAGTCGTGCCTAACATTCAACCTAAAGTCAAACATCTTGACCACTACGCTCGTAGTCCGACCTGGATCGCAGGGTCTTTTGGTGGCGAAGGACCAGGCAGGAGACTAGAGCCAAATTACTACGCGAAGGAGCTGCTGGATTCATTCAGTGACCCCGAGACGTACCACAAATTTCGAAAAGAGCTAGAATCGACATTTTATCGCCGCTTCGGTACACTTTTCAAAGGCAGCGAGACGAATAACGGACTCCGAGAAGAGTTCATCAAACTCATGGCTGAACGATTAAAGAAGAAGCCGGAACTTCTCGAGCATATCGTCCCAGATTTCTCACCCAATTGTCGACGATTAACTCCTGGTCCTGGATACCTGGAAGCACTGACCGAAGACAACGTCAGTTTCATCCGCACACCGATCAGTCACTTCACGCCAGATGGGATCGTCACTATAGATGGAATTGAGAGGAAAGTCGATGCCGTCATCTGCTCTACAGGTGCGAATGTGGACATGAAGCCACCCTTCCCGATCATAGCGAACGGGAAGGATCTCCGACACGTCTGGTCCCCAGATCCCCTCACCTATCTTGGATTCTCAACACCTTCATTTCCCAATCTTTTGCATGTCCAAGGTCCCAACGCCGCAGGTCACAGCGGAACAGTCCCCAACCAAGTCGAGACGCAAATCACATACATCGCCAAGCTCCTCCGCAAAGTCAATACGCAGAGGATCAAATCTTTCGTTCCATCTCAAGCAGCGACAGATGATTTCGTGGCGTATTCAGACTCTTTCTTTCCCAAGACCGTATTCTCCGAGAATTGCAGCTCATGGGCGAACGGTGGACGTCCCGGTGGGAGGATTCACGGCCACTGGCCGGGAAGTGCGTCGCATGTAAACTTTCTGAGAAGGGACCCGCGATGGGAGGATTGGGAGTGGAAATACAAAACTGAGACGGGGAATCGGTTCGCGTGGTTAGGAAATGGGTGGACAAGGAAGGAGGAGAAGGGAGAAGGAGATTTGACGCCGTATTTGAAGAAACCGGCGGATATTGACTTGAGGAATTATCATGAGAGTTGGTTCGAGGGGCTAGATGGGTAATGAAGAACATATAGGCTAATGCATTGTGAATTTCTAGACAGCTTCGTGTCTAAGATCACCAAAGACATCGACTTGACTATGATATGCATCCGAGATCTCCGGCGTTGCTTGGAATTTCCTGAAAAGTCCATTGACACTCTGTCGCTGAAGATTCTCCTATCTGCTTCGACTTGCTCGCGGTTGACTCTCATTCTCCTCCTGCCCTCCACGCCATTTATCTTTGCCCTTCACCTTCATCTTTCTTCCTCTTCGCCGGTCCGGGCACGATCTGAACTCTTGGTCTACATATTACGTCAGCGTCCATCTCTCTCAAACACCAGAAGTAAAACTCACAAACTATCCAAAACTTCCCCAGCAACCTCCTTCAAGCTCATCTTCCTGTCTTTCGGTCTAGTATACCACGGATGCGGTCTATTCTTTCCCCTATCTTTGCGTGAGAGACCTTCTCCCCTAGGGCCAAAAATCTGCCAGACGCGTTGGTGGTCGAGGATTTGGCGGCGATTGATGATAATTGGGTCGCTCACTAGCTGTCAGCCACATTTCCACCTTCTTGTACTTTCTACATTGCAATGAGAGGGATGGTGGGGAAAGGGTAGGTAGATAAGAAGGGAGAGGGATAAGTTAGGGGAAAGATAAATTACCACAGGAAAATCCATAAACTCACCTCTCTCCATTTCCCCAAACCATTGGTAAAAACCTATAGAAGAAATCCATTACCATATCATACAAGCCGTCATCCACCAAACCCCTCCTGTCAGCCTCCACAGCCCTATCATACATTTTCCCCAACTGCGCAACCCTGACCTTTCTGACGAGATCATCGCAGATCCTGTCTGCGTCTCTTGCACTCAAATTATCAGCTGGCGAAGGTGAGTGAGCGGGACCATTACTGGAACGAGATAGGGAAGGCTGCAGTTGGGCTGGGAGAAAGGAGATGGGTTTATGAAAGACGGTGAGGCGTTCTGAGAGGGGGGGGCTGCGGGAGTTGGAGCGGGAGGGGAGATTATTAGTTTTACCTGGTGGTGCCAGAGGAGGAGGAGATGCGCGGCGCGGAGAGTACCGTCTACTTCGAGCCAGGGAGTGTTCGGCTTGGTGTGGTACTGCTGTCTGGAGTCCACCATAGTATGTGCCTTCATTAACTTGATCTTCTGCTCCATAGTATGAAGCTTCTTTTCTCCTCATACTTTCAGAGGTAGTTGTATGCAGCAATGATAAACGAGCTGAAGCAGCTTCTGGTGGGTAATGGGATTGTTCGTATTGAAAGCTTGCATGCTGTTGTTTCCGGGTAGATGGTCGACGATCTACGGTACCGGCTGCTGTACTAAGTCTGTTTGGCGGACTTGGTTGCTTTACAGAAGGTCCGGGTTGTCTTCCTCTCTCCGTGCCTCGCTCGTTTCTCTCGCCCCTCTCTGTATTCATAGTGGATATTGAAGATTCCGTGAGTGTGATTACCGGCCGTGTGGGGCTTCTGCATGCCGTCCCTGCCCTTGAACTGGATTTGTCTTTTTGTGTAGCTCTTTTATTTTTGGTCTCAGTTGAAGTTTCCACAATATTGGAGAGATTCCCAGTCTGTGTAGAAGGGTGAGATTGATGATTGCTTTTTGGATTGAAGTTTTCAGACGCAGCGGGCTTTGGGACGAGCTTGGAGGACGTAAGGGAGGGTTGATGAGGAACGGTGGTTGGAAGGGGGGGTTGATGGGACATTCTGGTTTGCCAATCTGGAAGGATGTTGAACTGTGGTTTGAGTTGAAACAGAGATTAGTTTTAAACGAGCTCAGCCACTATTGGAAACATTCACAGGAACATAAATTTCCTAACAAAATTTTCATTTATAGTGTCATTTGACTAAGAAGCTGACGCTGGTGAAGTTAACGTTTTCTGTGAAACGCGTTGCCGGAGCCAGAGTCGATGACTCATGATTTGGCCACCACGATGTCAACAAAAAGGTTGAGTTGATCGAAGCGTAGAGTTTGCAGTACCTAAACGCAAAAAAAAAAACAAGCACACATGAGCGCCAACGTCCGACCCGATATTATGATATTATGATATCCCTTTCCGTCGTAGATCGAGAAGATGACTGGACTAAAGTAGTAAAGCCCAACTCCGTCCAGATCAACAGCCGTGATTCATTATATGAAAGATCGAAACTAGCAGGAAGATGGGCTAAAAATAGCTTTCGTAAAGCCACTCGATGTGGAAATTGGTTTGGCTAGTGGTGGCTCACCATGCAACTCTCCGATTATCCCAGTAATGCTTCTTAGCTTCATTCTTTTCTCTCTCAGCAGCACGGTAATTTTCGGTCATCTTTGCCTTGGAAAGTTCAGCGTCAGGATTGATTTCATAGCGAATGGTATCATCAGCCATTCTGCCATTTGTTGTAGTGGTGTCAGCAGTGATTGCCCGAACAACAGACTCGAAATCTTCAGTTTCTCGAACGTTGCACCGAACTCCTTGGCTTTCCGAGTGCTGAGTGAGAGCGGTTAATGAGTCGTAGATTCGAAGGCATTTGAGGCACTGGTATTTCTCGTCTGAATGTGCAGGGGAATTGAGATGGGCAATGAAGGCATTTTGAGATTTGTACGAGCCGCTGACGTGATTAGCATATTGCTGATAAACAAAACGGCTGACTTACTTGCAACCCTTGTGGGGGCACTTCCATCTGCCAATGATCTGGACGTAGAATTTACTAGCCTTGAATGCTGGATCTACAGGATCGAACATTCTGTAAACCTTCTTAGAGAGTGATGGGCCGGTATTAATATTGAGGGAAGACAAGAGGTCAGCAGGTGGTGCTACTGCAGCTGGCGCGTCTGGAAACAAGTTCTTCTTGCCCCAGGGATTCTGCACTGGACCACCAGGCTGTGAATTGGAAGCTGCTGCGGAGTTGCCTTTAATGCTTTCATTACCAGAATTGTTCCAAATTTCGCTTCTATAGCCATTAAAATTGCTGTTGTTTGGTAGGTCGCGATTGGTTGAGGCGAGAGTGGCTTGTGTTGTGGAAAAAGAGGTAGTATTGGATCTGCCCCAAGTATGAGGTGGTCCACGACCAGTAGAGTCCTGACTCCCTCCACCTGACATGACATTCTGGGTGTTGTTTTGACCGAAAGCTTGGCCTTTTTGATTTACCACTTCTTGGTTGACAAATTCAGCGAGGCTAGATCCAGCATTACCCCAGGTATGATGAGGGTGGCCATGGTTTGACGATTCTGGTACGACACGTTGACCACCACCCCCACTGTTTGTAGTGGCATTCGCATTTGCTCCAGTAATCCATGTCTGAGGTACACCTCGGTTGACAGGAGCTTGAGTAACACCCTGAGTAATATCTTGAACGAGTCCACGGCTGATATTCTCACCGGGCTTTTGATTGACAGCATTACCGCCCAAAGCTGGAAAATCTTTGGCTCTGTTGTACCTTTGTACATTCTTCAGCGCTTCGGAGGCCGGAACGGACCATGGAGAATTGAGAACCTCAGAAACATCGAAAGAGATCAGATCCTCATCTTCGCGGATTGGGAAATCTGGAATGACACTGATGAGGGGATTGTTGCTTTCTGGAGATAGATCAGTACACCTGCAAGCATTTGATCAGAACTTGACACACCAAAACCTGTTGCACCAGTCAAACTAGTTCGCTGTGGATTAGTGCCAGACCAATCACCTTGTTGCATGGAAGTAGCCTCAGAATCCCCAGCTGCTTGCCATCCACTGTCCTGGTAAGCAGCATTCGATCCGCTAGACAGTCGAGAACCACTGCCTTGAGTAGCGTTACCAGCGTACCTTCCATTTTCAATGCCGTCATTTGTCATGAAAGCAGGTGAGGAATTTGAGGCGTTACGCAGTGGTGGAAGGGGTTCTTGGCCGCTGGAGTCGCCAGATCGTCGAATGTCAACGAAGTTGTGGGCTTTTCTCTTTGCAGTGTCGCGAGCCATGATGTCCTTAATGGCCTGTTTAAATACTTCCTTCGACACCTGCTTACATTGAGATTCTTCGTAGTGATTGATCAAGCTCCCAACGCGTGGATAATTGAGACCGCAGAATTTGCACGTCAAGTCTTGCTCTTCAGCATGGTGCTGTACAGAGATATTAGTATCAATCCGCATGAAGTCAAGGAAGAGTGAGTCGATGCATCGAAGGTGAGAACAAGTTTGCGATAAGGGAGGATGTTCCGGTTGTTGAAGAATGTGCCCATTCGTAAGATCATATGTTGAGGTGGGAGCAAAGAGTATAGGAAATCTCAAATACTTACAGCAGCCCGATGTCTCTTTCTGCCCTCTTCACTCTTGAAGTCAGCGCCGCAGACGTCGCAGCAGATGTGTCGATCACTATTGACCTTGTGAATCTTGAAGGCACCATCAGTCGTGAACGGTAACTTGCAGATTTTACACCAGAACTCCGGAGCTGTGGGAGCCATGGCGCTGGAGGACGCCATCTTGTTTGTATGTCGGAGAGTTGTGGTGTGCAGCTTGGATTGGAAATTTCTCAGGTAGATGGAGATGATGAAGATGAGAACGTCAATGATTGATTTGGAAGAGTAGATCGCAAATGCTGTGAAAGGTTCCAACAAAAATTGATGTTGTTTCTTGGGCGAAAGAGGCTCTGGTCGTTGTGAGCACGGGTATTCATACCTATAGAGCAAGGTGGCCAGTGCGGAGAGGCTCCCGTCAGATTAGGCAGGCACGACAGGAGGTGGAAGTGAATACAATGAGTCTCAATGGGTGAAAGTACGAGTTTGTCCAACTGATGAAACAGGGAGAGAGTACAAGGTAGAAATCGAGGTCTACGATAGGTAATTGAGTAGAGTGGAAACGGACAGGTGGGCTGGACATGATCATGACCGTCTCCTTCAATAAGATGATAGTTAGAGGTGAGAAGTCTTGGGTCATGTAGAGGTAAACATTTACTTTAACCCGTGTAAAGACCCCTCCCCCCGGGAGGCACCTCACAAAAAAAATACATCAACAGCTCAGCGCAGTCTCACCGTTATTCTTCGCAGCTCAATAGGTAAGGATATCGAGCAGTTTTGTAATTCCGAGAAACTTATCACGCGTAAATATTCTATAAAATTTGCAGCTGAGCAAATACTGAACATGATGTAATCAGAAAAGGCCGCAAAGAAGTTTTTTTTAGTACACAGAGAGCCTCGAGTGTCAGCCACGTGCAGTCGATTATCAGTTGACGTTGGATCACTGACGCTCGAATTAGGCAATTTAATCGAGGACGTCAGCGGCCAGAGGGGTAGATTTTAGAAGCCCTCCATGTCCAAAATCGCTGAGCGACGATACGTCGCACAGGCGGACTGGCGCAATAATCAGAGTATATCAGTCAGTCATGTCGAAATTCTAAGCTGATCGACCGTTATACGAATATTATCTAGCGTTGGTTTCAGTGTGGCACAGAATGGCGATCCCAATTTCGTCGACCTCAACAGAACTAACAGGACTAACAGTACACTCGTTCGAGCCATATCATAGAACATTCCAAACGAGCTCAAGCTCCTTGATGTAGATCTCTGCTATTTCACTCCTTTGAGTCTCTCATACAGTTGCTCCTCATGTAAGGAGATTTGTGAGCGAGTCTCAGTTACAGCTTGTCGTCGACGATACAGTACATAATCTTCGTGTTTCAAGGCTATGCCAGGATACAACAGGTGGGAGATCGGCCAAGTGGCATAATACATGCCTCAGGTGCGACCCGATTGCCACACATCGAAGACAGTATGACGAGCTGTCTTTGATCGAGTATCTGTCTATAAAAGGCGGTAAGCTGTACCATAATCCAATCCAAACCCAGAGTTAATCCCACATGGATGAGCTCAATTTACAGTCTCTTGCAACTCTCTTGTAACTTCCCTGATTCTTCTACTCTTAGCATAGAGAAATTCTCAACATGAAACCCACCACTGTTATAGTAGCAGCGTTGCACTTATCAACAGCCTCTGCAGTAGCAATCCACATCTCCATCAGTGATGAGATCAACCAAGCCTTCACACGTGTGAAAAACACCGTGAATCCAGGAGCTTTGACATTCAAGGCAGGAGACGATGGTACTGAAGAGCCCTACGGACTCACAATTAAGAAATCCACAGAGGCCGACATCCAAGCTCATGTAACCCAAGACTTCCTCTCCAAATTACCCTCAAATATTACCTTCACCGATTCGATCTTCGATTTCATGAGCCAGAAGAACAAGCAGAGTCCCAAAGGCAAATACAACGAAGTCGACGTCAAGATCCCCGCTGTGGTCTCCTGCACGCCCCGAGTGTCTGAATTCGGCACGTTTTCGGAGGATCGGTATGGGTCTCCCAAGATCTTACATTGCTATAGTGGCATGGATAGTGACGGAAAGTGTCGTAAGAAAATAAATATTCCTGTTAAAGACACATATAGCCCGCAGGAGTATGTCGCTATAGCTAGCGTTGCTGAGAGGGACAGCGGCGTGTTGATCACCGCTAAGACTACGTATGACTGGGTATGATAGCTTGCTCTCCTATCTACTCATCAATCAGGTGACCACTGAAAAGAACTGACAAAGCTGATTTCCTACAATAGATACCATCCTACTTCAACCCCGCGAACCCCAGTGCCACAGAATGGGAATTCACCTGGAAACCCGATGCCTCTCAATCGGACGGGTTCCCGTATGAGCTCGAATCAGAATCATCATGCATGCTTGGAATGGTACATGTCGAGCTGGATTGCATCGTCGAAACCCGCCGCTACTGGTGGGACACAACCTGGAGTTCGTCGCACGGGTGGCTTAAGCTCGAATACCAGACCAACCGGCACGAATCCTCACAACCTTATGCCAACGCCGCGCACAAAGGCGGAGAGCAATATTGCACATTCGACTGGGTTCTCGACAAATTCTGGTGGGATTCTGTGTACGAAAAAGATATGTGGAAGCCTATTCTGAGCAGTGATGGGTACCGCGGGTTTGTGTACTTGGGCAATGGGACGAAGTTGGAGGGCGCAAGAATGCAGAATAGTAACTCGTTTATGGGCCCGTTTAGGGATGATGAGATGATTGTGCATAGGCATGAGAATGATAAGGGAAAGAGGAACAGGATTTGGAGGTGTGTTCCTGCGAGGCGGGAGAGTCAGGTGGTTAATATGACAATTCCGCTGAAGGGGGCGGAGGGTCAGCTTCAAGGATATTTGGGCTGCATTGAGGGGGATGATCTTTGGCATGGTGGTGATCCAAGACTGATGACAGGCGGTCGAGATAGTGATGGAGAATTGTGATAGATGCGACCGAAAGGGGTTGGGTGATGCCCAGAGAGGGCCTTCTTCGCCAGTGGAGGATGTTCAAGAAGAGATTTGTGATAGGCAATATTTATTCCAATCTCACAGTGTACGCCTCTTAGGTTGATTAGAAACACTGCCCGCACCTTACACAATTATGGAAGTAAGTATGAGTTGCAGCGAGCTTAGTTTGGTAAAATCAGCAGTCTCGATTGTTGCCCGTATTTGTTTACCACTTGCCTTGGCATTTCGCTTCCCAATACCAAGCGAGATTGAAGATCCAGAGCGTGCACCAAGCAGAATAAAACTTTATATGAAATTTTTCTCTCCTGCGACATGTCCAACCTGACAAGGATTCATGCAAATTTCTTCGCCGCTTTTTTTTTTTCTTTTTGGAAGAGAAGTGCGAGGGTGTTACTGCACGTGACACACACAACTCGGGCGCGTTTGGGCAGCAACGCGGCGCAGCTTCTTTTCGACTTCAACACAATTTGAGACTCTCTTCCCAGTTATTGCCAGCTCGCATAAACTTCACGGATTACAGAAAGCTCTTTAGATGAACCAACTCACCGACGTGAACTACAGCTCCATCTGTTTGACGTCTTCTATTCCAGCACATCTCACCAACACGTCCTTCACAGCCTGACCTCAGGAGCGCTACATGTCCACGAGACGAGTACATGGCTAAAGTAAGAAAGTGCTTCATTCAATAAGGAACACGGCTCTTAAGCATGGTATCTCGTCCAGCAACATCGAGGGGATCCGATTCCATTCGTCAACGGCTCTTCCCTGTGATCACACACGCCCGAGGTCCATATCGAATTTGGAATCCGACGGTACAAACTGCTAGATTGATTGCAGAAGACACACCAGCTACCACAGCTCCAGCTCCTCCTTCTATGAGTTCCCAAATCTTAGGTCAATCATCAACCCGCACGTTCACACTCTTCCCCCTCCTACCAGCGGAGCTCCAACTCCATATCTGGACCATTGTCTTCGCCTCACAACGAGTCATTCCAATCTACAGCGCCCCATTCACCTATACATCCCGCTGCGCCCTTCTGCGATTCTTACTCACATGTAGAACCGTTGGCAACATTGAAATACCAACTCTCCCACATCCAGCGCTGGCGTCGGCGCCGTACGCTTGCAAAACTTCACACGATGTGTACAGACGCACTTTCCATAGCATGACACTCATACGAAGCGATCGTAAAATGGTATCATTGGTTTTCAATCCCCGCTATGACGTGGTTTTCTTCAAAATGGGGTTGAGCAGCAAGATGCACACCTCTTTATCACTAGAAGCTTTTGTCAACTTCCAACCCGCGGCAGCAACTAGTTTGAGGATGATTGCAGTTGAAACAATTGGGGAAGTAGGGGAATTTGCGACTGCTTTGAGGGGTTTTGATAGGTTGGAGAAGCTGGTTGTGGTTTTGCCAGCGGTGAGGGAGGTCGACACCGCGAACAACCTGACTGATGTGGCAGGAAATGAGGATGGGTGGGATCAGAGGGGCTGGGAGTTGGGATTGAGCATCGAGAGGGCGGAAAATGTGAATGACTTGAAAAAGAGAGTACAAGAGTTAGTAGAGGGTGAGATGGAGAGATTGAAGAGGGAGAAGTGGGAGCGCTGGACTGTTCCCAGTTTGAGCATTGTAGAGACATGGGAGGAGATATTGGGTATTTGAACAGCGACCTCAGGTTTAGGGTACATTTCTAGCTCACTAATACGGGGTTAAATTTTCGTGATTTGGGCATATGTAGCATTGCCTAAGTCACAAAGTCCTTCCAATAATCGTTCGTCTTGATATTTCCAATCAATACCTGATGGCAACCTTAGTGGCAGAGAAGTAAACATTGTCTCGCAATTCCCATTCAGGCGAAACCATTGTTGCCGTCATAATCGCCTTTATCCGCATTCTCAATATCGCTTTCATCCTCCGCGGGAGTCTTGCTCACTTCCTTTGCAGACCGTGTGTTTCTGCCAGTGGAATGTTCTGGTGCCGCTTCTTGACTGCCTCCAGCAGCACGTTCCTGTCCAGTCACATTTCCCCTTCCATCCCATCTTGCTCTGTCACCGCCTCTGTCTCTCCAACTGCCATTACCTTGTCCCGTAAGGTTTTCTCCTACAGTATTACTAGATGTCCTGGTATCAGCCACATGACCAAGACCATATGCTTGTGTCTGTACTCCACTGCTTGATCGAATAGCAGCTCCGAAACTGCTTGCCAGGGCAGGATTGGCCTGTACAAGGGCAGCATTTAATTTATTCCAAGCTCTCTCTATGGTCGCAATATGTCTCCTGCCTCTGTCTTCTTCGTCTTTAGTCTGTTGGATAGATCTACCATATTTGTCCAGAAGATTGCGGTTGTCTTTGACAAGTCTACGAATATAGTCGTGGACTCCGAGTGGATTGTTATTAACTGCTGCTTGGAGGTCTTCTGGTGAACCAAACACCATGTAACCGGGAGGAGGTGTTGGATTGCGTGCGTAGACGGGCTGGGAGTTTGGTGGGTGCAATTGAACTGGAAGTACTCCAGCTGAAACATTGGAAGAAAGTGAGCCCTGAGACACGTTGCTTGCTTGGTTTTGGTTGGCCTGTGAGTTATATGGCAAGGGTGTGTCCAAAGAATTGTAGTCTCCAGCTTTGTCGAATCCGCTCCCGAAATTATCCGGGTTCAAAAAGCTCTGTTGTGTGTGGGCGGGATCGGGGGAAGGAAGATGTGAATATTGCACATTTGCAGGGGCTCCGACTGGATTTGAGAAAATCTGACGAGGACACTGATCAGTAGGAAATGAGAAACACATGTTTTCGTCGTTCTGCCCTATATATTGGTATTCTTGAAAATCATCAAATGACTCTTCAGAAAGCAGGCATTTCAGGTAAGTACGAGTTGGTGGTAGGGGATCGGGTGACGGGTTACCAAGTTGGGGTGGGCTGAGGAGTTGACCTGCATAGTGAAGAGGTTGAAGCCCATGTTGCCCAGCCTGAGGACAAAATAATATGAAACCAGATCTTGGGGCGCCCATTTGTGATTGAGGAGGGTCAGGACGGTTATGGCTATCGCTCGGTGCAGGGCCCAGGCTCATGCTCTCTGGATAGCCTCTTTGGGAGTAATCGGCTTCTCTGGAAGTAAAATTTACTTCTGCTGAGAAACTCCCACCACGTTTTCGCAAGCTACCGTCCAGATTGAAGGCGCTAGAGGGAGGGTCGTCCAATGATGTTGAATTCCTTGGTATCCTGCTGGTTTCTTGCTTTAAAGGTGCTGAGATACGAGTTTTTCTACTCTGATAAGGCCTATCGTGGTCAGTAAGAGAACATAAAAGGTATGATGTGGTTTATACTCTTTGTTCTCTTGGCTACCGTCCATGGTGACAGATGTCGAGATGTTTTCCAGATTAGAAGGAACAGAGCCAAAGATTTTAACTTGTGCTCAAAAATTCAAGCCATAGTGACAAAATTTTGGACCTGTTCGTTTGTGGACTACATGTGTGAATTACGGGTCGATAAACAAGCTCATTTGTGTTCACTAGCTCGCATTCATCTGGCATAGTGACGCGAGACTCGACATGCGACAAAATTGAATATTTCACTTGATCCAGCTAAGAGTCAGGATCACCCTTCCCCGATCCATCCATGATATCGCTGGGCCAATCCACGCTACATGGCGAGCTTTCATGGAAAGCGAAGCCATGGACGCTTCCAATTCCCGTGTGGTCCTTGAATTGGAAGTCACTGCGAAGCAAATATCTCTGATATCCGCGGCTGCAGTGGAATCCGGGGATGTGTCTTCCAGGTCCAGATGGCAGGCAATGTGATGTAGCAAGAGGGTTCTGCAAACATGTTCAGGAGTCATTGAATAGTCGGCAGGGACTTCCTGGCGGCAACAGACCAAAGTTAAACCGAGGAGGCCAAATACAGTATCTCGTCAGTCCTCACACTGAGAATCTTTGAATTGCAGAGTCAAATCTGCAAGTGGCAAAGTCAGGGGGATTTCTGCATGAGAGTACTGGGTGGGAGAGAGTCACCATGAGTGCTTGGACAGTCGGAGGAGAGGTGAATGGTAAAAGAAAGTCTATGAGATGGGAGGCTGCGGGTGAAAAGGTGCGGTTTGTAAACGCGGGAGTGTGGAGAAGATTGTATGGATCCTTGGGGGGTGGGGGGTTAAGTAGATGGGGTTGAGTTGTTGGCCGAATGCACTCTCCATTGGCTCGGAATTTGGCAGGGGAATAGTTGGAGGGGAGCTTGTTTGTGACGCAGTTGTACTTGCTAAACAGAGACGAAAGTCCCAGGGGGTCGTCAAGGCTAAGGTCCTGTTACCGTTGTCTTGTGACGGGATTCGCGTGTATATCTGATGGCTGAGCTGTGTAAGTATGAAAACCAAAATGGTGAAAATCAGGAGTAGAACGGGATTGCCTACCAGAAGAGCAACACACCATGCGTGTCCTTTGTTCCACAGTCACAGTAAAAAGTCTATAAATAGGAAACAAACGATACATCATACATACTTCATTGGGTATCAAACATAAATCGTTAATCATATTCCCTCAATCTGCGCTGAGCACATCGCAATTCGATCTCCCAAAAGTTGCAAATCCATCTTCGATCCACCAACATGGGCTGCGCTTTCCGGACTTGGATTCAATACCTTTAGTCCCTTCTCTTGGGCGGTCCTCAGAGGTCCCAGGTAAATTTCTTCCACAACGCCCATCATGCCGGATGGGACAAGATGAGAGTATGTCTCTCCCCCAATGAAATAAAGGAAGTTGACAACGACCATATGGAATGGAAATGATTGCTCCAGCTCTTGAAGGAGCTCATCGTCCGAGGCATCTGCCAGTGGGGACGTGTCTGGGAACAAATATGGTTGGGCGGCAGCGAGCGCAACTGTAGAAGCAAACACATTCTCTGATTTCCGAGTATGTGCCGTAATTATTTCTTCTTTCAACCATGAGACTGCCGATCCTTTCAAGGACTCAAATGGGCAATGCTCCAAAGTATCCGAGATGAATGTTAATCGTAATCGATCCATTGGGTGTGCATGTAAGATTGACGAAGTGAGAACGTGTGCAGCATATCGTAGCGTCGGAGACGGCGTGTTAGCAGACATTAGAGAGATGGATTGGAGATGTTGCAGGAAGTCCTCGTCCTCGAGAGGTCCAGCAACGAAATTGTTGTTGTTCTCCAGCCATAAACCCAACGCCAAAACAGCATCGATGACTCCGGTTTCTTCATTCCCAATACTTCCAGGTCCACCGGTGCCAATAAAGTGTTGAACAAGCTTCGCATGATCAGGGAAGATCGTGAGCTTCGGCAGTGCAATCTTCGACTCGAAGAGAACCGAAGAAAATATGGACGAGATTATGAGAAAGAGTGAACCCGCTTGGGAAAGTGGAATTTCGCCAGGTGATGATGGGTACTCTGTCTCGTTCTCTGAAATTGGTGAACCAGTGCTGTATATGGCATCGAAGAGTGTAGCGATGTCTAAGAGCCCTAGGTCACGAGATAGAGCCTATGAATATTAGCAACTTGAGGTTGAGGACGTAAGGTTTTGCAGTGGGGAAACATGGCCTGCAATGGCATACATTTGCACAAGATTAGCAGGCCATGAGTCCCCAAGCACAGAACTTACGACTAATTGTCCAACGATGGCTGTTCTTGTAACAAGTGCCGGATCATCCTTGTATGTCTCGCCAATGCTTTTCCTTACAGGAACAACCATTCGAGGGTGAAAATGTTCTTGTAATCTGGCAGCCCAATCCAAAGCATTCGCATTTATAAATTCTTCCAAAACATGTGTAACAAAAGACTGTAAAAGTTTCTGTTGAATCGCTGCTTCTGCTGGGTCTTCGTCTTGTGCTTCGGGATCAGGCGCCAAAGGCCCGGCAGAGCTACTTGAAGCAATTTGTATATTCAGGCTTGACTTTCGGTCAGGCAGAGAAGGACGCTTCTTGCCTGAGATTGTGTGTACGAAAGAAATGACTGCAAGTGTAGCTTCATCTGAGGGGCGATAGGAGGAGAGTATTGCCATAAGAGAGGTTGAGAGGAAACGTGAAGGATTCTTCGTCTTGATTCGAGGATGTAGTATAGCCAGAAGATTGACCAGCGTGCAGAACTTTTCCTTCGAAGAGGGCTCCAATCCAGCCTCCTTTCCTTTCTCCACTTGTTCCTCGTCCTCGTTCTCGTCCACATCCAGATCCAATAACTGCAAAGACTCAGTAACCTTCAAAACCACCTCTCTTGGATTTCCAAGTCGAGCGATTGTATCTAGACATTTCCGCGAGTCTGGCATAGGGAGGAGTAAATGGATCAAGTCCCAACCTATGCTCTGTGTCAACTCGGCATCTTGGAGGATGTCGTTCAGAGTTGGCAGAATCTCTGGGGACATGTGAGTCTCGAGGATCGTGAGGTAGGTGATAGGGTCCGTCGCCGGCGGCAGACTCTCCGTAATTGCTTTAATTGTGAAGTCCGCCATGGTTATGCTGCTGTGTCCTTGTTGTTGGTGATGCTGAGGCTGATAAAGTTCGATGAACGTTCAGCCCCGCCGTCCCAACCGCGAGGCTGAGGATCACGTGTGGCTTGCCTTTGTTTACTTTGACCGTCCACTTCAACATTGTCATTGTAGAATGCTCGATGCCGTGACGATCGCAGTAGTCTGTCTGTACCACACAGCTCTGGTTTGGAGAATCATCCCACTCTTGTCGCTTCCTTATCATAATTAGCCTTACCGTCGACGCTATTTTCTCACTATATCTGTCTCCTTTTCTTCAAGTGCTGCCCAATTTATATGAGCCAGTATATACCTCCCATTGTTTTCTCTATGCGTCGTACCATTTTCCAAGCTCGAAATTCCTTACCCACGAGACTTACAAAGGCAGCATATTTGCCCACAAAGACACCCATTCCATTTAACAGCCGTGAGTAAGCTACTACTGATTATCACCGCGAGCTGACAATCTCCCAGGCTGTTGCTCTGTACAATTGCCCTCGCTTCATCGGCTTCAGCTCCCCTCTCTTTCTCGGGCCCTCAATAATTGCTTCTCGAATCCGTTTATCAACCCATCGCGAACAATGGCAACCATTCATGAACCCACAAAGGAGGAAGCAGTAGCTCTGTTCGAAGCGATCGAGACGAAATTCCCACACAAGACAGTTGGCGAAGATGCTTGGTACCTGGTCGCTGTAAGTTGGCAGATATATTCTCCGTAGTCTGCGGCGACTGATATCTGCGAGCTTTCGGCCCTCGTTGGAGTCGAGCCCGAACACGCCGCATACCTTTACACATACCTCATCAACAAATCCCAATTCTCAACCGCCGAATCCCGCCAAATACTAGTACGACGCCTTCGTGAAGCTTTAGTTAAGAATGTGGCTTTACAAGGAGTTTGCAAACCGCTCGAAGCTTTGTTCTCCTTTGCAAAGCTTGAACAGCCGGAGGACAAGGATTACACCTTCTCAAGGTATGGGCACATGTACCAGGAGAAAACAGGCACTAATGATACATGGTAGGGAGAAATGGCAGGCCGGGCCAGAAACATTAGAGAGAGGGAACGCATGGCTTAACACTATATACAAGGATAACTTGTCAACATCCACAAGTCCCTTTGCTGCTCACAAGGACTTCGAATTCATCTCTCGCCAAATAACCTACGGATTCTATCTGTCAGATCACAGCATCTTGGAACCCGTTGAGACGGAGCTAGTCACGTTGGCAGCAATTATGATACAGAACCTTCCTCTAGAGACAGCGTGGCATCTGCGGGGTACCAGAAGGGTGGGTGTCAGCATGGAGGATGTTGAAATCATCCAGCAATGCGTAAGTTTCAACTCGATTTTGAAATCACATCCTAATAGCTCCAGATTGAGATGGTGGCCAATTACGGAGGCGCGAGACTACACAAAGTACCTCGAGTTGCAGATATCGAGCACGAGGTCTAGGTAAAAGTGTGTTCAACCTTTTTCTGTGACCAAAAACTGCGATACAAGCGAAGATTCTAATATATGGATTCTTCCACTCCCAAAAGAATGCGATGTTCTTGATACTTCTTTCTCCGCCTTGCTTTGTGAATTAAACAAAGCAACTTGCTTTGATGAGAGAGCTGAACTCTTTGTGTACCTAGAACACTCACTTGCTCCAACAAAGCAGCAACGCGAGATAGGGAACCACCAACAACTGGTGTTCTTCTTGAATTATATAAAGAAGCGCCTGCATTTTGTCTCTAAGATGATTTTTGCACGATAGCAGCAACAACAAACGCCAGTCTCAATCTCGACCTCGATTTAGACAACAACGTCGACTTTTGAAGACAGCTACTAGATCAGTATCCATGTCTCAACTCAAATTCCGTATACTGATAGATTTCCGCATCTCAGTCGAAAAGCCTTCCGTGAAGCCTTTGACGAACGAAGAGTATGGAGACAAGACCACAGCATTGTTTGCTGAGATTGAGGGTAAGATCCGCGCCATGGGGCTACCCACTTTGTCTAGGGAGGATGATACAAGCGATCTGTGCATTCCCACAGATAGCTTTCTGAAGACATTCACTCATTGTTCTTCGAACATATTTGAACACTGGATCATACGCAATCCATGTCCCGAACAGTTGTATGTGCCGAACTGCAATAGTTTCTACAAATTCTGTCTCTGGACACCGTGGCTCACGAACTCAGCAGAATCATTCAACAGTTTGCGCAAAGTTTTCCAGATGTTAAACAATGACTACGATATCTTATTCTCGTTGGACTGGGAATCGAATGACTGTGTGATGGAAGTCCACGTCGCCCAAGTGGGTGGAAACTTCGCTTTACAGGAGTTCAGAAATATGATGGCGTTTCTGTGGTTTTTTGAAAAGAAATTGGATGGGTTGCACGAGGCACGAGAGGTTGACGATGGTCGGACCGATTGGACTCATCGTCAGTCTCTGCGCAACAATTGCGCGCTCTCTTGGTCGAGCCAGCTCAAACCTTTAACTTCAGAAGAGGAGCTGGATAAGATCTTTGCTTGCGAGTCAATGAACGAAGTCGATGATTTGACGGATCATCCAGATCCCAGAGGGAGTTTTGTTTACGGAATTGACAAACGGTGGACTGACTTTGACGAGACTGGCTTCTCTGTTGAAGCATTCAAATTTGAGCAAGAACGCCCCACCCTAGATGTTGACAGAATCGAAAACTGGCTGAAAGTCTGTTTCGTTATTGTCAAGTTTGCCTCAAAGGTTAAAACAACGGCTGACATGCGGCGGTTTATCATATCTCGCACGGAAGACAATGCATACACGTGTTTCCTTCTGTTGACAGATATTGGTTTGCAGGAGCAAGCTGCTTACTACCGAGCCGTGGCTGTTGACAGGGACAACAAACAGAGCAGAGTCGAGCTGGATGCGTTGTCTACAGAAGTCGATGCTTTCCTGCCTCTTTGTAACTCCGAATGCACAATATGTTTCAGCCTCTGAGACGATGTCTAGTGTTTGAATGAATCTACCGTCAACATTACGATTTCAGCATGAATATGATTCCAGGTGTATGCAGCGTATTAAGCACCAACAATGTGATTTCGAGGCCGATGAACTGATTAAAGGGCTTAAGCGAGCCAACATATTTCATCCCAGTCACTGCCATTTAAAACCCAGGACAACTTCCACGATCTCCAAGTCCAATCATCTCTGCAGACAGAAGAAATTCCATAAATCCAGCACTAGTCTCCAACATATTCTGACGGTATTGTTCAGGGGTAGGGTAGAATGCACATGATGCCTCTCTGTTGCCAAATCCAAACTCAACTGTGAATCCGTGGATCTTGCTCTTACTCGGGTCGGCAAAGTGACGCGAGTACGCATAATCGTCACTAGCACCAGAGGTAGGGTACAAGTATGCTGCCTGTTCAACCTCATAATGTCGTCCTGTAGACGCATCCATCGCATTTCCCATCCTCATAGCAGCGTAGACTTTGTCCCTCCAGTCGTTGCTGGGTACGTACTCTGAGTAAACAAGACCGTCAGCTGGTTGATCCGGCATCAACCCTCTCTCTTCGTTGTATGTCGCGTTCAAGAAGTTCATTCCTGGGTTGCTCGACTGACTGTCGTCGGATCCCCAGTTGTAAAGAACAACCCCAGCGTAGGAGTGGATATCCAGAAACCAACGGAGAGCCGAGAACTTGTTCATGACCCAGACAATGCTCTTTGTCTCAGGTTCCGACTCAGGCGCAACGCCGTGGAATGTTTGAGCGGCTGGGTTGTTTGATGCAACGTTTGGTGCAACAGTTGCTGTGAAGAGTTTGGGAAAATCCCAGAGGAAGTCGAAGTTGCGGTTGAGGTCAATTCCGATTGAATTTGGATTTCCGGGAATGGCCGATGTTGGGTTGCGGTTCTTCCTCCAGCATGAATTTGTAGCTTGGTCCCAGGCAACTCCATCAGGATTACTCAATGGTAAAAACACGATGCCCACCGAGTATGCTTTGCGAACATCCTCGAAAGAGAAAGTACGGCCACCATAGACGAGACCCACTTTGTTCTTGTAGGCGTACATAAGGTCTCCCAGGAAGTAGAGCAAATTGTCTGACGAGCCACGCTCTCTTGCATGAATGGCAGCATTGAGGAAGACACGGAATGAGTTATCACATTTCCCTTGGAATTTTCCTCCAATCTTGCCTCCAAAGATGGTCGCGTTCTCATAAGTCTTGAAGGGTGTCTCGAATGTTTCCAAACCGTATACCTTTGCAAGACCTCTGAAAGCACTCTCGATCTCCTTCACGCTGAGGAGACTTCCTAGGCTAGTTCCTGCAGGCTGGGTTCCGAGTCCTCTAGGGGCGATGGTTCCATTCTGGAATCGATCACCTGTCCCAATAGCGATACCTGTATTGGTAGTTTGTCGGCGAACAGGCGATGCACCGTCAAACTCGGATTCTTCTGGCAAAAGACAGGCTTGAGAAAGTGGAACCAGAGCCAAGATGGCGGGCACGATTCGTGAGAACTTCATGGCGTGGAAAGAAAGAGAGGCAGTAAGTTGGAGGTGGGAGACCACTATCCCATGAGACTGACCGCTGTATATATACTTGGAGTCTCCATAAGCTGCCTATTTCACTAGCCGCCGATAACACCAGTAAACTTATCAAATTCCCCATTTGGATATTCTCTGGGCACAGTTGTTCCTGGTACCTAGAAGTCAGCTGCAGTGAAGTGAACCTCGCTTATTGATTTGGGAGGGAATGGTTGGCTGAGGACAAGCGGGGAAAGCAAGCAGCACCGCTTTCCAACCCTTCTCTACGTTTTTTAGTTGGAATTTCACGATTGAATTTTCCAAATTCAGGAACTCGACAGGTTGGGAGTCGTATGTCCCTGGATTCTTGCTTATCTGTTCCATGCCAAGTTGCCAAGATGCCCAATCCACGCTTGCCAATGCTTGCCATTATTTATTAGGAAGCTGGATATAGTGCCCAGCCGATATCGAACCAGGTATTCATATTGAATTGACATCATTCATTGTGCGGGGTATCGTTGTCGAGGACATGTAGCAAATTCTTTTATCTTTCCACGATACGGATCAAATGAGGCAGGTAGTAATAACTCTGGCTGCTTGGCGTCCACGAAGCTTTAAGCCACAAGATAATAGCTCAACGTTGTATCCTCAATCTTGGCTTTGTTTTCTTATATACGAAATCTGATACGCAATTATGAATGGAACATCTCAATGCCAGCAACCCGGCTCGGCTGTTACATTCTGACTTGTTGACCTATATATGTCACTAAGTGGAATGGCGAAGCCAAAGCCTTCTTTTAGCGCGACTTCCTGTTATTCTTCCGTTTCTAGATGATCGATCGAGCTTGGGCTGGTTTCCCCAAAAATATAAAGAGATAGCGAGTTCTGTCAGTCCTATGGGCTTTCCACGGCAGTCGACTTTAATGAGTGGAGACATCGGGGACTGGAGCCCCTCCAAGCGAGATTTAAGCGAACATAAACAGGAGGTGTGAAGTACGCGCCTTCGAGTTCAAAATCTTTCTTGCAACTGTCCATATTAAGTTTTCGTTTGCTCCTTGAGCACTTTGGACCGCTGTGTTCTTTGGTGTGTAAAGGTACGTGAAAAGGGCAGGCAGCACGTGACATCCCCAGAATGAGGCTGTGCACAATTTCCAGGCTCAGCTGAGCTAGTGTTCAGCTACATGAGCTGAACACGGCTTCGATTACAAGAGTAAAACCAGCCATCATGTCCATTTTCCTTCCTAAAAAAAACTCATTTATTGTTTGTGATGTGGTAACCCTAGAGCGTGTAGCTAGCTAAGACCTGCTTGATTTTGTCATGATGGTCAAGCTCAATTTTTCGGGTGTCCCCGGTATGATGGGCATGACTGATTCACAGCCTCGTCTCATAACTCTTCTCAGAAGCGCGACGAAATCGAGGATCTTTGGACACCAGTGAGCTTTTTCCACCTTTTTTGGAACTTAGGTTGATCACTTCTCACTGACATAATTCACCAGATCAAGAGATATGACAACACTCGAGCACCCCGGGAGTGTCCAACTGCACAGCCCGCTACTGTCTTTACCCAGGGAAGTAAGAAACATGATTTGGAGACATCTCATGGGCGGCATGATTATTCATCTATGGATTGATGAAGATTATGGCAAGAAGCTGAGAGGTTCATACTGCTGGGCTGAAGATGAGAACTGCCGACTGAGATGTAGGGCTTGGCTTCAAAAGAAAGGGACGATCAAGTGGCCCACTATTGGAGTTTGGGGATTTGCTATGTGTTGTGCGCAAGCGTGAGTCTGGTTACTCCCCGGGAGAAAATATCTCGGCTGATGAGTTAGATATACGGAGAGCATACCATATCTCTACGAGTTGAACGCATTCGACACTAGATCTCCAGAGGTTGTTTGTCGCCTTCCGAGACTTATCTCTGCACCAAAAATAAACGCCATAACTTCCTTTACATTCTGCTGGACCCTCCCGAAACCACCATCTCTCTCACCAGTATCTCGAAGACATTGCCATGAGGAGAAATTCGAAGAGGCCAAGAGAGGCTGCAATGGTTACCAAAGAGAGTGGATTCAAACTTGGAAATGTCTAGCCGCAATGCAAGGGTTGGACTTTCTGCGCATCGAGATCAATATTGTTGGACGAGAGGCAGTCACGGGAACATGGGAAGCCGCGGACTTTTACATCATGACGGTTGTCAAGATTCCCCGCACTCTCCATGTGGTCGTGAACGATGAGAGTGCAAGGAGGATGAGGAGTGTCATCAAAGCACCAAATCTGACAATCGTTGGTATCCTGGAGGAGGAAGTCCAGCTGAGGCGAAAGTTATCTGGACAAGACGACTAGTTAAAAGTAAAGAAGTCGAAACCCGGTCATGCTACAACTTAAACGAGCTTGTGTCGACACCAACAACCTTTCCGCCTTCTATCACCGTCCCATTGATCGGAGCTGCCATTCCACCAGAAGTAGCCACATACAAAACATGCTTATCGCCATCCGTCCGTCCGAATTGACAAGATGTCCCTCCCGCAACAGTCAATTCATCGCCCGCACCAGCGGCGACCACCACACCTCCAGCGGCTCTACGAACTCCAATCACATTCGTCACATTCTGCGCCAACCCAGCATTCCCCTTATCGTCAAACACAAAGTCATCCACCAATGTATCACTTTCAAGCACCTCCACATCACCCACAGCCTCAGCGTTCTCCTCAATCCGAACTCTACAGAAAGTCTTCTTCCCCGTATTCGTCCAGTACAGATATCCATCCCGGATCTTAATCCCATTAATACCAATCTGCATTCCCGGCGGTGCCGGAGGTTCCATCTCCTCGACTTTAACAGCAATCTCATGCTTTCCATCTCCAACACCCAGCTTCCAAACCGCACCAATTTCCGAGTCGGCGATCAAGATGTTGCCTTCGTCACTAGACAGCAACTCAAATCCATTCGGAAACGCGACAGCACTTAAATCCGCGACTTTCCTCACTTCAGCTTCCAAGCCAGTGTCGAAGGATCTCATATCAACTTCCCAGATCTTGTAAGACCCTGCTCGACAAGCTGAAATTCCCGCCTGCGATATGGAAGATGTCGGGTTGGACCTCGATGATACCTGTAAGTCCAAGGACGTCTGGGAGTTTTGCAATGAGAGTTGCATTGGATGGAGATGGCTTCTGGGGATCAATGAGGTAGAGTTCGGGTGTTGTGAGGAGAGTGACGAGCATGGTGCCGTTGGAGCGGATGGCGAGGTTTTCGATCCATGTTGGGAGGGGGAATTGATGGATTGTTTTGGTTGGCAGGAGAGGGTTGAGTTGAGCTGGTTGGGCCATCGTGAAGCTTGGGAAAACCGTTGATGGAATTTTAAACCGAGTTGTTGTACAGGTATTTATCTGTTTACTTGAGGGAATCATCTGTTCTGCACATGTGCCACTATCTCCGATGCATACTTTGTGGCTTTGATAACTATCTCAAATGCATCAGTTTGACCCAATGTAATCGAGTTCATGTTAGCCTCAACGAAATAGAAACCCGCTTGGTTGGCTCGATTAGTGCAACCTCATATTGTCTGCTTCATCTACTAGTAAGCATTGCGAGGTGCGGCAGAACGACAGGCCGATCGAACTCCTCAAGGCGACATATTGAATACAAGACTTGTCTCGCTGGTTTCAATGTGCTTTCATCTTTTCTGTTTGGACTTCCAAAGGCAATTTCCGAAGGAGGTGCTAAGCAGCTCATCAAAGTGGTGCTACTAAACTAAGTCTCATGGATACGTCTGCTGTCACACGACACCGCGAAATGTCGGCATCCAAAGTATCTGAGTGAGAATGGTAGTAAGATCTTAAAATATATTCTCTTGTATTGAAACGACCTCGTCATTAGAAATAGACCATTGTCTAGACCTGTCCTTTGAAATAGGCATTTTTCTCGGGATTTCCAAACATCGAGATAGGGGGTCATTGAATGAGTAAGACAACTAGGTAGAGAGAAAAAGATAGAATGATTGTGAAACTGAAATTGGTATTGGCATTGGTATTGGTATCTCAGAGAATGTACGAAAAGCAAAAAGATCTAGAATCTCGATCGGTCTAGAATCTGCATCTAAGCAAATCTATACACCCTTGAACTCCCCCACCCATGGTATAAACGCCTCCCTCTCCCCTCCTCTCTACCCATATCCCCCCCCCCCCCCCCGCGCGCGCCTCTCTCAAGACCTCCACACGCCCCTCACCGCTCTCAAGTCATCCACATTCAAGACATCCACCCCCTCCCTAACCAGGACTCCCCAAATATAATCTCTCAACCCCAAAGGCCAAGCCGGTAAATCCCAATACCTCGCCTTCAAGCCCCTTTTATGCGCGCCTCGGACCTGACCACGGATGATATCGAGCTGTTCGGGAGAGAGCCTGCCCCGCCAGATGATGCCGATGGATTTCCGGAGGGAGACAGATGCGTAATGGGAGTTGAGACTCGTGAAGGAGGAGGTGGGGGTCGTGCCTGAGAGGCCTTGACCGAGGTCCTGGCCTTGAGATAGTGGCGGAGGTTGTGGTGGGGAGGCCTCGGAGGAGGAGGGGTCGTCGACATCCAGCTTAGCAGATTGAGGGGAGTTGCTCAGTGGCGAAGCAGTGGTTGAAAAGGGAGGCTCCCACATAGTATCCAGGGGAGCATCGAAGAACGCATCCCTATACGTCTCATTCGCAGTCAGGACATCAAATCTTGTGTTCCCCGTCCCCACGACCGTCACAGCCCTTCTATGCAGCACATCCCCTTCCATGTACGTCAACCATCCGCGTTCCCGCAACGGCTCTAATTGCTTCAACACCCACGGCCAGGTCTCTTTTCCGCCCGTCTTGACATCAATAAGCAGCGTGACGGTTTGTTCGGGATCCACGTCAAATACCCCGTTATTGGTCCCATTATAGAACCGTGTGTGTGGATTTTGATGTTCGAGGATTTTGACCAGGGGGTCGACATATAGTGTTGTGAATGTACGATTTCGAGAAAGACTTGCTCGGTTGTGGCCTACGAGGAGGTCGTTGTTAGTGAGCCAGACGTCGGCTTCTACGCCTGTGCAGCCGTGACGCAGAGCTGAGAAGAGGGGGACGCGACGCCAGTAGTCGTTATGGGAGTGGCAGGGGACAGGTTGGATGTCACGGGTGAAGTCTGTTGGGTACCATGACAGATCTGAGGTTCCTGTGTTGAGGCTACCCCAGTGCACGAAGACGTCGTCTGGGTCTGGAGGGTGGGCGTAGAGGGTTAAGATTGTGAGGAGGAGGTTCGTGGCAAGGAGGATTGCGCTGGACGCTGTCAGCTGAAATTCTGTCAAACTGTACGAGTAGAATGAAAGAAAATGAAAGAAAGGGATGAAAAGGGTTGACAAACATTATACTCAACCCGCTAATCCCTCCAAAGACGAAATAATTTAACCATCCTCTCCTCCTCCTCCACCTCGTACTGCTACATGAGTAGCTCCCGCCGATTAACAACGCCTTCCCTTCATCTCTGTACGAACTCCCACTCCGTGTACTATCCAAACTCTCTTTCCTCCTTTCTCGCACCGTCATAGTCATGATATCCTTGAATCCCCACCAGCCTCTGCCACTCCTATCTTTATCCCCAGACCAATCCCGTCCGCCGTTTGTATCTGTGTTTATGCCCGGCAGATATCCATTTTCTAGGTCGAGGAGCTCGTTGTCTGGGTCTGTTTCATACTCGGGTTCTGTATCGAGGGATGCGTGTGATTTGCGTGGTGATGATGCGGAGGATGTGGATGCGCCATCGTGGTATCTGTCCTGCCGTGATGGCGATAGCACAAGCGTAGGCGTTGGTGCTGGTGTTGGTGTTGATGACGGCGTTGGTCGTTCGGCGTGTTCGGAGACTACTTCATCATGGTGGAGAAGTTGTTGACGTTGATGATGGTGATGCTGACGCTGATTGATCAGCGTCGGCACGAAATCTGCTGGAGCCATTTGGCGGGGGAGGGGCGGGACAAGACAGGATCGGAGTCAGGGATGTGAGCTGCTGTAGGGCTTTCTTGGCAGGGTCGGTCCTATCAAGAGAGCGCTGGAGAAGAAACGAAGAAGCCTGAGAAGATCCCAAGAAGTTTATCGGGGCTTGGCCATGAATTCGCTTTGATGGAAGGTTGACTGATGGTTGATTGAGGGTCGACTGACATGAGAAGTCAAGATGGAGTTAATTTCGAGGGCGGGATTGTCCTGACTTCAAATTAATAGAGGCGATGGCCAGTCCAACTGAGTCGTACTGCAGTCTGGGTATTTTCCGTTCGCTGGGGTGGGTCGAACAAAGTAGTACCGAGATGGGCCACAATTAATTCTGTCTTCTCACTTTCGTATCGGGTGGATGTTGTTGGTGATGACTGTAATTAAGTGAGTCCCGCAGGGAGTGAGGAATTTGCCGGTTATTGTAACGACTCCAAGAGTGCGGTGCCGTTGAGTGCTCTGTCCTCCTACACCTCTCCAACGCTCCCTCAGCTCAAGATCCAGACTCCGCTTCCACTCTTCCAGAACGTCACTCCTTAAACTTCTCTGGACCTCTCTGCCTCGCTCGTACGGTTTCTTCTTTTTTAGTCCCAGGCGAGATGGTTGACGGCGGTTTCGATACGATGCGCTGCGTTTCGTTTCAACTAGTCTCTGTCACTACTGACGCGTCGAATGTCACTGAGTGCTGGGGTGCTGGTCCGGGAGTCTGAAGCCGAGAGTTTATTTGAGTGGGCAGGGGGAAGCAAGAGATAGTGAGAGGATTGATGCTGGTGAGATGTATTCGGCAGAGACTTTTGACGGGTGAGGGATTTGACAGAAGTCTTTGACGTGAGAGTGACAATTTGGAGTAAGGTGAGAGGGTAGGACGAAGTTGATTGCGTGTATCGTTACGAGAGTGACAGTAACGGATGACCGCCTGAACAAAAGTCGAGGAAAGGAAACCAAGCAAAAGTCAATAGAGGAAATCTGACTGAGAAGGGAGAGATGAGGATATATGTCTCTTTCCTTTCTCCCATTTTCCCCAAGAAGTGGGCGTGGAGGGGTGGGTCTAAGGTAGTAGTTACTCAACCTTGCAAATCAAGAGATGTGGCCGGGGCAAGCGCAAAGACACCATCCCCACCATCGTCAAGCAAGAGCGCATTTCCTTCCCAATGCGTGCCTCTGAACGACGCAGGTGTCTTGGTATTGGCAGCGAGTCGAGTCAATCCACCGCTAGACTATCACCCGGTACCTCAGCTGGGAAGAAGAAGCACAAACCAAGCATCACAAGCAACTCCCATCCCGACATCTTCCAGACTTGAAGAACGCCAGTATATAAAGTGTGAAGTGGAAACAACCAATCAGAACGACTAAACGGGGCATCGTGGACTCGCCGGGGAGATGTTGGAGAAGAACCAGATGAAAAAAATGTAATTTACCTACGCTCGCTACAGCCAGCCAGAATTTGTGTGTGATCACACTGTCGCAAGAGCGCCACAGAAAGAGGACAAATCCGCTATGGGCAAGCCACCACGGACGGACATGCTGCGTTTTGATTTGATGTGAGGAGGCGTGCCCAGGTGCACCACTGGGGGTTGGTGGAACATTTGGTTGGGCGGGTCTGGATCTGTAAGGTTTGGGAATTTTGGGCGATCCATGTCGGGGTGTGATAGCGGGGTGGGGGGTGGTGGTGGTGGTGGACTGTGGTGATCCTTGGAACTTGGAGCTTCCCCTCCTGTTGATAGATACACGTGGAGGGGTCGGCCTTCATCGATGCAGGGAATTGTAGAGTAGAATGGTGGGAAGTATCTGACCAACAACAGAGGATCGTAGTAGATATTAATTAGAGAGGTCGCGACCCTACCAACAGTAGATCTTCTACTGCAAGATGACGAGTCGGTACTTGAGAATTGATGATGCCTGTGATACTCGGTAAATCATGGTGAGGTGAGGTGAGATAGGCAGATAGGGAAGCGAAGGAGGAGCCAGGCAAGTAAATTTACGAACGGGAACCAGATCCATACCTAGGACAACTGGATACGAGACAACACAACTGCCGAATAAACAAAACAAAACTAAACATCCGAACTTCTGTCACTCGCACTGTCGCAATTGACAAATTCAGCAACTCGAGGCCAAATCCTCCCTCCGGAACATCAAATGTCGAGAATCTTCGGCTTTTTTCCTCCTCCCCTCTGGCTTCCAGTCTCTCTTCACCGTTCTTTACGCCTCTCTCTCACTCTCTCTAGCTGACCCACGTCCGCAAGGTTTACCTAGGTAGCGATGTCCCCCCTCGAAGGCACAGGCACAGGTCCCCTCCCCTCCCCTCGCCAGCACTCGCTCCAGACCACGAAACTCCCCGCTGTCAGAACACTAACCTTAAACCGCCAAGACCCTAAGCTAGACCCTGAAGCAGAAACATCGGCACGGCTATCGGGTCTGCTGTGCTGGTATCAGATTGGATAGGGGCTTACTGGCAGAATAGCCAGGATAGGTCACCGCTCAAGCCAATGGATCGCAAAAAGTTTCAACCGATGAACTTTTTGCCAGGCGTTGCGTAGTGTGCGTGCCGCTTGATATTCTGATATTGCTAGGACTTGGATCGCAGTGACGGCACAAAACGACCAGGGGAGCGATTATATTGGTTGAATTGGTTTGCATTATTGGCACAAGACAAGATGCCGCATAAACATACGAGGAAAGGTCAGCTTGACAAAGCAACGTAAGTCCAATCTTTCTTACAAGGCGCAAGAACGAAGCTATTCCCAGCTCCTCTCAGCCCCTCTCTTTCCCCTCTTAACAATTCCTCTCTGTTTTTCACTACATGCCAATACTCTGCAAACCATAAACTAACCCTTATCTCCTCCCACAGCGTTGACCTCCCGCCTACAACCGTCGCCCTCCCCCTCTCAGTCTCCAAATCTGCCTCCTCAAACGGCATCTTCACCTCCGAACTCTCCACCTCAAAATCCAACAATACAAAATCCACCAAGAACAACAACAAAAAGCGTAAACGCAAAGACACAGACGATGACACCCCCAAAGCATTCCAGCGCCTCATGGCGTTCGCGCAGGGCAAGAAATTACCCAAGGGATTAGATGACGGCGTCCGAGAGACGAAGAAGGAGGCCAAGAAGAAGAGGGTTGAAGCTGAAGCCCAAGCCAAATCCAAATCCAATCAAGATGGCGATGCAGAGGAGGATACCGACATCCCAATCAAACTTGAAAAAGAGCCCGCAAAACCAACTGCTGCTCCCACCACCAACACACCCACCATCCGCCCTGGCGAGCGCCTCTCCGACTTCTCCGCGCGCGTCGACGCCGCCCTCCCGGTAGCAGGCCTAATCAACAAAAGCGTGCGCAACGGCAAAGACCCCTTAGGGTTGAAAGTCGGACGCACCAAGACGGAGAAGCGCATGCATAGGATGTACGACGAGTGGCGTGCTGAGGAGGCGAGGATTCAAGAGAAGAGGATGGAGGCGAGGGAGCTGGCGGAGGAGGACGAGATGGATAGTGATGGGGAGGGGCAGGTGAGGTGGAAAGTGCCGGATACTTCAGCGGGTGTGGGTGCGGCTGCTGGAGGGAAGAAGAATAAAAAGAAGGGGAAGAAGGGGAGGAAGAAGGTGTTTGGGGAGGTTGATGATGGGGAGGATGATCCGTGGGCGAATATTGGGAAGAATAGAGGGGAGGTGAAGGCAGGGTTGAATGATGTTGTCCTTGAACCGCCGACGTTCAATAGGCCGCCGAAGGAGAAGTTTAAGGTTAAGGGGACGGGAGGTGCGGCTGTTGAGGTGGGCGATGTGCCGAGGAAGAGTGGGAGTTTGAGGAGGAGAGAAGAATTGGGGGCTGTGAGGACGGAGGTTGTTAGGGGCTATAGGGAGATGATGAAGGGGAAGGGGAAGGATATTGTGGAGGAGGAGCAGTGACGTTGTGTGGTATAAGCTATGGGTGTAGAGCAATATTTGGACGATAACTAGGATTTTGGCTTCCTCTCTAGCTGGATCTCAGCTATACAACTCCAGTAAATGTCTTTGATTTAGCATCAAGGTAAACTGTACCTTTGAAGTGTCCTGTTCGACGATACTAAACCACGAAATGTCCTCCACGCCCGATTGCCGCTTTATGCTATTGACTGACTATACACATAAAACCTTTCCCTGGTTCACTCTACGTGTTCTTGTCACTTGAACATCCACGATTTTGGCTTGTTCTCAGGACTTTAGTCCTCTTTTCTCTAGACTTTGAAACCTGATTCTGAGAGCAGAACTGTCACAGTCACACGGATATCTTCCTGACCTTTTGAGACTTCACAGCGGATATCCCGATTCTCAACGGAAAACACAGTCCCCGACATTCTCAAGAAAGGCGATCGAGGTCGGCGAATCATATCAAAGTATGTCTCAGTATACCAACAGAAATTTGTCTGGAAAGGATCTCAATGAGTAACACCATTTGGGTTTATTCACATTGGAGCGACAACTATGGTCGTTTTGTCCAGACAATTTAGTTGGTGTGAGCTCTACCTCCGCTATCGTTACATTGTCCCCTGAAGCGGGAACAAAAGTAACATTGACAGCGACGATCTGCAACCCGCCAGTTCTGCCCTACTGTAGAGTTTCGGGAACTCAGACTTCTCTCCCCATGCATTCTTTTCAATGCTTCCACGCCGAGATCGGGCGATCCATTTGCAGTTCATGGCGATGGTTTGACATAAAGGCAAACTTAGCCGAGACATGGTGCACGAGGTAGAACAAGTCTTTCGATTCTAGGAAGAAGATCGTCCCATGTTCATTTGTTTCCTTGAGTGATGTGTAACTAATGCCAAGCGAGACAACAGGGACTCCATCCATAGGCTGTAGGAGAAGTCTAAGAATTAATTCCCGGGTGATGCAAGATATCTATCTCTCCCATTTCCCGAGATTGAGGTTCATCCCTGAAGCGATGTGAACACAACCATTCCACCCTGCTTCGCTTAACGTCTCCGGAGTGCCACAACAGTCAGACATATGTATACAGAATTGACAGTCAGTATATGAATGTCAAACACAAGATCGTAGTCTAAATGTAAATAGATGTACTTTGATAGTCCGTCTCCCTCCCTCTTTGTTTTCATCACAAACTCGCCAGTCCGGATTACATCATTTCAATCAACCAACAATGTATCTCTCCACCATCCTCGAAACCTTTGCAACAGCAATCGCTCCGCAACCAGCGTCACAGCAGCTGGCAATTGCAAATGCTCAGACAGCAATGGGCAAAACAACGACGCCACAGAGTACTGCTGCGAGAATTGGTAGGATTAAGGCCGCTACCACGGCGATCAATATCACCAGGTACTAGATGAATGACCAGTCCTAGTTGCATGTGATTGTTCCAGATATATTGAGTTGATATCTTGTATGATATGTAGTGTTCGGGAATGCTGGTTGTATATGACTTCAAGGACTGCTGCCAAGAATATTATGGCGTCCAGGATGTGTATTGCTGGAACTGAGCTTCTAAGCAGGGATAGGGAACACTGGGGACCTTTGCGTTGACTCTGGATTCCTTGTGCTTACTGAGATAGGTGGCGTACTGTTATTTCTCCTTGTCGCTGTTGCTGGATGATGAATATCGCGCCTTGGCTTCCTGAAGTGTGATAAACAAATTATAATCCAGGAGATAAATAAGGAGGGACTCAATAAATAAAGATTGCCTGTTTCAATTGAAATTTTAGTCTTTTGGGATTTTCCATGTTTGAGTCAAGCCACTAATACAAATGACCAAGTCCCGTGAAGGACATATCTACCTATCTCAGACTTCTGCAAGCCAATAGTGTCATGTAATTTTCCATTTGTCGGGCCATAAGCTCAAATCATATATTCGCTCTGCGTTATAAATTGTAGGCGATAGCTATGTATCTAATGGAAGTCAGGTACAGTGCGCGAATGAACCAGGAAATTGATGCTGGAATTTCTCGCGGCTATTGTCTCATGAAGCCGACACGGAAGAACCGTCGCTGATAGGAAAGTAAAGAACGTATCGTCTTTATTGAAATACTAGCGGGCGATGGATGTCGGCGAATCGATCGGCGGTGGGTCTTACTGGGCTACCTACTCAAATGTTGTCTTGTCTTCTGGACCCCGAACAGAAGCGGCAGTAACAGCAATAATCTACAACTCCGGATCATGTCTCTCTCTTCTCGCTTCAATGCTTGTAGTGACTTCTCAGTGTGTATGTTTACTGCCCATCCTACACAAGACTGGCTGATCACAGAGTATTTTTGCGCCGATCTTTGGATCAAAATGTAATTGATGAGCCGAAACATGGGAATCTAAGTGGAACTTGAGGTTCAACTCTTGAGAATGTGTTTTCAGACTCAGTCGTACTGTGGAAGTGAATTATATTAGATCGTTGTACTGCAGTAGAAAGTCTTACTACGCTAAGCTACTGAAGGTGTTGTAGAGAATAGGGTAGCACCAGTAGCCCGCATACAAACGGCTGTCTTTCCTGAGCCGTGAGCTCTTTTCCTTAGACAATGTAAACAAAATCGTGTCATCTGGGGTACTACAGCAATGAAACATATGTGCACAGAAGCGCGGGATTAGAAACTTGAGTCTAAGCTAATCTCAGATTCTCAGACCCTTAATATATATAAGTGCCTGCCGGACTATTTCTCTCTCTTCTTTTCCTTCATAAAAAACAAGCCTCTCTCTAACCCCCAATATTCAACTCTCCAATCTTTCAAGTACTCAAACTTCAACTCCTTTACTTCCCAACCGCAATGCATTTCTCTACAATTCTCAAGACCCTCGCCCCCATCTTCATCCTCGCAACCACTGTTACCGCAAACGGCATCGGTAACTGCAAATGCCAAGACAGCAATGGGCAAAATAACGCTGCCACGGAGTACTGTTGTGGTCAACAGGGATGGACCGCTAAATATCACGGCGATCAGCATCACCAGGTACGTAGATCCACAAGTGGAGCGGTTTTTGCTCTTATCTGATTCCGAACTTGTACTGATATGTCTCTGCTTTGTAGTGTTCGTCCTGGTCACACGAGCTTAACGACAATGAATTTAGAGTCTGCTGTGGATACTACTTCCACGTCAATGATGTCTTTTGCTGGAACTGAGCTTCTAAGCTGGGATATGGAAGACAAGGGCCTTGCTTGATGCTCTGAAGTCTTTGGGGAATTGAATTCCGTTCTTCTTGCGGCTCTTTCGGGATAATAGATATCGCGCCTGTCATCAATGTGGTGTGATGAAGGGGTTGTTATCCTACATATCAAGAGAAGGGACACATTTTAACTCATCTTTTAGTTTTTTGTGATTTTGTACCTTTTAAAACGTGACATTAAATGTTTGAGTCAAACCCCTTTTAAGCATTAAGGTATGAGAAACCACAAGTGACCAGGTTCCACGAGGGACATGTCTACCTCCGAGTTCTGTGCGACCATAGTGTTTGTGTACCTTTCACTCTGCTAGATCACAAAGTCACATCAGGATTTACCCCTGTCTTACCAGTGCACAACAGCCAAAAAGATGCAACTGAGGCCAGGTCAAGATAACTGCGGACGTGTCAACAGTAGGTCAGTCACGAACTCGTGAAACCCGATTAGAAGCGTCTTCGTGGATAGGGAGTGAAATTACACACGGTCCGCATCAGGATACTAGAGTGCAATTGATTTCGGCAAATAAATTGAATGGGGGTCTTACTGAACGCCGTAAACGCTGTCTCGCTTCTGTTCCCCGAATTGAAGCGTTGAACATAGCAACCACCTATAGCTCTGAAACAAGCCTCTTTTTCTATAAAGAACTGAGAGTGTGTTTCCCTCCTTGCAAGATCTTCTCGGTGAGCATGGTTGGCTAGCGCCATTCACGCTTACATCTGACGATTACAGCATGTTATGTACCGCTGATCTTAAGATCACAGTGTAAGTTCAGCCGAGACATGGAGGACGAAGTGGACACAATTTTTTGATTCTGGGAAGATCGTCGTGCTGTGAAAGCATATATTGGATCGTAGTACTACGGTAGAATGCTTCAATACGCTGATCTGCAGAGGATGTTGCAGTGAACACCGCATTTACAAGTACTTGGTGATGTAAGGCAAGCGGCATTTCCTTCCGAACCAGAGGGTCTGTGAACAATTTTTTGAGATCCAATAGAAACACAGTTATGGTACCCGGTGTACTACAATAATCCGCCATGTGTATACAAAGTGACGATAAGTGATGTAATTCCAAGCTAATCTCAGCCCTTTAATATTTATAAGTATCTCCCAGACTACTTCCTTCTCTTTTCTTTCCATCAAAGGAAGCAAGCCTCTCTTTGAAACACTACTTTAACTCTTCAACCCTTCAATCTACTGAACACCCAAACTTCAAACACCTTGTCTATCCACCACAATGCAATTTTCTATTATCTTGAGAACACTCACCCCACTTCTTGCGCTCGCAAACCTTGCTACGGCATGGGGCAACTGCAAATGCCAAGACAGCTATGGGCAAAACGACGAAGCCACTGAAGCCTGCTGTAAGCGACATGGGGCGACTTACCACGGCGATCAATACCATCAGGTACGTTCTTATTTTTGAGAATGCTATGAGCGGTGCAGTCAGGGCAGTACGGGGTATGGCGTATGATTATCATGCTCACGAGATTTGTTGATATGTTTACTGATATGTTTCTGTTGTGCAGTGTTCTTTATGGACACATAGCCTGAACAAAGAATATTTCGGACAATGTTGCTGGGAATCCTTCGGGGTTGAAGATGTGTATTGTTGGGAATGAGACTCTAGTGAAGGACGAGGAATACCCAATCGGGCCTTGTATGATGGCTCATGGGTCCTCGATGCGAAATGGGTAGCTTTCTTTCTTGTGGCTGGACAACAGGACTCTCACCTGGACTTGGTGGGATCAAGAGTCATCTTTTGGGATATTTTTGTCTTCTTTTGGCCAGATAATCGACATTACGCCTGGGCTTGGCGTGATCAAAAGGCATTATTTTAGCGTGAGAATGGAAGATGATTAATGGAGATTATACCTTTTCCCGTGAATCAACTTTTCAAGCTCCATTTTTCAATAATGAATACCTTGATATCTCTTCATTTTCTCTCACACGGTAGCTATGTCTTGCTGCATGCCAAGATAACCTAGAGATATTGTAGTGGCTTTGTTTACATCTAAGCGAGAAGCCTCGGGTGGTTTATCTTGGCGTCAAAACATGTTGCCCAGTTTGCTAGAACATCGGAATGATTAGAGATTGATTAGTAACCAAGAAATGGTTGAAAATGAGTACCCAAATATGCTTCTGCTCCCGGTTGCAACAAAGCATCTTGATAGGTCACAGTCACGTGTTAAATTCTTCTAAACCTGTCTCCTGAAACCGGTGCCTGAATCCCCATTGTACAATCCGAATCAAGAAAAGCCAAGCGATTATTGCTTAGATAGCTATTGAAAAATGGCAGGACTAGCAGGAATGTTCAAACAAGCCAGATAGCTATCGTTGCACCACCAGCAATTCTAACTAATCATTCGTCTCAAATAAGCAGCAGCTGAACAAGGCACGGGGAATACAAGGATAATTTTGCTATCCATAAATCTATGTGAGGCAAATGAGAGTAATCTTCTCCGATACTTGCAGGGAGAGTTAGACGAGGATTGACACATCCGCATGCGCCCTTATGCATTGAGGGCCTTTCCAGTCGCATGTGTCGATGAAAGTCACTACAAGTTTTCATCCCCCCCCCCGTGTCAAACCCGACTTCACACCTCGAAGATGAGCCCTTCTATGAGGGGAGTGTTAACGCAATCAATCTTTAAAATGAGATCGTCTAGGACAAGCACCCCCTACAGGTTTTTCGGTAGACACGGACTACACTTTCTGCGGACACTGTCTATAAACAAGCCTTTTTAACCTGTTTTCTGTCTGAAATACTTTAATTGTCTGTATGTTTCGAGCGAGATTCCCTAGATTGGTAAGGTCCCTAAGTATCCCTTCCCCTCTTTTTTCACCACTTTTATATCTCTTTCCCTAGTCTGCGGTACACCCCGACGACGGCATGTACAATTTGCAAGTCTTCCGCGAACTAGTGATGCTCGACGACATTTTCAGTAAAATTCAGAAACAATCAGTCGGTAATGTCGTGGATGAACAACAAGGTTCTTGAAATATTTTGGGCAAAAACTTTTATTTGTGTACTTTTAATCACTTTTGAAAAATCACTGGCATTGTGTTGGGCCATGACTGTGAATCCTAACTAATCCTTCCAAACTTTCCAATAAGAGACATTCAACCATGACTGCCCCTGCTATTTGTCTTGAGATAACTGAAATATCCCGAGAAAACTTTTCAGTTGATGCAGCTAGATGTGAAATAGAAATGAGTATTGTCGCATGCAGGTCTTGCCGCAGCCTCATTCGCTTGGTTACCTCTGAACGGAGACATTCCAATAGTCAAATCTGTTTTACCGTCCCTGTCCATGATATCGGCAGAGATGTAGTTGCTATTGAGAAGCTCATCGGAAGATAGAAGACAAGTAAGGTCATCGTAGAAGTATGAATAAGCTCTAGCATTAGATCTTGGTAGGTCACTTTGATCTCCTGCTGTCCTCTGGCAAGCTTCGACATCCAGACCACCATTGACGGATACTCCCTGGTAGGAATAACTGGAGCGCTTGTGGATCTTGACATCGTGGGCGAAGGAGATTGAATGTTTGACTTCGCCATTGTCGTCAGCAGAGATAGTAAACACATAATCCTGCATCCCAGCTTCTGCGCCATCCATAGAGAAATGATAAACTGGAGTCTTCGTGTCGATAGTATTGTAGCGCTGTGTATATCCAAGGTGCTTCCCTTGGAGTCCAACAAGGTTTAGGATGTACTCCATGTACTCCTCGTGCGATACTGTCATGGTTTGGCTCTCCAGACCTCGTTTCCGTGGCCTTCTGATACCGAGCTCAATGTTGTTGTTGCGAAGTGTGGCCCTGATGGCTCTGTAGCCTTGATAACTGTGGTATAAAGTCGACATGAAAGAGATTACGGTGGCTGCCAATGATGCCGCGCACGAGTACTTGCCCACAGGTGTGGCATTCTGAACTTCGTAGCATCCAGTTACGAGAGAACTCATCGTTAGAGCGGTGACAACGGCAAACCCACTGGCGGCGAGATAAGGATGGTCTGAAGGAACAAGAGCGATCCGATTGTCGGATCCATTGTGTATTCCGATGTCGTACGTCTTAGGGGGGCCCAGATCATCTTCATCTGCTCTAGTGACAATGTCAAGTCCTGCATCGGCGAAGAGTGTGTCAAGGCCGCGTTGAATAGATTCAGAGCTGCGTTTGGTGGTGTAGGAAGGGCTCTTGCTGATGGCCTTAGCAGCAATCTGATAAGATCCGACTTCATGGTCGTCGTCATTAACACAGACTGTGCTATCCTGGACCTCATATAGGTTGTTGCATGAGGAATCACTGTAAAGAAAAACCTGCAGCCCAACGTCCGAGGGCTCGCTGAATCCCAAAATCAGAGACCCGGCGTTTGTTGTACGTTCGCTGACGGGGTAGCAGTCGCTGCTGAAGGTAGAATAGTAGGCTGAGTCTAGTCTCTCCCCGTGGCAGCCTCTGCTGACATACCAGTCCAACTCGACTGCTTGGACTGCATGAGCAGCAAATAACAAGAATGAGGTCAACTGCATCGTACGTGGTATTGAAATTGAACGTATGCCAGATTTTTGGAAATTGTTGTGATGAGAACAAAACCTCTATTTCCAAGGGACAGCACTGTATTTATGTCATTTAGGTTCTAGAATTCCCCACCGTTACCAAAAATTTCGATCAAAATGCTCAATGGTAGTGACGACTTTATCGACAATCTCAAGACGCAATTTCTTTGCCGCAAAGTGCTACGTTACAATGATATTGCTGAAAGAGCAGGGTTCAATCTACGAAAGGACGTACGTGTAGGCGTCAGAGCCATCAGACATATCAGCAGCCAAGAATCTTAAACCAGTACAGATGCTGTTCTGCGATGGAGAGAATGATCTGGCCCGGTCTTCCGCCCCTGGTTATCAATAGAGACGCACTAGTCGGCACCCCGGAACAGGCTGACAGGCTCTAGGGGCGGGAGGTTTGCAGATCGTACATCAATTAGACTTACACTCCACGAACCGACTGAACATTCAGAGCACGCTGCGGAAATGCCTTGACTGTGCCTTTTAACCGACTGGGATAAGCAAACGATGAACAGTCAACTGGCCGAAGAATTTCACATGGAAGTGACATAGGGAGAGACGAGACCAGAAGACATCCGATTGATTCCGTATAGAATCACTAACGCAGCGATCTCAGGTAAAACAATATATGCAACTGAAAACTGTTGCAGCACCTCTCATAATCCATGCTCGATAAGTTTGATGGGAACCCAAGATATCAGGGTAGCGATTGAGACTCATTGAGATGCAATCCGAGGTTTCTAAGTACATAATTAGATAATGTACTCGCAAAAATAATCTATCCAGGCTCAATCACCTCAGAGTCATCCCTCGGTTGATCTTTTAGAACGTGACTTGCTACCACTTCTGCCAGGTGTAGAAGTTGATACACTGATCTTTACACCCCACGTGCCCGGGACCAGGTCGGCTTGCGCTTCTCGAAGCATACAAGATCCCATACACAAGAGGATTCCCAACATAAATAAAACAGCTGCTAAGAATGACACAAATCCAATCGAAGCCCCGTTTGCCGTCGGGTGCGTTCGGAGTCGACGCACCAGGAGCGCTATGCTGACGAAAGCGAAGATAGCCATCGGTAGACCAAGCTTCCAGAGGTTACGGAATTGAAGAGGTCGAATAGCCATGTTTGTTGATGGTCGAGCCTGATTGAGGGTTACATACGAGGGATGGAAACCGATATTTGTACTTTCAACTATCTTGTGGAAAGTTTGGACCTGAGGCACGTGGCGAGGCCACAAAGATACGTCATGCCCGCATCCATCACCTCTTGGACTTCACCACAAGTTAAATATTGCCAACCACTTTTGCAAGTACTTTTCTTGTAACTTTCCAACTCTAAATATTGTTCCCTTCAGCAAATAGCCATGACTACTCTTTCCTAATGCCATGAACGAACTTGCTTGTCTGCGAGTTGGATGTTTTTGAATCTTGGCATAAGAAATAAGCTTGTGTCATGAGCATACCGGGAGGCACATCCCTCCCCCTCTGTCTTCTATAAATGATATTGGATTACCTATCAGAAACCCTGTTCCTATGTCCCTCTGCGTCAGCGGGAACTTTGATGATCAAGAGTCTAGTAGTAAACAACTTCACATGCTTGGCTTTCAACCATGATCATCTCGAACAGGTAAATCCGTCGTGAGTCTCTCAGAGTCGCGATACAAAACGTTCCATTTATTGATCCCAAGAATTAACAACGATTGGATTACCAAGCCGGTGATGGAAGCTTACACAGAAGAAGACTGCCTTGAAGCTTCAAAGATCTCGATCTATCTATGGAGAATTGTTCCATAGCCAGCTCATGTAAGGACCCGGCGCATCGAAAGATTCCAGGTCCTTGTCAATAGAACTAGTGCAGCAAGAAATCAGAGCATTCGATCCAGAAATTGATGATCGACAAATTCGCATTCCCGGTAGGAGCCGTGGAAAGCTTTTCGCCACTGAATTGCTTGGCGCGAACACAGATTAGCCTTGTATGCTGGCAAGATCTCCAACAAAGGTGTGTCGCTACGCGCACACCACTTGTCACGCCACCTGTCGGTCTCTCCTCATGCCTGGCAGGATAGCAGTATGACTTAACGAATGACGGCATGGATTTAAAGAAGATAATATTACACCTTTAATAACCTAAACCCATGTTGCGGCACAGACCAGCATTCGTCAGCCTTCCTTCTTCAGTCGCCGTTACCAGCAACATGCGGTATGCTGTCCGGGATTGGCTGCTTGTTGAAGTGTTGTGTCACATTCGTGGTCATCTCATATGTAACTTTATAGTCGTCGCTAAAGTTTGGTCACTGTGCCCCTTGTTGTGCTCGCGGAATGCTTGAACATAGTATAGACGTGGCACGAGTTCTCAAAACACTTTCAAATGGAGTATATGTATTTGAGAGCATGGCGTCCTGACATCGCTATTTCTTCTTGCTGAGAAGCAAGCAGCTTCACTTAATGTGACTACCAGTGCTATAAAGACAGGACGTCACGTGGAGTACTGCCTTACATGCTAATCAATAGAATATGAAGACAAAGGTTGTCTCTTGAGAATCTAAAGCTACAGAAGAGAGAGAGGCTTGGAGGCTCTTGAAACTATATACTCTAGAAAAGGGGCTAGCTGAGGCACTTCCCAAAGGGGACAGTTGTAGCTGTAGCCGAGCCAGCTAGGGGCAAAAGGGGTGTCTCTACACTACATATACTACGCGGCGTCACACTTAACACTGTTAGCAGCTAGACAAAGTCGTGCAATATCGTTGAGAGGATACATTTAATGCAGTTTTAAATTCAGTTGGCTAAAAAGGTAATCGATCTGGCAAGGGGGGACCTTTTGTCTGGGACAGGTTTCTTGTTCGAGTATCTTTAGACGGCATAAGATGAAGTCATGGCTCAGGAGGCGAGGACCATATCTCCAGAACAACGAGATTGCCCCTTATGGAGCACCGCGAGCTTTGCACCTCGTGTTTTGAAATCTGTGGGGTATGAGTAGAGCTTAGCAGAAAGTGGTGAAGGTCAGCCAAGCTTTGGACAGCTCGTGGAATTGGCGAAGCCAGATGAATTCCAAGTACCCAGAGACAAATTTTATGGACTTATTGGTATGATGGATCATGAAGTGGCACAAACTATCGTTCCAGACTAGTCGCTCTCCCCAGCACAGGTGTTTGCCATCATCACTAAATATTTTATCGTTGTTCGAGGGAACTTGAATGTTCTTCGGGAAGGAAATCCCTGGGGTCAGATGTATTCTCCTTCGTGGGCGCCTGATTGGACATGGCGTGGCAGGGTACGGCACGGGAGGGTAATTGAAAGCATTTCGGACCTTTCTGGGGCCTCAGAGGTGAAACGCCAAGTGATCGCTTAGCACTGCCGTATCGAGCAAGTGGCTATGTTTCGATGGAGGTTCGAGATTCTGACCATGGCCTCTTTCTCGCATGTTGAGGATTCATGGTCGATGTAGTTGACGGCCTTGCAGCAAGGGGAAAGGGCTACTTCTCTTGGGCTGAAGATACGATTCGGCAACCAAGATCCATCAAAACTGCCTATCATACTCCTGAAGCCGTACTTGAAGCTTTATGGAGAACGCTTCTGGTTGATCGAGTAGCTGGAGGTTATAAGGCAAGTGCGAGGCAAGCTTGCTATCCCGAACATCCCAGCGGATTTCAAAGCAGCACAGAGACAGTTTGACGATTTCGGCTGGGAGTGGTTGGCGAACCAAGTTAGGTATTATTTTCGCTGGAGTGGGTGGCGTATGGCAAATCAGGACTTCAGGGTGCTTGGCAAGCCCCTGGATACTTACTTTTCCGATACGATACCTGAGCCGGCAAGTGAGTATGACTACACAGAAGCATATTGCTGCATTAATCGGACTGGCCAAGGAAGACGATTTATCACCACAATGGATGGGTACATAGGGTGGGGACCAGATAACATGTTTGATACCGACGAGAATCAGATGCAAGTTGGTGACAAGATCGCGATTCTGTTTGGTTGTAGCACACCGATTGTTGTGCGGCCGCATGGGGGATTTAATATGGTTCTCGGAGAAGCTTACATACATGGATTGATGGACGGAGAAGCCATTGAACGTCTCCAATCGGGACAGGCGATGGTTCAAGATTTTGTATTTTGCTAAATGTTAACCTTGCTGCAATTGAAATATGCTACAACTAAAGAGCCTGTGACTACTTTTCCTCACATGTTGTCTGGTGGAACAATCTCGAAGACTTCCTTGTCCAAAACAATATCATAATTTCTCCACATACAGATACTTTCCGACTACGAATGCTTCAATGCAGCTGAGAGAACTTCTTTTCCAACAGGACATAAGGGTGTATTTGTCCGGGGTGCATCGACGAGACTGGCGCATTGACCTAGGGACAGAAGTCGGGACTGGCTCATTGTCTGGCTGGTGATGTTAAGCGGCCGCTAGCTCGTATCAATACAATTGGCTAACCAAGCGAGTACGCCACACGTCCGTCTCCTTTCCATTCCATTGATGAGGCTGGCTGCTGGCCCGTTCGGCATCTTTTCGACCCCGCCATCATCAAAAAATATCGAGCTCCGCGACCATCTCTAACAACTACGACAATACACAGCTCGGTATCAGAACATCACACAACTGCCCACCGTCTCTCACGCCCTCGAGAATGATCAAGAAACATTTATCGCAATGTCTGACAATCCTGGTCCGGTGATTGGGCGGATGCTGGGTGACCTGCGCAAGGCTGGGCATGAAGGTGAGTTCGATGATTTTTTGGTCGCTCGCTTTTGCTGCTTGAGGGTGGAGAGGGGAGCGGGCGCGACAATGCGATTGGATATTGCTTGATTCCGATGGAGATCCATCGGATCTGGGGGGAGAAGGGCATGTAGAACGTTGCTTGCAGTGCTGTGCTGGCTCAGCGGTCGTCCGCCATGCCCACTTTGCTGGTGGGGTCGGAGTCATCTCACGTGACGGCTCGCTGCAGCTTTTGCTCGAATGAGCGACGGGATGCTCTGGAGGGGAGGGGCGGATAGTCATCTCTAATAGTACCGTTGTTCTGTTCTGATTAAGATCTTGTCTTCTTCAAGAGTTGCTGGAGGCTGGTTGGGCTGGACGTATTGGGCTAGAATGGATCAGCAATGAAGCTAACAGTCATCACTAGGCATATCCATCAATGAACTTTCGAGTCTACTCGACAAGTCTTTCATTCCTGATCCAGATGCAAAGAATGCTACCTGGAAGACTCTCACGGCTAGAGCCGATGTCCAATTCGTGGACGAGACCAAGTCGCCATATCGAAATCTGACCCTGACGGACGTCTTGCTTGTGGGCCAAGGAGACGTCCGAATTCGACTGGTGATGCAAGATGGCTTCCATGCTGCTGCCTCGTCGAATGCCTTGGTCACAACTATTGATTCTGATCCACAAGTTTCGGTGGGTATCCAGAAGAACTCACATGATGGCTACTCAATTGACACGACAAAGCAGAGAGATCAGTCATCTCAACCACCTCCAAAAAGAAGAGGCCGTCCTCCAAAGGTAAAGAAAGATGTGTCTGCGTCGACTTCTTTGATCGCGCAGAATTATCCAACTACTCCGAAACCCGCCGTTGCTACTTCATCTCGTTCGACTCGACGTCAGTCACAAGCTGGTGCTGTCTCCACTCCTCTGCCTCCACAAGGCCAGCCATCTTCTGCGACTTCTCCTGCTACATCCGCATCCCGTCCCACTCGTCGTCGACCCCAGGCTGCTTCCAGCCCTTTGGCCCCTCAAGAATCACCCTCTTCCGAGAATAGACCGCCGTCCAAACCTCGCAAAACTCGACGTCAATCAGCTATTATTCCTCAAGACCAGACTGCAGACCAACCTCGCACGACCCCTTCCTATCTCCCGCTGCCTCAAGATCAGCCCTTCGCACCACAGACACATCGCATATCCACACCAATTGCGAGCGAAGATACATCTACATTCAATTCTCGCGAACAAGGATCGCGGACAATCGACACAGCCTCAGCGGATCCAGACACGATAGTCGTCGAGCCCAGTCAAGGATACCACCCAAAAGAAGGCACACTTGTGCAGGACCAGGAGAGTGCGCCTGACTCGGTTGCTTTGATAGCTCCCGACGGTTTGCATACGGAATCTCCTGCACAAACATCACCTGCCTCGGCACCACCTCCCGTTCTTCTCAATGACAATGACTCCGATGACTTGGCAAACGCGATTTTACTCAAAGCTCCTGTCACAAACAGCCCGGCTCCCTTCTTCCCTCCTGAAACCTTTGCAGCAGATGATCAACCAGGACGAAGAGATACCCCCCTTCTGGAGCCAACCTCAGTCCCTTTAGAAGGCGAGGTTCTTGCCGACGAGGCCGATCCAGTCGAGTCAACTTATCCAGCAGCTCGTCGTTCTAGCAGTAGATTCAGTGCTGGCGAACTCCTACCGGAAGCAACTTTCATCTCACAGGCTGACATGGACTGGGCAGATGGCAAGGATGGAGTCTACATCAACCCTCCCGGCGTCAAGGTCAAGAAGCCTCAGCATTTCAAGAAGAAGAAACACTCTACTCTCGTGGTGTTCAGATCACCGGAGCTGAAGGACCCAAATCGACTGGTAAACGGAAGGGATACTTGGCAAGCACGGATCATGCCGGTAGTGACTCAAGCACGACTCACATCAGCCGATGACGCTGTAGAGCAAGGTTTGATCCCCAAGCTGAACAAGAATCGTAAGGCGGAATCTGAGGGTGTGGACCTGACACCAAGAAAGAAGGTGGTTAAGAAGCGGACACTTACAGAAGGCGAGGTCGACCCATCTCTGACTCAAGAATGGGGAGAGGCGTATCCTGAAGATGATTCGGAAAGCGAGTACTCGGGCATCTCAATACTGGAAGCCGAAGTTCCTCCTGTTCCCGAAAACCCCAACAGCTGGTCAACCGCCTGGACTTTGGAAGGTGCAGAAGTAGCAAAGCTCAACGCTGATCAAGTGCGATACGATTACCATGGTCGTGCAAGTTCCTTCACGCCATCAGATTCACGAACACCATATGGGTCTCCCTCTCCTGCAGACTTCGACGATTCAGCAATGTCTCCTGTAGCTGGTAGCAATGCAATTCCACAAAACGATGGTCTCTCATCAGCTTCACCAGATCCTAAACTTTCTTCTCATCCTAACACTGCCGACCCTTCATCTACACATACCGCACGATCGTTAGTTACCCCGAGAAAAAAGAGCACTCTTAACCTTCTAGCTTTGAGTCAATCTCCGGCCAGAACCTATCGGAGTCCCTATGCTCTTCCTGAGTCCGTCTTGAGCTCTTCTGGACTTGCAGATAACGTCGAATCGAGACCATCTGGCGGTGGATCTTCTCAGCCTCCAGCATCCCCGTTCAGTACATTCGGCAAATCTGCTACTCCTATAACTCAAAACCAGTTGCCCCCGGCCACAGAACTACGGGGCTCGTCAGTCGAAGTCCTAGAAAAGTTTCCTGCCCTCAAACTTCTCCAACCAACCAAGGCGATTTCTTCTTACAGATCCCCTTACGCACCATCGCAAACTCCAGAGGCAATTTCTGAGAATAGACTGGTTCCGAGTCAGCCACGTGGCATTGATCAATCTGTTCCTCAGCAAGATCACATCCGTGGATCTTCATTTTCTCAACCTGCTTTAGCAAGTCTTGAAAGCATCCAGATGAGGGGTACCAAGGCACAAGAGATTTGTAAACCCACCGGACCAAACACAAATACGGCAGAGGCTACCTCAGCCAAAGCCAGTCCAGATGAGGTTTACAAGCCTGATGACGTTTCTGACTTCCTCGACTTCATGAATCTAGATCTCTCCACACCAAGCGGTAACAGCCGAGGTACAGCCAGAAGAGGAAAATCAAGTACTCGTGCCCGTGGCAGAGGAAGCCGTGGAGGCGTACGTGGTGGTCGAGGTGGAGTGCGTGGGAAGAGCAAAGGCGCCATCATCCTTCATGACGAGCCTGCCACCTCGTCGAGCAACCTACCTGACAATGCAGCACAAAGTACTTCAGTGGAATTTGATGGCACGCCAGATATTGGTCTGGCACCAACGACGGCTGACAATAGCATACTACCTCCCGATACGCCTATTGGAATAGGTTCGCCGCAAGTTGCTGGCAACATAACAAGCACACTCACAGGCCTTGGTTCAGCTGTGTTCGATGGATCGTCCCCAATGCGACCCCAAGATTCTTTTCCTCAGGATGCCCTTCTGGGTCGGCCAACGATGGACTATGAAAATCCCAGTCCTATTCAGCCGGGTATCATCCCAACTGCAGAGTTTGAGCACGTGAACGGGCTAGCTTGCATTGACCTCGAACAACAGCGGCGTGGAACACCATCCCAATCTGTGTCTCGTGATGCTGGCGGGGATATTGAGACCCTGGAAACTCCGGAGATGACCCCATCGCAGCCAAAAGCTCGCGGGAATCGAAACGCAAAATCTAAAGCCAAGGCTCCGAAATCCAAAACCATTCCTCCACTGGCGACACCCAGAGTTCGGCTTGATCCGGAGGAAAAGTTGAGAACCAAGATTGCTGAAGCCCAGGATGTGGAGATTCCCGATGGAGCATCAAAATTCCCGTGTATATACAAGGAGGCTGTGGGCAACCTGGTTCTGTCAGCCGATCAAAGATACTTGGAATTCTTTGCCCTGAATCAAGTCCCGCCCGAGCTGCCGATGGCCAGCATGAAGGTCTTTCACATGAATGGAAATCCAATTATGTCCGCAAAGGGGTCATTCCCGATGGAGTTGCACGTCAAGACAAAGGATGAGAGGAATAGGAAAAAAGCTTATCGCTTCACTTATGCCTCATCGGAGACTGATGTTGCACAGAATATGCGCACAAATATTGTCACAGCAATGATCGCATCGGAATTTAGTGCTGGGGATTTTGCCAGTGTGGCTGAAGCCCAAGCAGCAAAAGTCAGACCTTTCCTCTGTGAGCTATGCGGAGACAGATTCAAGAATCCAAATGGCTTGGAATACCATCTCAACAAGGCGAAGACGAAGTGCAATCCGAATTGGGACCCAGAAGCCGACACGGGAAAGAGAGTGTACAAAAGAAAGTCCAAGGGAGATCGAGCAGTCTCTATAGACGATGCTCCACGGACTCCTTGGAAGAAGAAGTCCAAAGTAGCTAAGTCGGCGAGACAAGGTACTGTAGAGGTAGATGATCTGGAAGGATCGAGTACCAGCGAGGACGAATCACTTTTGATTCCAAGACCAGTGAGAAAGGTCACCGTTGAGAGAGTCTTCGACTCCGATGGTGAAGAAGCACCTCGTTCAGCACGCACTACTAGGAAACCCAAGCCCGTTAAGGACGGATATCAAAATGCAGACGGTGATTCTGATGACTCCATTCTAGATTGGGCTCGCAACAACGCAACATCGGGATATGCTAGGACACGTCGATCTGCCAGTTTTTCCGAAACACCCCGTCCTCCACGATCAGCAAAGAAACCAAATAAGCCAAAACCAGTCGATGACGACGTTGACGAAGACAGTGATGCATCTCTGGTAGAATGGTTCGAGAAGCATGGAAAGATTGATTCAAAAGCTCCAGCACCTAGCAAGGCCGGAAGGATATACAAAGCTTTGAATCGCGAGGCCGAGGTGGCTGATCAAATCGTCAAAGAGTTCACTGATCGTATTCATCGCGGTAACGAAGAGATCTTTGGCCTCGCAATCACGCCAACCTCTCAGCTGGCAACAGCCTACGAGATTTCCACTACCATGGCTTCCAAGGCCTTGGACAGCAAATGGTATGAGGAAGTTGTGACACAATTGGTACAAAGAAACGAAGGCATGTTTCCGGCTGAGAATAGTATATGGCTCGCCAGTGCGGCAATTTGGTTAAAACAACACCCCTTTACCACGGTTTTACCAGAGTCCAAGCTCTGTGCCAAGGCTGTCGATGACCTTGTTGCATCGAAGACCTTCACCAGAGTCGAGTTTGAGTTCAAGGACCGCAATCGAAACCCTAGAGCTATCACTCGCAGCATCTTGACCACGAACGGACTTGACATGGTAACTGATCGAGCCGATTTGATAAAGGAGCTGGTTCAAGAAACACATCCAAAGGCATATGTTCCCTCGCAGCTGGCACCGCCACCGTCTGCTCTGGACAAACTGCAAGCCGTTGTTGCCCGGTTGCTTCCGAGTTTGACTGTTCTGGCCGATTCAGATGATGAAGAGCGAGAGGAGTCTCCAATTCCCGACTTCGGCGACGACTCGGATGAAGATGACTTCATGGACGAAGCAGAAGGCGAGATTGAAAGCCAGGAAAGTGAAAACGACATGGATCTGGATGAAGAAGACGACCCAGTGACTGCACTTTCTGAAGCCAAGAAATCGAAGAAGCGAGATCGTACATCGACTGGCACTGGTCCCAAACGACGACGAGACGCAGGACACAATGCCAAAATTTCAGAAGGTGTGCGAAGACGATTTGCCGAAATCAGGGCTGGTGGCGAGAACCCATACCCATGGAACATCAAGACAAAGACGAATTATGTTTCGCCCGCCGAGCGATTGAAGATCAACCAGGACAAGAAGCGGCGCGATCAAGAACTGGCTGCTGCTAAGCGATCATGTTGGGGTACAGCTCCGGCATATATGCCAAATGCCGAGACTGGTGCTTGGGATCAAGCTCCCACTCCGCAAGGTGACTGGATGATAGATGATGATAAGGAGAGCAAGTCTAGATACGCCAGACGCCAGCGTCTTCCCGAGCCGATAACCTTCTTGCAAGCCCCTGACGGATCATGGTCAGTCAGACCTTTTGGTCATGGAGTCAATCCCATCTATTCTCGACCATCGCGCAGAGCCGAAGGAAACCCGACTTCCCATTTGTACCTCAATCGTATTGAGAATAGCCATCGTCCAATCGTCTACCCTCCAGTCAAGAATAGAGTCAACCTTCCAGCAGTCCCATCAAAGCGTCTCCTCGAGGCCATGGAGTCAGGCAGCCCCATCGACGAAAAGACTGGCTTGCCGATTGTATCTCGGTATGCTACGAGAAAGAGAAGAGCTTCTTCTGCCATGTCGCCTGAGAATGATGATGAGCCTACCCCGAAAAGAAACCGACGGGCTGCGTCGGTGCGTTTTGCTGGTATTGACTCAGATGGAGATTTCTCTAGCGCAAAGATATCTCGGGCTACTGGGAAGCCTCCTCGACGGTACTCGAGAAACTTTCCCAAGCAGGTTTTCGTACCGGATCTTAATCATCCGAGAATATCTGGAGCGACGCCTACGAGAAAATCTGTCAGAAAGCCAAAGTTCACTGAGGTCGAGATCTTGAATTTCTATGAGCCAAAGAAATTGACTGCTGGTGCCCCAAGAAACCCAGGCTTAGATACTATACCTGCACCGTATGGACTTGATTCGCCTAATGGAGATGCGGACTTGAACTACACGCAGGTCTACAATGGCGTGATCTTCATCGCCGCTGGTTTTATTGATGAGAACCAAGAACCCGGCAATAGCTCTTGGACAATCAAGCACTTGGATACTTACCAGCCAGCAGATTACAGCCTTAGATGGGATGATGCCACTGCATTTACAGTCGAGAATCTTCCGTATTCAGACCTCCAAGAGGATTGTTCTTGGATCCCGGGTTTCGGCGTTCCAGGATATGGCGATGCTGATTACAATGTTGAAAGTGCCGTTGATCTGGTATCCGATGGAGAAGAGGTAGTAGTAGTAGAAGAGCCAAAGCGCAAGCGTCAACGAAAGGATTCTAAATCAGTCAAGCAGGGTAAGCAAGCAAAGGAAGATAGAGACGGCAAGTACAGCTACGTCCGACAACATACGGCTCTTGCCATGGACTTTATCGATCTTTTCGAAGATCCCGTCGCAGCTGGAAAGTACTTTGGCGTTGAGATTGGCACACCCAGCGAATCGACTCTGAAGCGATCAAGAAATCTGGGCAGCAATATCATGTTACCCGACATGGAGAGTCGCTTTGCAGTCTCGGTCATGGTTATTCGCATTCTGACAGGAGGTCTTGATCTACAGATCGACTGGATTCTCGTCTCACAAATTTTCCCAGAATACTCTTTGAACTTCCTCAAGAAGGTCTGGAATGGAATCCTCTTGCGAAAAAAGGAAGCCATTCCCAGACTTGAAGATCAGTTCCGAGAAAGATTCCTCATTGCTTACCAGGAAAATGAGATCCCACGCATCGATTACGGGCACTTGACTGAATATCCCTGGGCCGATCTCGTGGATTGGGTGATGAAGAGTACGGACTGTTCGCTTAACAACAAGACCATCTTCCTTCCACCAACCAGAGAAGATGTAGTGGAGGATTACGATCTCCGCGAAGTCAAAGAAGATGGCTGTCCATGGAGAGAAAACTACTTCAGCATTACCACCGCAGTCTACAAGCGCATTATGGCTTCAGCCGCAGTCCCACATTCCATCTCTCTCCAGCCACGCAAGCGCCGTCGCAGCTTCGACGAAGAAATCGACGACTTTGCAGTCTGCAGATCCTGGGTTCGCGCCGCTGCCATCACGCCGAACGAAGACTGGGACCGCGACCTCGCCAAAAACAAGCTCGCCTCCTTCAATAAGTCCCTCTTGTCCGACGTCCTCGACAGTCTCACGTCGCAGAAAATCGTCAAGAAGCGCGCCGCTAACAAAGCCAAGAACGGTCGCGTCTACGAGATCCACGACACGTGGTCGACGTCTCTCCGCCGCCACATGAAAGAGAACCAGTTCGTCGAAGCAGTGACCTTCAAGCGCTGGATGGACGCCCAATTCGCGTCGGGCGTGCAGTCTGTCAAAGCGGATTACTTCGCCAATGAGGGAACAATCATGTGTATCACCTCTCTACAAGCTCACGGCCGTATCCGCTTTGTAGGCGCCAACATCCCTATGAACAAATTCGGGCTCGGAGACGGCGGATATGAAACCAAGAAGATCCCAAAGGAGAGATTGCGCTTCAATATCGACATCTTCCCCACCTCTTCCTACATTCCCGATGAGGCCAACCCCGTCCTCTCAAACATTCTGTTCCGAGACCCTCCGCGCGGTGGCGAGAATGGCGAGATCCCGATTTGGTATGGACTGACGGGGAAGCCAATCTGGCGAGTCTGGTACAAGATTCTTGCTGCGGTGGGACAGGTTGTTGCGCTGAGAGCAGGGGTTAATCTGCAGGGTCTGAAGGAGAGCTTTAGGGTTGCGTTGGAGGACTGGGAGTGGAGGCTTTTCATGGAGTGGGGTGCTGAAGTGGGCGTTTTTGATAGGTTGGGGAGTAGAGAGGATGGAAGTGAGGGGTGGAGTGTGGGGGAGTGGTGGTGGGCTGTTGTGGGGACTGGGTGGATGGATGGTGAGGGTTTCGGGGGAGGTTTGGGAGGGGATAGTGGTGCGGTGCTCTGATTTGGAAGATATGATCTTCCGGAAGGGTGTAGGATATGGTCGATTGTGTTGCTTCAATTTTCTTTTGTTCTTTTTCTCCCTCAGTAATGGCGTTTATGGCTGTATATCTCAGATGGCTGGACACACGAAGTCTTTCGACTTAACATCCCTGACACTGGCGTTTTAGGAACCAGGCATTTTCACGGCGCTTGTCACAACTACCAAGATATTGGCGTGGAAATTTTAAAATGGCCACGGATGTATACCAGCTCTTGTAAACTGCAGTACAATATCATAGATTTTCGGATAGAAAGATTTGAATCTATAAATGTGTAAGAAAGAAAGAAAGAAAGTGGAGATAAGGGTCATAGGGGTGGATATATTTATAGCCAAAGGTTGTAATATCAAACATGCGTGCAACCATAACAATCTCCCGAGTCTCATGAAGTGCGTCACCTATCAAGTAACGAATTACTCGATATATAGAACTTACAGATCTATATAATGGAGTGAGGTGTTATCCCTTCCACGCCCAAAGAGTAGGGTTTTTAATGCGTTGATTAAGGGAGTGGAAAAAGCTTGGGCAGGGTAGTTCAATAGGTCTTCATCCTTGAAAGGGGCTCTGCTCGGGCCATTTTCGCATCCACTTTACTCTGCCTTCTCGTGCACCGACAAAACCTACTCTTTAGGGGTGGAAGGGATAGGTGACGATACAATGGAATAGAGTTGTCATAACATAGAATGGTGTTAAAACGTCGGTTGGGTTTCTGAAATTGACATCGAAGTGAGTTGGGCGAAGATGGACTAGCACGTAACATGGTTTTAGAAATCTTAATGAACGTGAGATTGGTGTTCTTGAAACTGTATGGCAACAAGATTGCACATTGAAACGTGCTGAGCCGGGGTTCCACTATGTCATGAGATCATTTCATTTGAGCTCCAGGCAGTGAGTTTGTGGCATAAAACCTGATCTCACGATCACCAAAAGAGAACCTAAGAAACAACAACCAACGCCACAGATCGTGTGCAGTTCTAGAGATTGACTCTGAAAGTGTTTTAAGAATGATTGAATGGAAGCCAGTGTCCCATCAGGGGAGAATCCTCTAAGCGAGAAAATAACAACCCCGCATCTCGTCCAATCTAAACCCCAGCAAGGAATATAACCAGAGTGCCATCCTGCTGGAGCCATGATATCTCGGCAGATGAAAGGAACAAGTATTTCCAGTATTGTTTCAATATATTTATTGTTAGGCTAAAGAAAGATCAAGCCTTCGCTAGAAAGCTTGGCCTCAATTCGTCATGGTAAAAGGCTGCTGGGGTCTTCTGACTTGATACCAACTTTTGGCAGTATTGGCATGTTCGATGTAACGGCATTTATGCATCTTGATTGCCGGGGGTTTAGAACGATAACAGTATAGTTACAGCTCTCCACTCCGAATCCAGAAAGAGGAGTTGAAATCTGGTGCTGGTACGGAGCAATTTCCAGCCAAAGTCTTCCTCGAAAAATCAAAGTCACAATCTTTGCACTTCCCAGACTTTTCCATTCGATCATGCGTGTCTCGATCGTAACTCTGTTGAGCCTTCTCACTACATATGTGTTCGCGTTAAAAATCGCCAGCAGTACAGCAACAATCGAATATACCCCCGAAGTCATCGCCATCAAAGACTTCTTCCAAGGCAGTGCATCCATCATCAATGGCGGTATCCCCAACCTCTTTAGCGATACCAGTATCGGCCTAGCCAGCAATGCCGAAACGCAAGCCCTCCGCAATTTCGCCTCCCACAAGAACCTCCGGGCCATCTACACCGTTTGCGAAGTCTACTATCGCATTGTCGCGAACAAGAAAGCTGGGTCGGGTATTGCAAGCCTGAAGGATTTGAAGGGCAAGAAGATTGGGACTATGGCAAGTACGTCGGCGGCGTATTTCGTGCAGAAGTATTTGGCTACGGTGGGGTTGAAGGAGTCTGATTATACAGTTGTGGCGGGGAGTACGTGTAATTCTGCACCATGTGGAGCGGGGACATTTCCATATATGCTTGCTCATGGGACGGTCGATGCAGTGGGAATGTGGGAGCCTACACTAGAGCTCTCCGCCCAAGCTCTGGGTGCCAATGCGATAATCTTCCAGGATCGCTCGGTGTATCGAGAGGTGTTCAACTTGCATACTACAGCTGAGAAACTGAAGGATGCGACGACGAGGAAGAGTATTGTGGCATATTTGAAGGCGCTGAATCAGGCGGAGGCATTGTATCGAGATACACCAGATAAAGTGTATTCAAGGGTGGCGTCGACGTTGAATATGAATGTGACGCTATTGAAGTCGGTGTGGCCTATTCATAGCTTCAATGGGACTTTAGCGGCGGATTTGTTGGATGTTATGGTTGAAGAAGATGCATGGGTTGCGAAGACGGATAGACGCGGCACGATTTCGAGGTCAGATTTGGCGACGATGATAGATGACAGTGTGTTGAAAGAAGCATTACAGACTTGATAAAGTCGACCGCCGCGAATTTGTTGGCCTGGCAATATCTTGACTCGAATGGAATAGCCGTGAATAGGTGTTTGACATTGGATATCCTGCGTGGATTACGTGGCTCGACAAATTTGGTGAGACCCTTGCATTCACGAAGAACAACAAGATGGCCTTTTTTGACTCTGGGAGACTCCAATGACTGGAGAAATATCTCCAGATCTGACAAACACTCTTATAAAATCCATCTTCTTAGTCTTCACTTTCCAGGTGCCTTTCACTACCTCTTCCTAGACTCCAGTCGCTTCATTCTTTTCATCCTAAATAGCCCATCTCATTTCCTACCATAGTTCTCTCCAGCGATGGCACCATCATCCGGATCCAAATCCAGCTCTACATCCAAGCCCTCATCCTCCAAAAAGCCCTCCAAGCACGATTCCGACTCCGATGATGAGTACCAATCATCATCTCGCAAAAGCAGCAAGAAACCCGACAAGAAGGAGAAGACGTCGTTGCTGAAAAGTATATTTACGAAAGATCGATCTGAAGCCCAGGAGATCTTGGAGTCGAAGTACTTTAAGGATGAGAGCTCAAAGGCTGGTAAAAGCGATAGGCTGGATAGTGCCATGTTCAAAGACGAAAGTCGTGTGCCATCGTCGAAGAAGGAGAAAAAAGATAAGAGTGCGAGGTTGGATAGTGCGATGTTCAGAGATGAGAGCGTTGCGTATAAGAGTGAGAAGAAAGAGAAAGAGAAGAGTGAGAAGAACAAGAAGGTGGAGACAGTCAAAGAGGAAGAGGAATATACGGAGGAGCCAGATTTTTCGCAGTTTGTGAGTAAATATGAGCTACCAGAGAAAGTGAAGAAGGCGGAGAAGAAGCCCGAGAAGAAGGTCGAGAAGAAGGTCGAGAAGAGTGTGAAGCCCCAGGCACCAAAGCCGAGGCACCAAAGTGTCCAGGTAGAGCCATCTGTCCGGTACGAGAGTAATAAGGTGGAGAGCAAGGTCAAAAGTGTTGCCAACTTCAAGACAGCCTTCAAGGATGACCATGATATTGAAATGGCGGCGAAGCAAACCCGAATTGCAGAGTTGACTGGCGAGGAGCTGATAGAGCAGGAGAAATGGGCGTTCGAGAAGCTGAAGGCTCATGCGGGATCCTGTCCTATGGGATTCTCATGGAACAGATATACCCAGGAAGCATGTGGCGAGCAAGAGCGACTTGACGGCTACCGCTGTGCGGGAGGTGGTCACTTTGTATCCCACGAGATGGTTGCTGAAGGCGAAGGGAGGACGATGCGAGCCACGGATGAATTCACTCGCTGGGAATTTCAGGTATCATCGGCTCAACTGATAGGCTCTCATAGGCCGATGCCTCCTCCCTACACGGGTCTGCGGTGGGAACCCGAGAATAGGTTTTTGGGCTCCGGAACACTACCATTTTCTAATCTACCTCCGCGTTTTGGCCCGTCGAATTCACCATTTGCCCGCGCACCATTCGGCGGAGGAGGCTCTGGAGGCATGGCAAACTCTCCGAACTCTGTGCATGATCCATTCGGCAGGTTCAACCCCCATGGAGGTGGAACCAACATATCGAGACATCAACAACAGCAACCAGGCGGTGGCCCACATCGGATATCAGTCTTAGATCCAAACTATAATCCTGGCCAAACTAATGAAGATGATCAGCAACAGCAACAACCAGGAGGGCATGGAGGTATTTGGGGGGATGGCGGTAATGGTGGGTTGTATGGAAGAGGTTATAATGGTGGAGGCGGTGGCGCCGGGTGGAGGTGAGAAAAGGTATGAGAGAGGTGACGGGTCAGGAGTTGAGACATGTAGGTGTGGAGAGAGCAAGCTGGACGTTTAGATAGATTGACTCTATGATGAGTAAGTCTCGGTTCTAGGAAACTAATAGATAAATGAGAATATATGGCATGACTTTAGATTGGGCGAAACTAGATTCTTGACAACTATTGCCGAAAGAGTTCACTTCATTGCTAGGATGACTGGCTCGTATCGGAATCGCTGTCATCTGAAACGCCATGGATTATTATCTACTCACCATTGTGAAGCTCAAAGTATCAGGTTTGAACCGAAGTGACCATGAATGGAAGGCTTGTTGGAGTCACGTGATGAAATGTGCTTCCCTTCAATATCAGAATGTCTCAGGGCAGAGCACAAACCTCTGACGAAATCAAAGGTACAAAATTTCATATACAGTGCTTCGTTTGTGGGTATAGGTGAGAAAGTGGCGATTCCGTCCACCTCGAATATGTAACCTGACTACATGCTCCACCCATGAATAGCCGAGTTTGCTTTGTTTCTATTTCATTTCCGTCCAATTCTCGGCCCACGCCTGAGCTCTCGCCCAACGGCGCTGGAAGAGATTGGGCCTCATATGCTTCCAATCTTTCATTATTCGTACCTGTCCTCAGCGGCGACGGAGTCAAATTTTGTCGCACTCGTCATGACTGCAGGTGGGACCGCGCTGCCATTCATTCTCCCCTTACTCGGGTCAAGCTTCCTCCTCCATCTGATCCCAACAGCAATATTCTTCTTGACGATCTATCATAATTTGGAACTCCGTTCGGTTCCCTCTCCGATCAACTGTCCATGATAACATCATTGCAAGCCCCGATATCCCCTCCAAACGCATCCAAATCCAACACTTCAATCCTCCTCATCCACGTCTCGGGCCATAGCAGAAATACCCCATGCACATCTTTCATATGCGCCTGCCACTCCTCATCAAAGATCGTTTCGCGGTTATAGCACGGTACTCGGTCTTCGCCGCGAGATACGGACAGCGATTTGCAGAGGTCGAGGATCCGGAAGCCCTCGCTGGAGGGAATGGCTGTCCAGGCGTACTTGGTATTTATATGATGCTCCCGGAGGGCACGGAAGGGATCGGGTGTGGGTGTTGAGTGCGTGTGTGAATGTGAGCTAGAGTGGGTGATGTGTGGGAGAGAGGGTGTGGATGACGAGGAGGGGAAGGCGGTTGGTGTTAGGGCTGGCGAAGGCGAGTGTGACAGAGAGTGGGTGAATGTTGCGCCGTGAGTGTAGCCTTGGAAAGGAGATGTGGAGGCGGACATCGTGTAGGAGGGATATGATGCACGTGTTGTGGATGCCATGGACATGAGGACTGCAGAAGGGGAGAAGGCGTCGGGGCTTTGGTGGGACGACGAAGAGGAGTTTGGTGGGAGGAAACTCCTTTTGTAAGAGGACATTGATTCTGTGTCCAAAGAGTTGGAATCTGAGTCGTCCGTCTGTGAGGAGAGGTAAGATGAGGTCGAGCGGGATGTGCGGTCTAGTGTTGCGGTGGGCATTTCTCTGGGGAAAGTGTTAGTACTTGTGTCTCTCGCCGTCGCAACATCAAATCTCAAGATCGATCGAAAGACCCGGGTTAAGACAATTAATGGGCAATGCATACAATCTCCCTCTTCCACTTGATCCCTCCGCAATACTCAAATTCAAGCCCTCATTTTTGATGTGTATCGCAACGTGCTTCTCAAGTCAGCTGACATCGCTCTGTTTCCACCAACCACATCCCGGAAAGGACAGAACTACACACCTTCCTCAAATTCGCAGCAGTCTTCGTCTCTTTCTGGCAAAATCCACACACGGATTCACATTTCGCTATCCGTAGTACTCCAGTCGTGTTCCAAGGAGGATGCACATGGCCTTTACTGCAGGTCGTCGTACCAAGTGATGAGGTCTCACTGCTGCTCGGGCGATCGTGTGTGGGCCGGCGGGAGGAAGTCATGTTATCCGAATGACATGAGTATGGTGATGGGTCGTTACGAGGCAGATAATCTCGTGTCCGCTGATCCAAATATTGTGATCCTAAGACAAGCATTCGTACACCTTCCCAGATATATACCTATCCGGCGATAGTTGAAAAAGCGATGTTGTGAATCTGAATTGACTCGAGATAACCAAGCCAACGTAGAGAAATCCCCCGGAATATAAATAGACGTAAACGAACAAGCCTTTCCTCCCAAATAAACCTCCGAGTCGGGTGTCCGGGTTGTTGATTTTCAGTTTGGGGAAGTGCACGGAACTGGAGAAGCCTATTGCGAAGGGGAAGGGGGGAGTAGTGAAGCGAGGAATATAGACAGGACACTCAATGAAACAAGCGACGTCTTGAAACCGTCCTCTTTTTCCACCAGCAGCAGAGGGAATGGAAGAAAGGGAAGGGCCCGTCATATATACCTTCATTTTAATACTTGCCTACGAGGACTAGTATGTTCAGCTGGCTCACCGTCTCTACCTAACCTTATCGTACATTAGTTGAATTTCATCGAAGCGGAGCAGGGTTCAGGATAGATCTCCTCGTGTGGACAGGTCAGGAAGGATGGATGGATGGATGGAATATTCTATCGCTACCAAAAGTTCGTGCGATTTGTGGGTCATGTTACGACCTTGTCCTGGCGTCCTGGCGCTCTGGCGCTCTGTTCGAACCCAGACTTCAAGCGCGTGTTGCGTTGCGGTGCGTTGCGAGTGGAAGAATCTCGCAGGAGTCTCAGAGGTAGGAGATGGGATGGAGAAGATGGATGGTGGATGGTCGTCCAGCTCGGGAAATGCTCGCGAGTGGGGGGCCGGGCCAGAGACTGGCGTTGAGGCAACAAATGATGCGATTGGCTGGGTCTTGCAGCGGGCGTGTGCGGGCACGGCGGGCGTCCCTCCCAGATGTCCTTGCACCCCTGGACTCCCGAGCCGCAATTGTATTTTGGAACGCCATCATCCCTGAGCCGGACGCTTGAGTGTGCTGTGCAGTGTGCAGTGTGTAGTACTGTGGTGGACTGAGAACAGGCGAGGGTCAGGGGTCGTGACTCTTGAGTGAGGCAGAGGATGGGATAGGTTGTTGTGATTGAGACTGGTGGAGATATTTTGGGGACGGGCAGGCATGAAAGCCCCCGATGGAGAGATGCGAGACAGGGGTCCTCCGTTGGGATGAACCTGATCTGCGGATCGGATGGGCTGTTTGGCGTGGGATGGGATGTCACGGATGAGAGAACAGACTTCGATGTAACCTGGAAACGTGGCTTTACATGATGTGGTGTCTTAGAGACGTTGAATTCCTGAGATTTGGAATACGTGGAGACTTCCGCTAGGGATCGAGAATTGTGAGACCTGGTGACAAGAGATGGGAAAAATCTAAGTCACGATATCAAGGCGAATCCAGGCATGCGAATGCAAGTGATTCTTGGGAAAGATCTCCATTACATGCTGCGATATCAAAAGAAGCAATACCAACGAGGGAGTGGTGTCTATTACCTACCGGTATCTTACCAGTCCCTCAAGGCCTGAACTGCCCTTCTACCACGGTGTTCATCTCAAGCCATCGAAACCTCACTCAAACAGCAGGTAAAGGCGAGAAAGCAAGCAAGGACAAACGGCATAAACCGCACGACATTCAATGCCCGGAAGGGCCGTAGAAGCGACCAATCGATTACTTTTCCCGAAAAAGTAAACAATACAATCGCTTGGGCTGGCTCGACAATGGTTGAGCAGGTTGACGAGTGCGTTTGCAAGATGCAAGACATTCGCGATCATACCCGCATGGGAAATAGCCCTTTTTGATATCTGACTCAATATTTGATGTTCGATGCTGCAATGAATACACCGCTGGTAACTGCAAAGCAATAGCCGGACAGGTATCTTTGAAGCAAGAGATACGATTGGTAAGCCCTCGCTTGCTGACTTGCCATGCTGCACACCTCATGTACAATGACAGGATTGTAGATATATATGCGCGCACACGCGCGGGCTGCATGCCGATGGGTACGAGTACGGCTCTAACAGTCGTTTACATTTCTGGGGCGGATTCGCTTGGAGGCATGTAAGTTCAATTGATCTGTCAATCTTACTTGCAGCATGGCCAGACTGCAGAAGGGAATTTGGGGAGTGCGGTGTGACAGGAGGTGTCTTGGTGGGGCAGGGCAAGGCTGGGCCGGGGCCCGCTGAACTACGTACCTGGACCTGGACCTTGAATGGAATCGTGAAATGTGGGGGAGAGACAGCAGGGAGGACGGGAGCGAATCGCATCTTAGATGAGATGAATTGAGTTGAGGAGATTTTTTGTTCTGAAACTTACATATTCGAAGACAGAAACAAATTATTACTGTGGATGTGGTATGTTCAGTTATTCCCGGCTGGCCTTCGACAGACGTCCACAATACCTTAAATACGTCTCTGTGTCACACCAGCTCTTTCAGACCCGGACCACGGCTTCAAGTTGACAGGGAAATAGAGTCGTATTTATGTCAAAGAACATGAAGCTTGATAGGAAAATAAGCTTGATCAGGTAGTATTTGGATCGTAAACGAGAGATTAAGTGCAAAGCCCTGCAAACTCAATCTCAATCTGCATTTCCTTGCTACAGTAAGGTGCAGCCAAAAGTATCCTCTATCAATTTTACCTTCACGGGAAAACCCCACCTCACACTCACTCACTGATACTAGTAATAATCCCAAAATGCGATTCGTCCAATTCTTCTCATCTGCCTGGTTCTTCTGCAGGATGGGAACTCTATTTCTCTGAGGATCCTCCATATCTTTGCAAACACTCTTCTCTCCTTCTCATCTCACCATCACCCACCAACCACCAAACAAGGTCTTTCCCGCCTCTATCTCACAGCTTTCTGCAAGGAAGCGAAAGAAGAGGGATTTAGAGTTTTCCCAAAAGTCCATCCTTGCCCCGCTACGGAGTAAATGTCTTTCTAGGAAAGAAGCCACAGGGTTTGACAGGGATGGGATGAGATCGGAGGTTACTTCGTTTCCGCAGGTCGAAACGGGTGATCCCCATGTTCGTTGCATGTCTGTGCGACGGCGCTGGTGCTGATGCCACGAGGTTGGCTAGGTCTTGAAGAATGGAAGAAGGTTTGGGAAGGGTTGGGGGTTGTGGCTGGGGTTGGGTTACATTTGGGATTTTAGGGAGGGAGGAATAGGAGAGTAAGGCGAGGTGGCGTGTTTGCCGGGTCATCGGGTGGCAGTATTAGGTCTTTGGTTTTACGGTGGAGTTGAAATCAATGGGAGATGCCTTGGTTCGGAAGCTGGATTTTGTTTCCAGAACGAAAGAGGGGTGAAAGTGAAAGGGAACTGTGTCCGACGAATCGCGTTGCATCGTATGGTACTTACATATGAGGGTTCGAAAGAACTCAAAAGAGAGATGAGATAGAGTTTCTCCCCGAGTCCTGTCTCCACAATGTAAGAAACCTGAAAAACAGGTCAGGCGTGTCCCAGGAGCCAGGATTTTGGATGAACACTGTAGGTGTGGAGTGAGGGGATGGCATGCGTGATTCATGATGCGATTGGTCGGATCTGCCGTCAGGCACTGTCTGATATCTGGAAGCTGGATACATTTTTTGAGGCTTGGGCGGATCAGGATGCTGGATTTTAGATGGTTCTTCTAGAAGACAGAGATGATGTGGAATTTGACCTAGAGGCATGTCTTTCGATACATGGAATAGGATTGCATGGGGTTATGGAGGGGATCGGATGATGTGGATGAATATACTTCGAACTATGGAGGTAAATAATGCCCATGTTGTGGCAAGACTCTTGACTTTGGGGAAAGTTGTTCTGGGTAGAAACTTGCGATTGAGTGGATACTGCGGGGACGAGTATCCGGATTGGAATTGCTGATAACATGTCTAGGAGTTTGCTTGATGGATTCAGGAGGGATGACTGGGAGGAGCGATGGAGGCTGAAATAAATGAGATTTAAATAAAAATCAATTGGCGCGGTTAATGGAACCTGAGGGTGGACGATGAGGTGCAAATGAAAATGGCAAGATAAGTGTGGGAGTTGGAAGTCCGCTTGCGATAGGATGTTGGTATCGAGTGTGAAGGCAAATTGGCCGAAATTTTGCGAACATGGATAGTGTGATGGTGATGCGTGTTGATGCATTTGAATCTCGAAAGTATGACCTGAATAGTCTATATATGCGAAGGGTTGAATAAGTGACAGCAAATTGTAGAGAGAAATCAACTGGATCGCCATCAACCACACGGTTTGTATCAAGACTCAGATGTGACAAGTCACAATCCGTTGCAGTATCTTGGTTAAAAGTTGCGATAGGACCACGAAGCCACCAGATAGGATGATTGCTCCGTCTGTGAAGGGAATATGGCTTTAGTTGTTTTGCTGGACAAAGGAAAATGAACATTGTGCTGATTTTACTTCATGGTAGCAAAAGCGTATCAGGGGTTAGCGCAGAAAAAAAGACGAGAGTTCTGGAACCATAAATTGTGAAATCGGAAAGGATGTGTAACAATGAAGTAATAGCAGTAATCTAAAGAGAAAATTGGAAGTAACGTGTTATATTTCCTTGCGGGAGCTTGAGTCTCAGACGATGGCAGATCTGCGATATCACCACCAAGCCATGAATTGAAGTTCGAAAGCAAAAAGGAGCACACGATAAAAACAATGACCAAAATTCAGACCAGCCCAGACTCTCCTGCGCCTCAACAATGACATCAGTGAGTCCATTCACATCTCACACAGATGCGTCGTGAGATGTGCCCATGCGGGAGAGAGCTTGAGCCACGATGCGCAGTGCTTGCAGCAGCATGACTGCATGAGCCGAGGTCCATCATACTGATTGCGAACACCACATTGGACGAACTGTGGCACAGCTTGTACCTTTCAAGCCACAGATATGGAAGTTGGATAGAATTGGGAATTGTCCGATGATTTGCAGGCGTGGTGGAGGTTTGAAGGAAAACGAGATTCGGAGTCGGCGTGAGCCTTTGAGGCGAGATACCGAGTACAAATTGGGCAAGCAACCTGGTTTGTACCAACAGAGTACCGCAGACGGAGAGACATGAGAAGTGGAGACAGAGACTTATAGATTGCATCAAATGTCTTTGTAAAAGGTCCAGTACAAGCAGAATGTAGACCGCCCATCTCATACTCATTTTGTACCTGAAAGGCTATGGCTAATGAGGTGACAAAGGAGCTGCCCTACATCCGTACTGCCAATGCAAGGTCCACGAGTTTGCGCTTCCTTTTGCGTGATGCCGTCAGAAATGTGTATCTGCCGTCGTCTGTAAAGTCCAGATACGCTTTTGTATTGGTGCAGGCCGTTAATGCTATTCATCTCATGCCAAATGAGGACGATCATTGGCCATATATCATCCCGGGTCTGATCTGGTATCCAGACTTGGTTGGCTAGGTGCGCTTGGCTTCAAATACACCAGTTGAAGCTAGGATATCGATATACAAGGGCCGTCAAGCGGTCTGCCCCTCGGAATAGATTGAAGTGGCCGGCAAGTCTTGAGGTGACATCGCATCGCAAGCAGCCGTCAGCCCTAAATGAAGTCGGTGGGAATCCTCAGCCCTGTGACGATGCTAGACGATGCACCCCTCGGCGAGCAACCAATATGATGCTGGCGACAATGTAAGCTGCAGCGCGCCAGCAGGGCTGTGAGGGCCGATTGCTGCAGGTGAGAGTATGGTGGTGGCATGGTCCTCGGTACTGTGGGTGCTGGGTACATTTTATTTGGTGTTGATGAGAATGAATAAAATCCTGTGTCTCTCCGAGCTCCCTTATCGTCTCTTTCTCCTGACGAAAAGCACCAAGCTCCTCCTTATTAACACTTTGATTTCTTACATATATTTGCGCCATTGCCGGAGGCGCTGGACCTTGCCTATCGCAGTACCATTGTGGACGGATCTGCCCCTTTCAGCATACGTATTCAGCACACTGGATTTGTGTTGCATCACGGCCTTCGAGGATTGACTGGCCGAGCAGCCATCGGTGGTTTGATTTGGCTGGGGGTCGTGTCCTACCTGATTTGCTTGCATCTGCTGCACTGCACTGCACTGCACTGCACTGCACCACTGCACTGGCTGCTGTTAGCTGCTGCACAGGAGTTGATCTCCACATGGGAGTTGGCCGTCCTTGCTTCGGTACTGATACCATATTTCACTTCAAAGGACCCTCGCATCCGCGATACAAAGAAAACCTCGCGAAAACCACTACCAAGACGAAACCTGGAGAAGCGTCACAATTGTCGGGACGGAGACGTACCAAAGCAGCCACCATCATATGGATACCTGAGCGGCAGTGAGAGGCAATTGATGGGCTTCATTATCATTCTTATCACCACCACTCATTAATCATCAATTGGCATTTGCCCGGAAGAGAAACCTACCACCAAAGTGAGTTAAGCTTCTTGCGGAGCACAGCGCACACTTCCTATCTCTCCCTGATCTTCAACCACGACTATCCGAGACCACCCACACCCACCCACTCGAGCCACTGGCTGCCCATCATCCCATCACTTCTCCGGAACTCTCTTCGATCCCGTCTCCGTTGTCTGCAGCAGCCGGTAGAACCCGCAGATCTTTCCTCTCTCGCAAAGAGGGAGAAGGGAGAAGGGAGAAGGGAGACGAGAAAGTGAAGTGTCACCAGAAGCAAGGGGCACGTCGGCACTGCAGATTCCGCAAGGGGATTGCCGTGAAGTTCCCCTCATTCTGTCTTACGTCCCATTGTCTTGTGATGCGGAGATTGCACCGACTACACAAAAACAATCCTGTTCCCACGCCATCAACCAACACTTGACTAGCCTTGTACGACATCTGGCTGGTAGGACTTGCGCAACTTGCGCGACTCTACACATTCCACCAATTTCTCCTACTCCATTCGCCCCCTTAACTTGACAAGTCAGAATGATCGCTCGCGTCACCTCTTGCACGTTATAACAGCGGGATCTTGACCTCGCAGGTTTCTGTCTTGCAATCTGAATCATCTGCTTACCAGCCTTGCGATAGCTTCCTGCGGTTCCGTTCGAATCGAGCTTGGTTAGATATACGAGGATAGAGGGACAAGCAATGCTTGAGCGGAGCTGGAACACAAGATGGAGGCGCCCAAACCGAAAGACGAGACTGTAAAGAAGCAGAGGAGGGCTAGCAAACCTAAAGTCAAGACAGGGTGTAATAATTGCAAGTGAGTCGCGATTTTTCTGTCTGGGTTATGCTGGGTTGTACTGACTCGGAGCAGAAACCGTAGAGTGAAGTGCGACGAGACTAGACCACAATGTATGTTCAGCGAAAGGATTGAGTGTAGACCTGCTAACAGCAGTAGGTCTGAAGTGTGTACGGTCAGGAAGACAGTGCGAGGGGTATCCGGCATACAAGAGAACGTTAGAGTCGGCCATCCCAATTGCTCCGCGACCCGAGAATCCTTCAGGATCTTCAATTTCCTCCGCCTCAGGATCTTCTGCATCATCTGGATCGCCGCCAGCCGCGAGACACCCAGTTCGAAAACATCGCGTCATTCAAGTGCCTCGAGCTCGAGTTAAAAAGCGGCAGGTTGTGATACCTGATAACCCGGTTGTGAAATATATATCCCCAAGACAAACGCCCGAATTACCATCTCCGACGCTATACAGGCCTGGAGGTTTTGCATTCGATTCGCAGGAGGGGCAATATTTCCAGGTTTTCAGGACGCATACTGCGAGTGAACTGTCTGGGTTCTTCGATTCCGAATTCTGGCAAAGAAGTGTTCTTCAGGAAAGCCATTCCGAAGCATCGATACGACATGCTGTGGTTGCACTCGGAGCTTTATACAAAACCTTAGAGAAGGCGTCGGAATCACCACCTGGTTCTCCGGATAATGGAAATTTTGATACGGCGCCTAAGCATTACAATTTCGCATTGCAGCAGTACGGAAAGGCTTTGACGAGATTACGAGAATCTTTAGAGAATAGAGAGACGAGATCAGAGAGGACGATACTTATATCCATTGTTCTGTTTACATGTTTCCAGTCCTTTACTGGAGATCACAAGGCGGCCATATCACAGATCCAGCATGGCTTAGGACTCCTCGAGGAACGGCGACACGATTCGAAGCAGCCACTGATACGGAGGAAAGACGATGTCGTAGAAGACGAATTGGTTCAGATGTTTACACGCCTTGCGATCCAGGCAAAATCTTACGATATGGCATTCCACTTTCCACATCCCTATGTGATCCGTCTTACTCCACAAACACGGCAAGATCCTACATCGCCACAATCCCAGTCATCCCCTTCAGATACCTCCAGTACATCAATCGATCCAAATATCCCAGAGATGTTTCTCAGCTCGCAGGAGGCAAGAACAGCTTTGGACTCCATCTGCGAACGTATTATGCGGTTCCAGGAGTTACTCTCCTCGTACCACCATGGGCCGAACAACATTCTTCCCAAATCTGTGCAGTCTCTAGGTATGGGATTTGGTATGCAACTCAAGCAGTGGGGATCTGCGTTTGCACCGCTGTTGGAATCTCGTCGAAACCGTGCAGTAACCATCACAGAAAGAGCTGGTATCGACGTTTTGAAGATGTTGCACCTGATGACCGGCATTCTCTACCAGATGGGCTTCAGCACAAGCGAAAAGGATTTCGACAAATTCTACCCACTGTTCAAAGAGATCGTGGAACTTGCAAAGGAAGTTGTCGTGGACGAAGAACTTAGTCTTGCACAAAAGCGATGTGGCAGCATCACCTCCTGCCGCCACAGACAAAATCCAGGTTACGACTTCCCTGGCTTAGCAGCCCATCAGCCTGGGACATACAGAGAAGAAGAGGATTATTCACACATCAAAGCCTCGTTCGCTCTCGATCTTGGCATCGTCCCACCCCTCTTCGTCGTAGCAACTAAATGCCGCGATCGCAAACTCCGACGTGAAGCTATCCGTTTGCTGATGTCTAGTCCGAGACGAGAAGGTATGTGGGATTCTATCCTCAGCGGAAGAGTTGGAAGCTGGATCATGCATATTGAAGAGGCGGGCTTGACACCCTGGGATGGCAGGGGTGCTGGGATGGGAGAGGTGGTACCGGATGAGAGGAGAGTCATGGTTAAGGAGATTCTATTCGATATGCAGAGTCGTGAGGCTACGCTTCGATGTGGGACAAGAGGTGCGAGGGACAGTGATTGGGATGATAGGGCGAGGGAGACGCATATTTCGTGGTGAGGTGGATTGGATAGATGATACATGTATAGATGAGGCATGTGTGCATGCATTCATGAGCGACACGAGCTATGAGCGACGAGATTTGGATTTTGGGATATGGGAATTTGCATCAGATCGGACACAATATTGGATGAGCAAGCCTATTTCTGGGCGATTTCAAGTCTGATAAACGGCTTTGGCTCATTGGTACATGATACCTGCGCGGGAGGTATCTATCGTTATCCACGATACCAAGCTATCTCTATCCGGCGTTTGAGATTTGATTTGAATCGGGCGATTGCAATCGGCGAGCGACATCGCCCTCCTTTTGGATCTTGAGGCTTCGGCGGCGTCGAGTTGCGTTGTCCAGTTGTCTGGGGAATTGAGAGAAGCATATAGCGCAATCTCGAGAGGAGAGTCAGAGGGGAAGCATGTTGTTTTGATTGATATACCCTCAAAGTTTTGGCCGTTTATATACCAAGCCATTTGTCACACTTTGGGCATTTCACTCCCTTAATTTATTCTCTTTTATAGGCATTTCTCCAAATGGTACCGAACAGACAGTCTTTCAATCCCTGGACAGCCAAAATCTTCTAAAGTCCCAATGTCCCAATGTCCCCATTCCACCACACTTCTCCTTTTGATCATTCGTGACCGCCTTCGTTGGATGGCCAGGCATTTCCGTGTCATAAGTTTCCTAGATGCGGCCCTTCAATTGCCGTACGCAACGGGATCTGACAAGTAGGCCGCTCGAAGATCCGGACAGGAGGGTTTGCTGGTTCGGGGTTATCCCGGCATTCGACCTGCAGCCGAGGAGGGGTCAGTCATGACGTCTCCTAGGTCGCCGCGGGGTAGCAAGCAGCAGGTTTGATCTGGGTATAAACATCCTTGAGTTCTAGAAAGCTTTTTATCTGCCCGAACAAACATCATTCGATTTGACTCAATATATTTCAATCCGAACTCAATATCAGTTGAGAATCATACGACACTTGAAAGATGGCGGATACTAAAAATATTGCTGTTCTGGACGTGAGTTTGCCTTATGCTCCGGTACCCCGCACTCCATACATCATTTTTTTTTCTCCGTAGGGAATCGAGACATATCTACAATCTGGACTGGACTAGGAGCTATGGATAGTTCCAATGGAGCTTGGGGAGTGCAATTGGCTCTTTTCTGAGCTCCAGGAGCTTATGGCCTACCTTTCATCCAAGTGGTTCGGACGACCTTCAACTCATCAGCACGTGTCTCTAAAGCAAGATATTGAATCCTCCCTCCTTCTCCTCCCTATTACCTCTTCATATAACATCCCCTGCATCAACAGGATCCCTCCACTAATGTCCTCTCCTCCCTCCAGTCCTCAATAGTCGACCGCCTCCCCGCCTCCTCCTCCACCCTCTTCGCCGCCAAAGCCTCCAAACGCCTAACCTTTGAATCGATCGCCTCCTCTCTCGGACGCAGCGAAGTCGCCGTCGCAGCGCTCTTCTATGGCCAAGCGCAAGCGAGTGTTGAGGATGTGAAGAAGCTGGCGGAGATACTGGATGTGGATGAGAAGAAATTGGGAGAACAGCTGTTGGGTTTTCCGGATAGAGGGAGGGCGGGTCCGATGCCGCCGGTGGAGCCGTTGATTTATAGGTTGTATGAGGTGGTGCAGAATTACGGGTGAGTTATTTCAAAGTTTCTGCGGGACGGAGGTCCTGGACAGGAGTTTTGCCTCGCGGGTGGGGAGCGGGAGGGATGGGGCAGGGTGAGGTCTTTTTGCTGACAGGGATTGATCTGATTAGGTATGCGTATAAAGCCATCTTGAACGAGAAGTTCGGCGATGGTATCATGTCTGCAATCTCGTTTAGCACGAAGGTCGATAAGGAGATTGATGAGCAGGGGAATGCCTGGGCGGTTATTACAATGAGGGGAAAGTGGTAAGTTTCGACCTTCTCGATTTAATTCCGTTCCGTTCAGGAAGAAGAACGAAGAAAGAGAGAGGGAGGGAAAACGCTTTCGGATGGCATGCTAATAATGCTTGTAGGTTGCCATTTACTCGATTCTAGATGCGGTTTTGATATGCATTGTGGCAGATCGGAGATGGGGAAGGCGGTTGGTGAAAGAGCAGCAGGCCAAAAATTTCATTGCATCAAATACAGAAATGAAGCTGGACTCAAGATCGTGATTACTACCGTTGTTATCTTTCAGTTCCGAGAATTCCCACTCGCATAGTACCGGATTCTCTCAATGTATCCGTTGCAATAGTCATTAACTCATTTTCAGGATGTTGAACAAATGAAGTTTTTTCCCAGAGGTTATTTAATCGTTCATTATTCCTCGGAACAGAATAAAAAAACCGGCATCTCTCCATAATGATGTCCTACAAATAACATTCCTTTACGATGATAAAATACGTCCAAGTCTACAGTAGCAATACGCAGGCGAGTCCTTTGGGGCCCATCATAGTCCCCGATAGTCACAAATACATTCTTCTCTCGACGTGGATGACCCTTTGTTGAAGTGTTCTGATCCAATTACCGACATGCATGCGTAGTTGTTGTGATGCCCAAGGAGTTTAGCGAGACAGCTAAGTCGAGAACCTGATTGATTGTGCTGGAGACCAGCTTGCGGAGTTGGCATCAGGAATTCAAAATCCGAGGAAAAGAAGCAAAATAAGGTCAAACTGGCGCTGTCAACCATCTTTCATTAAGCCAGAACAGGTATACCAAGCATCGAAGAAGTATTGTGTCCTCATGTCATGACATAAATCTTCCTCGGTCTTTGTCACGGACAGCTGAGACAGTTCTTGCACCTGAACTTGCTGCCTGAAGGTGCAAAAACTCTCCCTAAACTTTCTCCTGCCTCCTTACGTACTTCAAATGGAGTGGAATATCAGGCTTCATCGCAGCCGTGTTATTCCGATTCAGCGGGGGAGGCTGTGGAACTGGCGAGCCGTGCTTATCAGCGAGCGTGAAATCACACGTTGCTACGAAGAAAGCGACAATGATGTTCATTTCCAATTTAGGGAACTAGAACAAACAGTCAGAGAGTATTTTGGTAAAGAGGCGGATTGAACTTACTCTCATTCCAGCTATAAAACTTTTTGTTGGCAAAAGTGTTGGATGAACTGGGAGTGGATCAGGGGAAAGGTACTCACGACATGGATGTCTTCCAAGGCCCCAGCCAATGAAGCCGAATTTATCGGAACCTTCTGCTCGATCTGGGAGATATTGTGCAGGGTCCCAGGTTTCAGGATCTGTGTAGATATTTTCATCGCGGTGTACGTCGGCAACGTGATAAAGCTGCTAATGTCAACCAGTGTAGTCGATAGTTTACGGCCGTTCAAACGACCCCGTTTTCGAGATTTTAAACTAACTAGCGTTTTAAGCCTTAAAAACTAACTTAAGTCCGTTATATAAAGCTTAAAACGAACGAAACGGGGTAGTTCTTAAGAACGAAGTAAATAAACTATAGCGATTTATATAACGATTTAAGAGTAGGTAGCTAGCTCGGATAGCTCAGTTAGCTATTCCTATTTAAGAAGGTTAACCTGAGCTAAGCGAGAACACCTCCTTTAACCTCCTTAACTTTCTTTTTACCTTAGTTACAGATTTTAAAATAAGCTTAATTACTTTTACTTAATATCTTTAGTATATAAGACTATTATTATAATATAATTTAGTCTTCTATAGTAAGGTAAGTGTTATAAAAATAGTCCGTTTTAAAAACGAACCTGTTTTACTATTAATATATAAACTAACTACAGTTTTAACTTATTATAACTAACTATAGTTAGTTTAAGGATTTTAGTAACGAACAGCAGTTAGTGCTAATTCTTGACAAAACGGCAAAACTATCGACTACACTGATGTCAACAAAGGCATCTCCACAAACAACCCCGTTCTGATAAATTACTCACAGCAAACACCCCATTTGGCACAACTTCTCCACCAATCGTAATATCCTGACCACTCACATTCCTACGTTGCAAAACACCCTGTCCTTGAACTCTGATCGTCTTTTTCAGACAAAGATCCAGCATTGGGAATTCGCTTTCCCAAGCTTCGACGGGAAGGGTGAGTAGTTGATCTGAGAGCGATGAAGTCTTGTTTGCTGAGTATTTTGCTGCTGTGGTCTCTACTTCTTTGCGGATTTCGGCCAGCCAGCGGGGATTGGTGGCGAGGTAGCATAGGAGCCAGCCTGAGTTGACGCCGCTGTTTACCACACCTGCGAAAAGGGAGCCAATGATGAACTGGTTCTTGTTAGAAATCTCTATCTGTATTCGAAATTTTCGAATCTCTCTGGCTAGAACTTACACCGATCATCTTTCCAAGATCATCACCCTGATCCATCAGAAATTGCAAGGTATCATTCTGTCTCTCTCCCGTCCTCTTCCTCTTATCCACGACAGCTTTCAATATGAAATACAATCTCGCACCAGCGACAATCTGATTGATGAATGATGGAGTGAAAGCCTTGACAATCCACGGCAGTACAATGATCGATGGATTATAACTTTTCTCCATCGTCTCATAGATGTGCCTCGTTTTCTCAAGTAGTGCAGGATCATCAGCGATGTCGTTGCATCCGACATTGCGGACTGTGAGCTGGAAGACGAGACTATGGATACTGTCGAAAGGGTCTGTTGTACCTGAGTCTCCGAACTCTTCAAGTCGGGTATGGGTATCGCACAACATGGTCGGGACGGCTGGAACAGTCAATTTCTGTATTCGGTGGCCGGAATGGTTAGCCGACTTACTCTTCCCAAAGTTCTCTCGAGACAGCATACGGTTGATTCGGCGGTTGAAATAATCAGCAAAACCGGTCGTTTCCTGAATTCGCTTTCCCCCTTTCAGTGTCTGGGGCGGAGCTGGTAGTTGAGGGCTGAGATTTGTTCTGCCGCCTGTCAGTCAGTCTTCACTTATAAAAATCTGAATTATCTCAGAAAGGACACATACCCTTTATTTAAACTCAAGACCTTCGATTCCAAGAAGTCCTTCCTAGCCTGCCTTCCGGAAAACCCAATCACTGCATACTTGCCCAAATAGAAACTGAAATTACCGGTCTTGCTCTCAGCGATAGCATCGCGGTAGAAATCCCATCGAGCAGAGAAGTAGCGAAGTGCGCCAAACACGGGATATTGATCTGAAATGAGTGCCGGAGAATCCGGAGAGAAGCTTTGTCGAGGAGAAAAGACGACGTAGGATGCAAAGATTGAGACTAGGCCAAGCAGTGCTAGGACAGGCCAGGATGCCTCGGTGAGTGAAGATGCGAAGAGACTCAGCATGTTTGCATGCAAATGAGAAGCACAAATATCGTTATTCGGAAACCATCAGAAGGGCAAAAGATGATGAGAAGATATGGAGAGGTGATGAGGTATTTGTACGTGAAGTTAAAATAAAGTTGTACGTAGGTTGGGGTTCAGACTGTATTTATCCCAGCCATGTCGTACAACCCACCCAACTGATCACCCGAGCCCCAAAATGACTGGCTGTAATTCCGATCCTGAAACACTTCGCATTTTCTGCTTATGACAATCCGCTCGGTATCCTACAGGACTGGCCAGTGAACTGCATGAGCTGTCCAGTAAGGAAAAACATAGCAACTCTAAATATGGGGTTTGCGGCGTGAAGCGAAGGATCAGCACTCGGGTAATATTTTGGGGCACAGAAAACCATGTCAGAAGTATGATGGAATTGATGATTTGCACGGGATTTTATCGTCAAAGGGGGTACTTAATAGGGCTCGATTTGAAAGTTTCATGCCCAGGAGATTGCCAGTGCTCTGGAAAAGTGAAGGAAAGGGGCCGCCTTGACGTGAGTTCGACTGAAACAATCCCTACAAGAGATAGAAAGCAAACAGCAGAAAAGAATCGATTTCACTAAACAAGGAAGTGGGAAAGAGTAGTTGTGAGGGTCAGAACAATAGAGAGAGGTGATGTGAGGCGACTTTCCTCTCTTGCCTACATCGTCGAGGATAGTTCTTACGAAAAGTCTATCTCAGAGCCATGGGGAAGATGGATATGAAAGAAACGGCAGTTCGTCTTGAAATCTTCTGAGACTCAGAGCTTTATCTAAACAAAGTTCATACAGCTCCACCGTCAGCGACCTTCCTCCTCACAAACTAAACTCCAGCCTATTCCCCGCATAGTCCCTCGCAAAGAATCTCGTTGGATACTCAACACCTTTCGCACCTATGAAAGTATTAGCTCAGTCTGTTATTCTTCTCCTTGACTTTTCAAACTCACCACTACTCTCTGCGCCGGGCTTATCCGCCTCCCTCGGCGCCGCATCGCCACCCCGTTCAAAATGCTCATAGATCTTCTTGCGCAGTTCAAGAAGTTTCTCCGCGGTGTCGATCTTGAAACAGGGATGGCGCGAGGAGGGGACTGGGTCGGGTGGTCCGAAGGCGATGTGGATTTGTTGGCCTGAGGTGGATATGTTAAACCTGTGGGTTGCGGGGTGGGGTGTTAGTCGTGTGAGTATTGTTATGTTCAGGTGATGAGGTTTGATGTTGGTGAAAATTGATTTCATTTGAGGTTTAGGATTTAGATTGCGGGTCTTCTTGAGAGGATGTTGGGGATGTTGGGGACGCTGGGGACGCTGTGCACGCCGACGGAGGGGTAAAAGTGGGGTGTGGGAGATAGACGATTGTATTGGTATAGAATTTCCAACAGAAGTACGACAATAAGAATTGGAAAACGAGAGAAGAGTGACATACCATGCCAATGTGCCTCTCTGTAATTGAGGGACAGGAGATTGTGTCAAGCCAAGCGTCTCGCCGTAAAATTCTGCAGCTTGATCAAGTGTTCCAGGTGGGACAGTGAGATTGACATGTGCGAGGCCTGAGATCAAAGCCATGGTTCCTGCTGTTCTTTGGACGCTGGATTATAAAATACTGCTGGAGATCAGACGTTGTTTGTATAGAATAAAGACAGTTTGGTAGAAGAGATCTTGGGTAGCTGACAATGAATGAATCTTAAAAGAACGATCCGATGTCGCGATGGCGGGGGTAAATATTCACCAGATGCTTGCACGTGATACTGCGAAGTCCAGTCGCATTACCTACAGATCTTAAAGTCGCTGAAGCGAGGTTAAACACGAGTAACCACAACAATTATTATTTCTGAGTTTAGCATTCAGTGCAAAAACAGATCAAGTCCCATCACATGCCGACAACCAACTCCAGCTTATCGTAACTAGTATCAATCGCGCTTTTGCTCCCCACGTTCCCTCTCCAACGCCTCGAGCTCACGCTCAAGCTCGCGCTCTCGTTCCCTCTCGTCGGCCTCCTCTCTGGAGCCAAGATTCTTGTCGGGAAGCTGGATGGCACGATCGATAGAGTTCGGCAAGGGTCTATGACGTCCTTGGAGCATGAGATACAACAGGCAGACTTTGCTGAACCAATGCCAAGAGCCGCTGAGAGAGTAGGACTGGTCTGAGAGGCCCATACTCAAACCAATGTTCGCATACGCAGAGAAAACTTCGAAGATACCAGGAAATACGTTGAAATTTAATGGGGAGTTCCTGCCACCCTCGATGAAGGTAATCGCGACCAAAGCTAACATGATAGACCAGGCGTCGTGGCTTACTTGGGTCCGAACTTGTTGGGTTATGTAGTAGAATCGTCCTCTGAAACCTTTGGTGACGATGGGTGAGCTGTTCTCCTCGAGATCGATTGGCTTGCTGGGAGTGTAGATGCCAAGAGACCTTTCTTCGTATACATTCGAGCTTCGAATCATAATTGTGACTGGAAATGCGGAGATGTACCTGTGTCGCTAGATGTCAACAAGGTTGATCTGAAAATCACGAAATGCTTTCGAATATAAATGCGAGTACGAGAAAATGTCTTGCTTTACTTACATCATGCCAATGTAGAGAGTCAAAAGACCAGACGAGAGATCGGAGACTGAGACAATGTTGAATCCACTGCATCTTACAGAAAGAGATTGGAACAATCCATCCAAACTTTTATTGCCCAATGGCAAGTTCTTGAGCTCAGGAAGATCTCTAGCAGACGTTTCAAATGCTACCCAGTCCACACCATTCAAAAACAACAATCCAATAAGCAGGAAGAGTGTTTCTCGAGGGGGGAACAAATGTGTATAAACTCGGCGAGGATATTTTAAAGTGTAGGTAATAGTAGCTCGAGTTTTGTCATACTTGGAGCTTCGAGGCAGCACTTTTAACATTATCCACAAGGTAAGTCTCAGGAAGATCGGGAATCTATGACAGTCTTAGTGATGTTGAGAGGAGTGCTAGTAAATGGACTAACCCAGTATTGCCAGCTAACATAAGGATACTCATCACAAGGACAGGGAATGGAGAGGTCTTAAAAGGCATCTGCGACATTGTTAGACGTTTAAAAGAGCTACAAGAGGGAAACTCACCATTGAGTTATTCATAAGACTCATTCCTGCATTGTTGAAGGCCGAGATAGAGTTGAAAATGCCAAGGGCAATTGGATTAACACCATCGCGAGCGATGACATCCGCTTCGTAGAGTTGAAAGAATATAGCCAGAGCAATAGCACCCAACAGTTGCAGAATCATGGCATAGCAAGCAACCACACGACGCAGCAAGCTGATGGACAGGTACTCGGCGCAGACCACTGATTCTCGCTGGGATCGAGAAAGGCCGTGAAACGTAGCATTCCTACCGACTGTGGCCTTACTAAGGAATTCACGCCAGTAAACCATTAAATTCGAAGCAACCGTTGCTGTTCGTATTGTATACGATGACAGGGTTCCGGTAGCGGATGCTTCGCCATTCTTCGTCGCATTTTCAGGACTTTCAGTGGCTAGTTCTAGAGACACGATTATCAGCAAGCATTCAGCAGACATTGAATGTCCTCAAGTCCCGCTGTGTCCTCGAAAACTTACCGATGGAAGGTTGCGGGCCCTGTGAAGCTATCCTATTAGCCTGCTCTTGTCTGCGACCATTGTCGATGATCTCGCCGTAAGAGTCTTCCATGGATCGTCTTCGAACAGTCAAAACCACGATGCCAATAAGGGGTGAGCTTCCAAGGATGAAACTGATGCACATCAGAATCTGCTGGAAGGTATTGAGGGTGGAGACGTTCTCTGGCGCAAGGCCAGTGACCGTGATAGCCGAAACAGCAAAGAAGAGACAGTTGAGGTAAGTGTGAGTGCGCTTCGTGCCCTGGAACCCAAAGTGCAGAAGAGAAGAGAAGAGAGACCAAAACAGGAATGCAAACCAATGCAATTGTAAGAATTCAAAACGGTTCATGTAGCTGTAGACCCTGTTGTAGATCCTGTCAAAGACCTCAGCACCCGGCAGAACAGAAAGAACCTTGGCCTTGATCAAGCTTGCACGACCAAGACAGCGGGTAACGAAGAGCTGTGATTTAGAGGGACGTTTTGCGGGAGCAACCTCCATCTCTTGTTCGACTTTTGGACGCTCCATGGGAACAGTGTGCGAGAGTAAAATCTCGATCTGTCGGCGTGTAGAGAGACGTCGTGTTCTTGCACTTGAAATTTAAATTGAAACAGACCGAACCTCTAATACATCTGACCCCCACCAAGAAGCTATACACTCCCGAGAAACGTGGGGGCACTCAAGTACAGGGCCATTCCCCTTTGGGATAGTTATCAACAAAGGCTGGAAATCAAGTATTTACGGTGGCAGCCGGCATCGGGGCGCGCATAACCTCAGGGACCGCTTTCTTGTGATTGCGGTGATGGAAGGGGGCAGAATTTCCCCTATCTAAACTACCAGCTGCATGCTTTACGCATCCGAGACAGGAAATGTGCTTATCAATACGACTATGAGTGGTACTTGGTTCTCACTTTCATCTTGTCGCGCTCCTCACCACTGTGAATGAGTTTGATAAGGGCGTACAACATTGGCCTCATCTCGACCAATCGAATCGCAGGGATTGATAACGTGAGCAATCCCCCGACAACAGGTGGTAAGAGCCAAACGCAGCAAAACAATGCAGAAAAGACAAATTGGAAAACTGCATGGCAGTATTCTCTTTCAGCCAGTCTTATAAATCTCAAAGCAATGCAGAAGGGCAGCTGATAAGTCTTTTGAGGATAATTGAAGCAAAGCATCAAAGCATTCTGTCAAAGAAGCAAAGCAAACAAATCGACATCCTCCACTGCACAGATATCGCCCATCAGAGTCCACGCTCAAACTTTCCACGAGTTTTCTAGGAATGTTGAGAGCGAGCCGGATTCAGCCAAGTGATGGGCTTTACCAACGGTCGACTCCTTGGTCATAGAAGATTTGACAGATAAAAAGCTTGAGTCTTCGTCATTTCACGGACTGCAGCAGTCCTCGTCTTTAGTTACGTTGCCGTGAGAAATGCAGATTAGGGTGGTGGATCATGGAGGGCTCTTGTTTGGCTTGTGCAGTCCATGGAGCGAGGCAGAGTCTGAGGCCTGACTTAAACTATCCGTCGGCACGAGTGGAGTCATGAGGCTCCATCCTTGCCGTCAAAGAGAGTAGTGACATGTCAAAGTAGAATATTTCTACAGTCTTTGTTGCCAGGACAGGTTTTCGGTCTTGATGCGAGAGCTGGAACATGAATACTGAGGGAGGTTCTGATCCAATAGAGCTGTCTTTCCACCAAGTGCTATTCTCACCCCGCGTATGAGAAAGGATGTTATGAGGGTATAATACAATCATATAACCGTACTCTTCAGTTCTTGAAACAATTAGAAGTTCTGATGCTGGAGGTGGGAGGAGAACGTCATGAAGTGGGGAGTGGTCGTTGCTTTGTAGTGCCGCCAAGTCGCTTAATTTTCGGACGCGCCCTACTGCCTCGTTCAATTATGAAAAAGGGGCATGCTCACTTCCAGCTGCCAAGTCAAGTTGGATTGCGGCGGAGAAACTGGCCACATAAACTACGCTCACCACACCCACCTCTCTGAAGTCACTTATCATATGTACGCACGTCCACGGAACTCTGCTGGGAGCCACGCGTCGGTACTTTCCTGATATCTGTCAGGTAGGAACTCGATACCACAGTAACAAACTATCACATGGCTGTTCGCTTACATAAGCTGGGCATAAACAATGGTGTGACACGATGTCCGCTTCAGCCGATCAAAACCACGAAATGGCAATCAACAATGGCTTTTAGAGACTGTTTTCATCGAGATCTAGATGCCAAGCTGCTTTGGAATCAGGGACATGACATCATGTAGTCCACGTTGCAGCCGCAACTCGTAGCTGCAAGCATAACCCCGGTGGCAAAGCATTCGCTTGTTTACCGCCACTGTTTCAATTGCTTCCAGCAAGCTTCTGTGCCGCCAACCTCATACCGTCTTTCGTCTTCACTATCGTCGCATGACAACCTACTTCCTTGTACGAATTTACTGCCAGCTCATACCTGCGCTGCCAACTCATATGCTATCTATCGCAAAAATGCATATCTCATCTAGTACTGCGGAGGAGATTCCGGCAGACAAAGTCAACTGCCGAGATTTCCGAATTCTTGTCATCATACATCAGAGTCGTTCAAGACTTTCTCATCGCGATTGACTCCCAGAACTTGCTATCGTTGCCTTTCTGCACAAGGTTTAGTCAGAGCTTCCTGCTTGGGTCAGTGATCTCAATGTCATGTCTTCATGCGTTCATTTGCAGTTTGGAGTCACCTCCGCCAATGCGTGAATGGCGCATTGGCTGGCCTGCCTTAACTGGTTCGCCAGGAGCTACCCATCGCTACATGATGCTGGGGTTGCCCTGAATGTTCTGGACAGCCTTGCTCTGTACCTGTCTCTATATCTTTGGAGCTTCCTCGACTCTGCCCGTCATGCGCCTTCTGCTCTACCTACCTTCACTTTGCGACTTTGCGACTTTGCTTCTGGAAACGACAGGATGACTCTCATGATCCAACACTACGGCTCCCTGAGCTCGAAGCCAACACTAGGCAACCTGTGCAAAAAGATCCAACTCTGGTATTATCAGTATGAAGTGACATTTGGGCTCTATGTTTTGACTCCCACCGAGAAAATAATCACGAATACGCTCGTCCTATCATTTTGTGGTCTTCTCATATTCGCGATGGTGGCGCTTGCCCCACTGTTCATCATCCAAGTCATTTCAAAAGCGATGACAAGCCTCTTCTGGGTATATGTGAACGAGAACGGAAACCAGCTGGTGGTGCGGCATACACCATCACCGTGGGTGAACGCTACGCATATTGGATGGGAAGACTTTGGGGGTTATGCAAGGTGATACAGGTGAGTCATTTGGGATTCCCGAACTTCCAGATCTTGAAAAAGGCTTCGCGTACGCAACGTTCAACTACAGCACCTCTCGTGCTGCAAAGACAGCCGCGAAGATCTCGTCGCGTTCCATCGCAAATAACGAGCTCTAAGCTAACATCCGTGCAGCACTTCACATTTTTAAGCTCTCTAGATGGAGCCAGTCTCGAAGTAAGAAGGATAAAACTTTGATTCACAAAGCCATCTATTTGCTGCCTCGAACAGTGGAGTCTATCCTGGAGTCGTGTCTCCGGAGTCGCATGGGAGTCCTGGGAATGCGCAGCTAGGCTGAATCGCTAAGCGAGATCAACAACACACCTCCTGCAGCTACAGTACATCGCAATGGCATTTTCCCCAGTCGAAGCGAGTTCACAAAGTGGGGTATATTTCTTCTCTCTCTATTTTTCTGGATGTTGGAAGAGAATTCTGGATTGGCGGGAGGTATTATGAGCGAATTTGTCAAGCCCTTGCGATGTTACGTTATGATACACCATTTGCAGCATTTTTTTTTAATGTTCTTATCTCTTCAGCTAGCCTGTTTTTGTTTCCAGCGATTGAAATTCTCATAACCCATACAGAAATACACAGAACAAAGTCCTAGCATGATCAAGAGAGAATTTATATCCCTGTGGTTGCAGTCATATTTTCTACAAAGTCTGCGAAGTCTTGCTCTGCTCACAGGTACTATCCATGATGACGCTCCCACACTCCTGCTCTCACCTCATCGGGTTCCATTTTCAGCTTTACTGCTATTATTACCCCTCAATAACCATCTGTCCTTCTCAGCCTTCTGTGCGTCTCCATCCTCTTTCACCATCTTACCCTCTTCTCAGCCCCGTCCTCAGCACACATCTTTCAAAATTCAGCGAACGGCTTAAGCTCATCCTTCAGACTCGGAATGTCTTCTCGCGGGAACTTCCACAAGAACTCATGATAGCCTGATCACTTAGGTACATTCGGTTCATGATTATCCGCTCAGCATTTGTTCTTTTAATGTTACGCTCCCATGTCGTGACTTTGTTGCCATGGCGGGGTATGAGGTGGTGGAGATACAGGTGAGGGGCTTGATTTGGTCATACTACTGAATTCAGATTCTCACCTCAACCATCGAGTATGGTGAGGGAGTTGCTAGGAGGTCGGCCATGTAGCTTCTGAACATTTCGTCAAGTTCCGTCTTTGTCATGCCAGGGCGCTGCTGCATCATTCTCTCATTGATCTGGTCGAGGAACACAAGGTCGGAAAGATCATTTCCTCTGCATATAGTATGCCGTTGAAAGATCATCACCGGCTGATTGAGTTCTACCTTGCCTGTTTTTCATTACGGCTTTGACTCTCGATTCTGCTGGGCGAGGCGATATGGAGATTGATATTGGTGACTCTAATTGTAGGGTAGGAAGCGCACTTCGTATACAATTGGAGATATAAGGTCGGGACAACGTGATCAGTGCAAGTGAAGCAGCTGACAATTGATTCCGGATTCACTATTAGTTAATTTACTTTCACTTCGGCGTTTTTAGAATCACGTAGAAGCTACATTTGGCCTTGAAGATGACCTCAACAACCTCGAGAACCTCTCAAGTATCTATCATGGGTGACAGGTAAGTCTTTCAAGCCTTTAATTAACCTACCATACACGTGCCAACTGCAGATAGAGCGCGGGCGGATGGCTTCGATATCGATGCAGTCGTCGAGGGAACGCGAGTCCACTTGAAAAGAATGTACCCAAACGAAAGCTCGCTCCAACTCGCAGATTGCCACAATCAAGATTATTTCTCGCACATACAAGCTGATTTTGATTACGTCTTCGATGTAAGAGTCAGAAACGGGTTCGATAGTGCGGATGTAAGTAAGTTCTCCCTGTTCAATTTCGTTCAGAATCTCGTAGCCACAACGCGTATAGGAATGGATGAGGTAGTCCTTTAAAGCCGAGAAATTCGAGGACAAGGAGTCACAACGGCACCTAGACGCCATACATACCCCTGGATGAAAAATTGCAGACCTCTGGAAATGCTTCGACTACCTGATTCTACTGCACAACAGCTATACCGATGAGTACCCAGCCTTGCAAGGAAAGCTGAGGAAACGTTATGATGAGGAGCTTACTCCAGTTCGTGATTGGGATTTGCAGAGCTGTATGACGCCATGGGGGCTCACATATCGTGGGCTCAGTTACAACAAGTTGTTGTAGATTGTGCATGAGGGGATGCACAAGGTGCATGAGAACTTTATTGCATTTCGGGATTGGTGGGATGACGAGGTCAAGCGCAGAATGGGCAGCGAGATGGAGACCAATGGAAAAGCTGCGTAATGAAGTTCTGAATGTCAGGAAGATCACATCCATACAAAACAAGCAGTATATTAGCAATAATAATAGCATTGTATTTTATGAAGAGGTGGTGATGTGTCTAGAAATGTATGTCTAGCGAGGGAGAAACGGGTATAGCTTCCGGTGGCAAGTTGTCATAGAATTTGAAGTCGTAATAGTTCATCGCAACATCGAAATTATCTGACCCATCGTACGCCTCAAGCTCGGCGTGACCGTCAAGAGGCAAGACAAAGGGCAGATCAGTAGCAGCACTGTCGTTCGACTTGACCTCCTGACTGAAGTCGAGGTCGAAGCAATCCGTTTCTAAATCAAGCGAGCCATCCCAAGCATTCGGCATATCGCAAGCTCCGAATCCTAAATCTGGATAGTCTGTGAACAATTCAGTGTCGCAAGGAAAGCTGCAGGCCGCAAACTTTGATCAGCACTAACATAGTTAATTTGGCAGGGGAGTCATTTACCTTAGACTGCCAATGGAGTTCCCGCACGTATCTTCCATCATAGAAGACGGAGCTTCAATTACATCCGTGATTTGGTTATTTCCTGGCAAAGAAGCTCTTTCAAGTACACTCACAATTTCCTCATCAAATCCCCAGTCACCTGTCCAGTCCTCCGCAACAGAATACCCATCAATAAAGTGTTCGGCGAGATGTTCCACACGACCAGTCCAGGAACTCAACAGGGCATCGCAAAATCCACAGCGGGAATGAATTGACGTCCTGATGCTCTTCCAAGATTCTATTGATTCAACGAAAGTGCAGCTGCCATGCATGAGACGCAGATGCTGTCGGAGATGGTCTTTGCGATAGAATGTTCGTTCTGTGACAGACCGGTTTGCACAGGTAGTATAGCCATGGCCGCTAATATGTGAAGGAGTCGGATCCAAAACCCCACAGAAGACACATGTAATCTCATTGGTAGATGGATTGACATCGACACCACCATTTGGACTGCACGTCCAGCTTTCATGTGGTAAATGTATGGTCTTCTCGTGCCGTTGCCAGTCGTACTTTGTTCTGAAGCGATCAGCACAAAACGTACATTGGAATTTCCTCGAGACATCGCTATTTGCCAGCTTTTCGGAATATGAACAGGTATCTGACCTGACTGGAAGTTGCCGGCGTCTTCGAGATGACCGAGCTGACATTGCAGCAATGTCATCGTCAGCCTTCCATTCGTCAGGGTGGACTGACTCAACGTTGGCAGCATATGAGCGGACCTCCATGCTTGAAAGTGAAGATTCGCTTGAACAAAACTCGCGATGATACCTAGTTGATCCTTGCAGGAAGTTCGCACAAGAAACCCCGTTGAGTTGGACCACTGCGTCTAGGATAGCTGGCAAGGCAGCTGCTTCCTGCTCCGTCCATGAGTTCAGCCAGCGATGGAAGAGGGGTACTTCTTCCATTGGCGGAGATGGCACCAATGGCATATCTAACATCGCCGAAGGGTTTGAATGTGTCTCTGACTTGGGAACCTTCCCTCGCTTTCGTACATTTGCAAACCAGGTCGAGATCTGGCTGCGTTTGAGGCCAGTCTCCACAGTCAGGTGATCCAAATCTTTGTCCGTTGGGTATGGAGACTGACGATGGGCGGAGACCCATTCTTCTAGCTTACGGAGAGCAGAACGAGGGAATCGTGGCCTTGGACGTGGCCCCTCCTTCGATGACAGGCTTGCGATGCCGGAGAATGATCCAGCGCCAGGAGTTGCGTTGCTCGACCCTGCAACCGAGCGTGGTGAAGTACGAGAGCGAGGCATCGTGGTCGGATCGCGTGAAGATGTCTTGAGAAAATGTATTGAGATGCTGGTTGCATCGAGCTTGAAGCTGCTCTGCGGTTGTCCGGTGTAGGGGCAGGAAAATGGACGGATACAGGAGATGAGAGTCATCACGTGATATTGGTCTATCCACGCCCTTCGGTAATTCAGACCAGGGTTCACCAACCATGAGGCCATATGATGTATACTTTGTTTTAAACGATTGAAAGTAGCTCTAGTCAAATCAAAAGTCTCCTGGTAACTCGATTGAGGGCCAACATGCATCTAGCATGTTTACTGGACAATTGGCTTGAAGTGGGGAACTGTCGATTCGTCCATTGTATGATTTGGATGGGCAAGTCCAAGAACTCATCACTCAATCTATTATTGACCATGACGACCGATTGAATGTGGATAGTTTATCAAGACTATGTAAAGTAGGGGACATTAGCTTTACCCAACCTATTGATGGTGTACCCTCCGGGCAAAGGTTGGCTTCTGAGAATCGCTGGAGGGGCCAGTGGGGCACTGCAAGTCTTGAGCGGTTCATGGACAATCAGTGAACGGTCAATTTATAGCAATAAAGATTCTTTGACAGTTGTCAGTTTATCATTTCAGGAAAGTACGGTTGAGCAAAACTTGCATTTTTTTGACGTAGGCAGGCTTGATTGAAATATGTAAAGCATAAATTGTGACTTTGAAACCGAAGGCCACTTCCATATCTTATCTCGAATTGAACTTGTGACGCCTGTCAGATTCTTGAGAGTTATAGGAGGATTATAGTGGAGTTAGTGGCTTCGTTGACGCTTCTGTAACAGGTGAAATGGATCCTCGCTTACCTACGAAGGGAGGTTTGTCGCTTAACAAATACAAAGTCGGGTCTGCGTCCACCCTCGAATAGAAATATATTCGAGGCTGCCAGCAGTATTCACAAGCTCAGCCTTGCAAGAAAATTCTGCACACTATCTCGAAATCTAAATGACACAAGAACGACAGAAGCATTCACTAGACAAGACAAAGACTGTCGCACCATTCCCAAGCTTTTCATAAAGGACAGCCTCCACTCCGCACACATTCTTCTTTCCTGTGTTTCCTGCAGGAGAAAAGAACAACAGGTCGTGGGTACAGAACGCACAGCCCGGCCAAGGAGGCAACAGGCCTTCATTCTATGTATGGACAGAGATTGAGAGGAACAGGACCTCCTTCCCCGATTCCCATATCGGAGACAAAACCTACGCGCTCTCCGAGCGTTCAAATTCATCTCATACAGCGTAAGTTAAGTACAGCCAAGGCATTATACCAGTACAAGGAGTACACTTGATACTGACTAATTGGAAAACCAGCGCGATGTCTATCTCTGAAGAAGCCAATAAGCTCGCCTTGAACCTGGCTCTTGCCGCCAGTATTGACGGCTCCTTAAAATGCAGCCCACCTGTTCAAGATCGTTTCGCCACCACCTGGAGTGGAATCAAAGATGCCCAGGCGCTTGCTTTCGGTTTCATCCTTGGATATGTTGAGACGATCGAGGCCGAAGATGGCACCCCTCGATACATTGTCAACACGGAGTACTCAAACAAGATCGCGACATTCAACCTCGTGTCAAACGAATATCACCGACGCCGCCATGCGCATGATCAGGAGATACACACCGGTGACGATTTAGGAGAGCAGATCAGTGCAGACGATTGGAGACGGGTTACTCGAGGAGCCAAGCTACGACTTCTCCAAGACGTTGATCGCTTAACCAAGTACATGGTCTCAGGCTTGTATTCTGTGCGGGCTAAAATCGAGATAAGCCCCTCCAAGTTCACAATTGAAGCTACTCGCTCGATTGTTGAGAAGGCTAACAAGTGGGGTATCAGCACGGAAAGAGCCATGAAGACATTGACAGAAGATGTGCGGATCCTTCTGACAATGCGGAAATTACTTCAGGCCATGGAAGTAATGGTCCGGGAGGAGACAAGTGACGGCTGGGGTTGGGTACTTGGTTTGGATAAGCAGGTCCATCTTTATGGTGTTATCAGCAAGGCATGGTGGTCGAAGGAGTAGGTTCTTCTGGACTTTTGCTCTTCGCATGATGAAGCCGGGAAATGATGAGCTGAAGGCATTCATGCTAGACTTGCTCGACAACGAAGAGAAGTATGAGGCCTCCAAGATGGAAGTACTTGACGGCCTATTGTAGTGACAGCGCAGAAATCACGCACACAGGTCATGAATAATCTCAACATACACATAAGACCTGTCATGGCTTTATTGCCTTCAATTTTTGGAGACCCCCTGATATAGAGTTATAAAGAAAGTGATTGACTGAAGGTTGATCTGTACCTACCGAAAAAGCCAAGAACATTGAGGCACTAAAGTGAGGTAGAGCGCCCACGGTCCAGGAAAGGAGTGACAAATTGTACTTTTTGAAACCGAAACAAATGTGGCGGAATTCTTTTGATACATGCGACTGGAATACAAAAGTCGGTGGGTACTGACGCGCGCGAGAGAAAAACAAACAGTTGTTCTTGATGTTGTATTTTGCTGACATAATCGCCAGCTAATTGAAATCACGTCGCGTAGACGACTGGAACGATCCGTGCAGGACGCGACAGGGAACACCAAGATTTCCTCCTGCGACTATTCGACCTCCTCTTTTCTTGTTTACTTTCCCTCTTCTCTGCAACACCCAGCCATTATCCATCATGGCTCCCTCAAGACTGCCCCAGAAAAGGATTCTCGGTGATACCACCAATACTCGAAGAAATATTCCCTCGTCTCCTTCATCAGCCAAAAAGCGCAAGCTCGAACCAGTCGAACCCGCCTCATCGCCCGCTGCCAGATTCAAGAGCTCCCAGAATGGGCCGAAAGGTAAATTGGGCTCCAGTCAGCCCAGTCACTTCGAGTCGGAGGTGTTGGAGAAGATGACACAGGATATGGCCGGGTTGAGGAAGAACAATTCGGAGAAGGACCAGCATTGGCCACGACCGAGCCTGAATGATTTCAAGGCGAGCAAAGACAACCTCATATTTCAGCAGATAGAGTGCGAAGAAGGGACTTTGCACGGAGGCAATGCAACAGTCAAGTTGTTCGGTGTTACAGAGGCAAGTCCCGTCTCTTATCGAGTGACGTTCCCTGCTGACCGACGCTGCAGACTGGCCACTCTGCCATGCTTCACGTTACAGACTTCCTCCACTACCTCTATGTTGCTGCTCCGGTAAACTTCACGCAGCGCGAGTGCGAAGGATTCAAGACATTTTTAGACGCGCAGCTGGCCACGCATCAACCAGCAATCCATTCTGTGCAGATTGTCCTTCGAGAGAACCTCTATGGGTTCCAAGGAAACCAGCAGAACCCATACATTAAAATTACAGTCAACGACCCCAAATTTATCAACAAGGTCAGAAGTGTGATTGAGGCAGGAACGGCGAACTACAAAGGGATGTGGAAAGGGTCTGGCGATGGCGGAATCTTAACATTTGATAGTATTGCATACGTTCTAAGATTTATGATTGACTGCAAGGTATTTCGCCACTATATAGGCGTTGGACCTTGCTAATATGATTCAGATATCCGGCATGTCGTGGGTCGAGGTACCGGCAGGGAATTACACAATGATTCCAGAAAACGAGCGGCATTCGAATTGCCAAATAGAAGCATGGGTATCATTCCGCGATCTGATTGCACATAAGCCAGAAGGAGAATGGGCGAAAATGGCACCCTTACGAATCCTGTCCTTCGATATTGAGTGTGCTGGTCGTAAGGGTATCTTCCCTGAAGCAAACCAAGATCCAGTCATTCAAATCGCAAACGTCGTGACCCGGTACGGAGAGAAGAAGCCGTTCGTTCGAAATGTATTCTGTCTGGACAAAACTAGCTCAATTGTTAACACACAACTTCTCGAGTTTGATCGGGAGGAACAAATGCTATCGAAGTGGAGTGATTTCCTAGATGTGGTTGATCCGGATATCATCATTGGTTACAATATCTGCAATTTTGATTTTCCATATCTTCTGGACAGGGCAAGACATTTGAAGATTCGAGATTTCGATGCATGGACTCGTTTGAAGGGTGTCAGGTCTGTATCCAAGGATACGAACTTCTCCAGTAAGCAGATGGGGAATCGGGACACAAAGGCAACAAATACGAATGGTCGACTACAACTAGATTTACTACAACTTGTTCAAAGGGATCACCAACTTCGAAGTTACACTTTGAACTCCGTGTGTGCCCAATTCCTGGGAGAGCAGAAGGAAGATGTGCATCATACCATGATCACTGAGCTTTTCAACGGGACGCCAGAATCTCGACGGCGTCTGGCTGTATATTGCTTGAAGGACGCATTCCTCCCACAACGTTTGATGGACAAGTTATCATGTCTCGAAAACTACACTGAGATGGCAAGAGTCACTGGTGTTCCGTTCAACTATCTTCTCTCGCGTGGTCAGCAAGTCAAGTTCGTAAGTCAGTTGTTCCGCAAAGCACTGGAACAGAAACTAGTCATTCCCAACTTAAGGACCGATGCCACTGATGAGCAGTACGAAGGAGCAACCGTTATCGAACCTACACGGGGATATTACGATGTTCCCATCGCCACGCTTGATTTTGCTTCTCTGTATCCTTCCATCATCCAGGCACACAACCTCTGCTACACGACACTGCTCAACAAGAATGTCATCGAGAAGTTGAACTTGGTCAAGGACGAAGACTATATTGTCACTCCCAATGGCGACATGTTCTGTACTCTCAAGCAGCGCAAGGGATTGCTGGCACAAATTCTGGAAGAATTGCTCACTGCCAGAAAACAGGCGAAGCGAGAACTTGCAGTTGAAACAGACCCTTTCAAGAAGGCTGTACTGAATGGTCGACAATTGGCTTTGAAAATTAGCGCCAACAGTGTTTACGGTCTTACAGGAGCAACAGTCGGAAAACTTCCATGTCTTGCCATTGCCAGTAGTACAACCAGTTACGGTCGTCAGATGATTGAGAAAACGAAGGAAGAAGTCGAGCAGAAGTACACCATTGCCAATGGCTACAGTCATGATGCTCAAGTCATCTATGGTGACACTGATTCGGTCATGGTCAAGTTTGGGTGCAAGGATCTTCCAACGGCAATGAAGTTGGGAGAAGAAGCAGCGGCTTATGTTTCGTCCAAGTTCATCAAGCCAATCAAGCTTGAGTTCGAGAAGGTCTATTTCCCATATCTCCTGATCAACAAGAAACGTTATGCTGGTTTGTACTGGACGAACCCGGACAAATATGATAAGATGGATACCAAGGGTATCGAGACGGTCCGAAGAGACAATTGTCGGTTGGTTCAGAATGTCATCGAGACGGTTCTGAGGATGATCTTGATTGATCGAGACGTGCAAGGCGCGCAAGAGTATGTAACACGCCACCCTTGGATAAACTTTGCTAACGAGACACAGTTATGTCAAGGACACCATCTCGGATCTTTTGCAAAACAAAATCGACATGTCTAAACTCGTCATCACCAAAGCCCTTGCAAAGGCTGACTACACAGCTAAACAAGCTCACGTCGAACTCGCAGAGCGAATGAAGAAGCGTGATGCTGGATCAGCACCAACCCTCGGTGACCGAGTCGCGTACGTGATCATCAAAGGCTCAGCTGGAGCCAAAAATTTCGAGCGTTCAGAAGATCCCATCTTCGTTTTGGAGAACAACATTCCTATCGACACCAAGTACTACCTTGACAACCAGCTCGCCAAACCACTGGGCCGTATCTTCGAGCCTATCCTTGGCGAGACGAAAGCCAACAGTTTGCTAGCAGGAGACCACACGCGTTCCATCTCTGTCGCTGCGCCGTCCATCGGTGGACTCATGAAATTTGCCAAGAAGACATTCACATGTATGGGATGCAAGAAGCCACTTGTAGGAAAGGAGGAGTCAGGCGGAGCGGTATGCTCGAATTGCGCACCCCGTGTTGGTGAGCTGTATCAAAAGACACTCAACAAAGTCAGTGACCTGGAAGTTAGATTCGGGAGACTATGGACACAATGTCAGCGCTGTCAGGGCAGTATGCACTGTGAGGTCATTTGTTCGAGTAAGGATTGTCCCATCTTTTATATGCGGATGAAGGCGAAAAAGGACGTGGAGGATGCAGGAAAGGAGCTGGTTCGGTTCGATAGAGATGCTGCTGCTTGGTAGAGAGCTTCTACGGTGAATGCTGTGCCATCATGAGTTCGAATGGATTAGGGAGGAGACATGGAGTTTTGGGACTGGTTTTGTAGGCTACGGGCATGGCGTTAGGAACAGGTCTGGTTGAAAGTTTTACGAGGACAAGGCCAATAATGAGTATATCCTCTTACCCAATTTCAAATATAACCACCATCAAATTGCATCCCTCCGGCGTCTACTCATCATTCTCAGCGACCACCAGTCCGCCATAATCCCTTACCCCTCTCCCCTTCCCGCACCCTTTCAAGTGTGTCACTAGCTATCCACCATACCCGCCTCCACACCCATGGATGCCATACACACCCCCCACAATCCACATAATCACATCAATCAGAGACCACGTAGAGTAAATAAACTTCGCCAAATAAATTAAGGGACTTTCTGGCTCGTCCCCAGCTGTGTAAGAAAAGACTGTAACCAGGGCCGATAAGAGCAGAATCAGGATCTTGAATGAGGCGAGAATCCAGTGGTGTGCAAGCCATTGGTCGGCGGCGGTGAAGCTGAAGAACATGGCGAGGAGAGTGGCGAGCCGGAATTTGTCGGCGCATTCTTTGCTTGGGGGTACAGGGCCGAAATTGGAACGGGGTGTGAGGTTGGGAGCCGGGGCTGCTGCGTTGGTGGTTAGTCTTGGAGCTTGAATACTTCATTTGGGGGGGAAAATATTCGTACCAGATTCCGACATGCTGTGGAAGCCCAGGTAGGTGAGGTACCCGACGAGGAGAGTGACCATGACCATTTGATAGGCCAGGAAATACGTGGCATGTCTTTGCATGAACGCTTTGTTGGTTCGCGGCATGTTTGCTTGTTTGGTTAAAGTATGGCTCTGGTGCTGCTGGGTAGTGAAGATGCGAAGTGGGATTGGTCTGGTTGAAATGAACATCAATATATTTAGGTCTGTAGATATTGTAGTGAATATCGAAAAGAGTGTCGCAGAGAGAGAGTTGCGAATCGGTGTGACAAAGGAATACAATAGAGTAGTCAAGTAGCGCCTACTAATCTACTCTACTCTACTATGAGTAACCTGCTACTCTAAATCTACTCTACTCGACTCTACTCTACTACTTTAGAGTAGTACTCGAGTAGTAGAGTAAAATTTTATCACACTGGTTGTGTTATAAACAGAGTCTTATGAGAAGCAAACTTTTTAGATCCCTCTAATGTGACACCCTGACGGCAATAACTGTGTGGAATGTTTTTGCTGGCCGCCTCGGTTTAGTGCACGTTGGTTGTGAATCATCGAATCCATCAAATGATATTCCTCGGCTCAAGAAGTCATGCTGGTGTCACAAACCCGGGTTTGGCAGATAAAGGGAAATGTGCTGGTTTCGGAAAGCTGAAACTTGTCTTCCAGTATTGTCTTTGTTGGCAAAGGATTGCTGTCCCGACGCTAAGCCGTGTTTGTTAAGCGAGTTGTAAACACGGGAGCGGGGGGTGTTAGGGTGACGAAAAAGGTGGCCGATTTTGGCAAACCCATCGACTTCACAATTATCACGAATTAAACCACAACAAATTAATCCCTATCAAAGCAGAGAAGAAAAAAGTTAAATAGCTGTTTTTGAAGGGTTATACAAGAATATATTGAATTTCAGTCGTTGTGTGCTATCTTAAAGCAAGAGTCAGCAAGTACTTTCGTGTTCTGCACATGCCTCAATCCGCCATATTTTTCGTCACCCCATAGCCGGGCAAGACAAACACATTTGCAACTCGAAGATCAACCGAGGTTTCCACATACTAGCAGTCAGATAGTATTTATTAGTATCTTTCAACCATCATTTCAAGGTACCTCCACACCCAAACTCATCTCCTCAAACCCTCCCACCATCTCCTCCCACTCTTCTCCCCCGTCTCTTCCTCCGCCTCCTCCATCTTCTCCCCAATCACATACCCCTGCCCAATCTCCCCACCCGTAACCTCCCACCCATGAACCAAGTTATGCACCTTCAAAAAATGAACATAAACCCTCCCAAAATCCCTCTTCACATCCATTTCCCCAAACTTCCAACTCGACCACCCCTGCATCTCATCCTTCACCCTAAAATGGTCTGCCAGACTAGCCTCCCTCCCCGTAGGCGCCACGAACTCCCCCTTATCCGCCTCATCCTCCTCATCGTACCGTTCCGAGGTCTGGCTGTCTTTTGCGTTCTCCAGTTTGTGTTTGAGGTTGGTGTAGGGTTGTGTTTTGGGGTCGTTGGACACAGTGTTGAGGAGCTTGAGGAAGTTCTTGCAGGAGATGCGGACGTGCGGAGAGGGTTGGGAGTTGAGGAAGGTGAGGATGGCTTGGATTTGAGGGGGGGTGAAGAGGTTGGCGCAGCGGTACGGGGGTTCGATTTCGATTTCGGGGTTGGAGGGGCTTGTTGATGCCATTTTTTGAAGGGTGGGGAGAGCGAGAAGGAAGAGTGAGAGTGGGTAGTGAGTAAGCAGGCGATAGGCCCCAGATTCTGGTTGATGAAGGGTTTTTTATCTTGTCTAGATCTCAGGCTTTTGAGTAATGCCGTTCTTTGTTTTTGTTAGAGAGCATAGAGAGAAATTGTTGTGGAGTTATTGGTTGGCACAAAGATTGAAGAGGAATGCAATACTTCAAAAGATGTGATAATCCAGTCCAAAAATCAATCAAAGGAAGTTGCATTTGGTGTTTTTAATCTGACTTGCCATGATCTATACCATGTGCTGGATGAATCACGAAAACCATATCGGTATCGCTGTACTCCGTACTCAGAACCCACCTGAATCAGAAAACTCTTTTCAAATTCTCAAATCAACGGTATTGGAAGTCGTTCTTGATAAACTGCTTTCTGACTGGGGTAATGTTTCTCTGTCTGATACTGCATGTCCAGTCATGGAGATCATTTAGAAAATAAACATAGAAGCTATAAGATTGAGTCCAAAGCGCCTTAAGACTTATGAAATGCTAATACATATAAATATAACACTTTGATTCGCTTAATCTTCAATCTCAAAATGTAAGACCGAATGGGCTCGTCCTTACAAGTCTAGACTGAAAACAAAGTTAAAAATAACTCGTCTTGAAGCTTGTTACACACTGCATAAATGAGTCTTCGACTCCTCCTTTTTCAATCGCTTCTTTAAATGTTTATTATAATTTTCATTTTCATTGCATCTATTCATATCTACCTCACCGCTTCACCATATCAACGCATATCTTCTAATCCATGCCCCAACGATGTAGCGCTACCACCTTCGCTCGGGCTATGAAGAGATATCTCCACTTTCCATTCGATCCAATCATACCCCGGACGATTTCCAAAGGCCCCCAAAGCTCACAGCTGGGGTATCTATCTTCACCTGCTGAAATACCACCATCATATTCGGCTTCATGTGCAATCTCATATCCTCATTTCGTCTTGTGTCAAATTCTCTTCTCTCTCATCTCGCGTAAAGCATCGCAAGTCATCTCAAATGTCCCTCCAACCAACTCGTCCGAAAAGCAGCGCATTTCATCCCAACCCCAGTCCCAATCCCAATCGCAGTATAACCATCCGCATAAACGCATCGCAATTTAGAGATCAACGAGACCAACAACCGTAATAGCAAAAGTTTAAATGAAAGGGCAAGCAACGCATCGACTGGTATAAACGCAGCGCCATGCCGAACGCAGATGTTTAAAAGGAAGAAAGGAGGAAAGTAGGAAAGATCGCTAAGCGCATCAAGCAAATAGATTGAGCCGAGTATGATCAAAGAAAGGCAGATCGCAGAAGATAGCAAATCTCCCCCGCACAAGCGGAAAGAAACCATGCTTCAAGTTCCACCGGTCGGTCATGCCTCTCACTGACCATGCGCACCAGCCTGATGTCCAATGACACCCCCAAACCGACTCCCATCCAGCAGAACGGCGCTCATATCCCTGCCATGGGCATCAACCGGCGGATACCTAGCTTTCAGCTCCAAATCATCAAGATGCATATGCGAGCGAATATACTTCTCCCTCCCATCATCCTGAGGATTATGATCCCATGAAGTGAACTTCCCGCTCTTAAGCGCCAACCAGACGAGACGGCGTTGACGCTGTGAAACAAGCACGGAGTCCGTGATGGCGGGCATGTCCCATTTTGCTTTGGCTTCGGCGATGAATGCGGAGAGGGTGGTGGAGACTTCGGTGGTGAAGAGCGGGTGTTTGGGGGAGAGAGAGGCGAGGTTAATGAGTTCCTTGGGGTCGGCAGAGAGGTTGTACAGCTGATCTGGATCGGCGGGACAGGTGATGTATTTCCAGTTGCCACGACGGATCATCATCATTGGTGCAATGGTGCCTTCACCGCAGTATTCGGCGAAGACTGTGTCAGATCCTCCAGGGCGATTCTCGAGATGCGGTAGGAGGGATGTGCCGTCCATTGGGAGGCCGGCCCAGAGTTTGGTGTGTACTAGATCGACGAGGGTGGGTAGTATATCGAGGGTTGAGACGTTGGCAGTGACGTGGTGAGGTTTGAATGTTGCTGGGTGGTTGAAGATCATAGGGACACGAACTGATGCCTCGAAGTATGACATCTTGTACCACAGTCCTCGCTCGCCCAACATGTCACCATGATCGCCGCTGAAGACGACAATGGTATCCTCGTCCAACCGACATTCCTTCAGAGTCTCCAATAACTTTCCAATGCAGTCATCGACGTAGGACACTGCTCCGTAATATGCACGTCTTGCACGCTTGATCTGCTCTGGAGTGAACTTCTTTCCCCAGAGATCGCATACTTTCAGTAAACGCTGAGAGTGGGAGTCTTGCTCTTCTTGTGGGATAGTAACATCTGGGAGTTCAATATCAACATCCTTGTACATGTCCCAGTATTTCTTCTCAATTGTGTATGGATCATGCGGGTGGGTAAGGGAAACTGTCATGCAGAATGGTCGAGTATTTGGACCTTTGCGGACATGATCGTAGAGAAATTGTTTGGACCTAGAAAGTCAGCATGGCCTTCTACCTCGTCACAGTACACTTACTTATACATGACTTCCTCGTCATAGTCCAGCTGGTTGCTTCTGACACAAGGACCCGCCTGCTCGATCGAACTCGCATTATGATACCACTCCAACCGTCTGTCTGGTTCCTCCCAGTTTACAGCCCAACCATAGTCGCCTGGATAGATGTCACTTGTCAATCTACTCTCGTATCCATGCAATTGCTCCCCAATAAAGTGCATCTTCCCTGCCAACGTCGTCTCGTATCCCGCCGCGCGCAAGTAATGGTCATACGTCGGCACACTGGGGTCGATGGAGCTGGCATTATCGTAGGAGCCTATCTTTGTGGGCAGCTGACCAGATACCATAGACATTCTTGAGGGTGCGCAGAGAGGTGAGGGACAATAGGCCGAATCGAAGACTACACCGCCTGCTGCGAGCGCATCGAGGTTGGGAGTCTTGATTTGCGATTTGGGATTGTGCATTTTGAGGAGGGGTGCGGCGAGTTGGTCAGCCATGATGTAGAGGATGTTTGGTTGTTTTGAGGGCGTGGATTGAGGCATGGCGGCGGTTCGTTCGTATCGAGGTGAGAGGGGAACGGAGTTGAGATCTGGAGCCATTGTTGTGACGAGGCCCTTTGTAGTGTTGATTGTTGAAAGAAGATGTGCGTGTTCCCAACTTAGAAGTGACTACTCTGGTATGTCTTGCAGTAGAAGAGCGTACTGCAAGAGCGTGTCTTGCAGTGGCGGCGGGGAAGGGTGAAGACGTGAGAAAGTAGAGCGGTGTCTTCAAGGAGTGAAGATATTGAAGGAAGAGATATGTAGGAGTAAGGGGAAAGAGATATGTGAAGCAGAAAGGAAAGGGGAGAGGGTAGAGTAAATAGCGGTCAGAGAATACCGAAACCTAGATAGAAGAGGAAGGAGAGGAAGGGAGAGGAGAGAAGAAGAGAAGAGAAGAACAATTCACTTGACGGTAATACCTACAACCTAGTCAGGGAAGGGCATGTCGCCGCCACGCATCCGACCGTCGTTGGTAATCTACCTAGGTACTGTTCCAAATGTGGAGAACAGCACGGCGGCGCATTCATTTGCAAAGGTGGCCATTGCACGAGCATGGGCGTGGACGTGTGGTAGGCGTGGGCAGAAACATGAGGGGGAGGGGGAGAGGGGGAGAGGGAGGGGGGAATTGGAAGAAAATGTTGTGATTCCTATCGGGATTTCGTGCTCACGTTCCACCTTTCCCGAAGAGGTCTCGCTCGACCATGCATCGAGATACGAGAGTCTGCATCTGTCTTATCTGCATGCGACCTCACCTCACCTCACCTCACCTCACCTTACGCACCAGGCATCAAACCCAGCCCTCCTCACCCCACAAAAACCTCAAACATAAAAACAACCAAGTTCCCCCTTCCCCAGCATCTCCATATTCGAATATGTTCCGATTCAAGGGCGCATCAAGGCTGAGTTCAAAAGTTGTGGCGCTAGCGGTTGTCGGCGTGGAAATGCAGGTTGTTGGAATGGGATCATGATTGCCGCTTTGGGAGAAGAAGTCCTCCGGAACCAGGCATCTACTTTTCGCCGGCTCAGGTCTGTACTTCGGTGCGCCAGACCGCCAACCCAACAGCTCAGCACGGCAGCGCCAATCCGATATCGATTGACACTGCGACTGGATAATTGGTTTGAATTGGGCATGAAGAGCCGAGCCGGCCTTCTTTTCCTCGTTTCTTCTCTTCTCTTCTCTTCTCTTCTCTTGATCAAGTCCTGATGCTCATAATCCGGCCAGCATGTCCGTGATCGATGCAAGCCAATACTATTCGAAGCCGTCCTGTCCTGTCCGGTGTCCGTACAGAGGCAAAGCACCACCACGACCGACCACGATGGTACAATCCCTCGGGACCAGCTGCATCATGCGTGGTCATCTCGTTTCTCCATGCATCTGCTCTCCGACTGCGATTCGAGTCTACCTGTTATTACGATTCGTGTTCTGTTATGCCCTACTGTTCATCTCCACATCAAGTCATGCCAGATACCTCCGCTACTCATGTATCATACAAGTCCGCCTTACACCCAGCACAGCACACACTCACTACCCATCGCAGAGCCTCCCTCCTCTCCCTTTTCAGCCTTGCATAACCTCTACATCTCCTTCCCCTCTCATCCAATCCTCACCCAATCCCCTTCCAGCTCCCCCTCGCTCTCCTTCTACTCTAGCCTCGCCCAACAAGCATCATCGCAATAGAAAACCCAATCCCTGAACGTCTCCCAATCCAAACCTCAAAAATAGCGTCATCATACATGAAATTCCATAACTTCTCTCCAGTCGAAACGGAGCCTGGCGAGTTAGTGCGGAGAACGCCATTTGTGAGTTGTTGTATTGGTTGAAGAGGGAGGGATGGGTGGTGCGGGGGAGGACGGGAAAGGGGCAGAGCCGGAGGCTGAGAGAGTGGGGAGAAAATACACAAGAGTCAGGGACATGCAGCATGCGATCTGTTTTCGTCTCGGCTCGTTTCGCTTGGGTTGTTTGGATTGTTTGGACTTCCATCACCAGATCTAAGCCAAGTCATGTCATCTGCTAGGTTACCTAAAGAGCCTCTCTTCTCCATCTGATTCTCCCCACTTTCTTTTCTCATACACATGGAACCTCATTTTTTTCAAGTAAGTTTCGCCTAACTTGAACTCGGACTCAGGTACATGGACACCAAAAAGATACTCCGTACTTGGGTAGTACTTCCCCTCGTCTCAGGTGTACCTGTGCCAGTGACGGTGACCCCAATCTTGGGTAATATCAGCACTACAGATTATTTTCTTTCGTGCATATCAAACATTATCGTATACCGCAGGCCTCATCAAGAATACCCCTTGTCAAGGTAAGACATTCCGCCGAAGTCTTGGGATGAAGAAGATACTCTATCGCTCCGCCTTGCCAATTTTTTGTTTCCCAAGCTTCAAGCTGGATCGATGGCATCGTGGTGTTGTAGTACCTGTATGTAACCAGGGAACCGATATCCTCTTGGAGTCAATATTCCCTGCGCAGATGATATGGTTGGTCACTCACAACTCGTTTCGCAACTCCAATCGATACCAAGGTAAGTGCCGGTAATACAGCACCGAAATCGCTTGTACCTCCCTATCTATACATTTATCTATTATCTAGCCACTGGCAGAGGTTCCCTTTGGGTATGTATTTTCATTGGCGGAAGGTTAGGAGAAAGAGAGAAATCACGCGTTGAGCGTGAAGGAATATGTATCGTGGTGGCGGATATTCCCACAGCTATCAGAGATAGGGAAGGGTATTCTTTTCTCGATTCACGGCATATACTAAAGGGATCTCTTTTCTCAAGCTGGCAAAGATTGTGGATAAGTGAGGTAAGAGTGTGATAGTTTGATGATTAGGTTACTTTGCACATAGGTATTCTAGCTATTATTGTTGTGGGTATGTCAAGTTAGAGATACGCGCTGTACAATCTCTCTGCAAACTAGCAAAATGACTTAGAGTTCCTTCTACGAGTAAACCTTCTATTCTCTTTGTTACAACATCAATTCCCCTCTTGCCCCCGCTGTTCAGCTGAGCAGTTGCAAGCTGATAAATAAGCATTCAAGACGGCATCTGTCCAAACAGGACTCTTCATCTAGCTTGTCAAGCCACCCCGGAACCAAATGAAATAATCTTCGTTTTATGCGGTGCAGAGTCTCGTCCTAATACTAAGCTTGTAAGTAACATGCTCTCACCAACATTATCCTTTGTCATAAAGACAAGATTGACTTACTGTCTCTCGCTGAATCTTCTTTGCTCTTCGATACCGTGGCTATTCACTTACTACTCACAATTGCCTTTGTAGACCAGTCTACCTCTACCAAGTATACATCCAGAATAATTGCAGCTCGGAGAACTCGTCAACGACCTTATCACTGGACCTCTCGTTCGTACAACTCAAATTAAGTGACGATTCGATTGATACAATTTCTTCCGAGTCACAACAAAGATTCTATTCGCGAAACTCCCCGATGATGTGTACAAGCCTCTCCTCTACTCTCCCTCTCGCCCCAGCCCTAGCACTAACTATGCACATCCTCTGAGCCATATTCCCTCCTCTCCTCTCCTCTTCTCTTCTCTTTTCCCCTTCTTATATAACGTCTAACATCACTGTCTCCTTACCGTCTAACAGCCTCGCCGGCCAAATAGCTAGCCAGCGCATTTTCTTCTTCCCAAGGGTCTTAAGAGGGCGAAGCAAGCGAGCGATCAGCCGAAACATACGGGTAAATAAATAAGCAAACAGAGGAATAGACAGGTAGAGAAATGTATACTAATTCCCAGCTCTCACAAGCTTTAGCCTGCAGTAAAATTCAGCATCCCTCCTCTTCTTCCCCACCCCTCTTGTCTCTCTCCCTCTCCAATCCCATTCTTCACCCCCCCCCCCCCACCCCCCCCCCCCCCCCCCCCCACTCCCACCCTCTCCCCACTGATTCCCACACACACACACTCTCTCTCACCATCCCACTACTCCATAAACGTATCACTCAAGTATCCAGTACAGCAGACCGTAAGCGAGCAAGTAAGAAACCAGGGAAACGAGGACCAAAACAAGACACACAGAGAAGGAAAATGTACTACTTTCCTTAATTCCTCACCCACTCTGCTTCCATACCACGCACGTATTCCATACTCTTCTCCTTTTCATGTCTATCTGTGTCAATTTCTCCGACTGCCTCTCTCGGTCCCCTGCCCGCGTAGGTCGTATCTCCTCCATCCCGTTCTCTGTCTTCAGCCCTATCCAATCGACCCAATTTTTTAATCAGCAAGTTAGCAACCAGGCGAAACTACGCACCAAGCATTCATTCGCAACAAGAAGGAAAAACCTCCTCCCTTCCCTTGTCCAAACCTCTCCAAACCTGTCCAAACCTGTCCAAAGCTGTCCAAAGCTGTCCAAAGCTGTCCACCCTGCCTAGCTTTTCCTCTCCCATCCTCTCCCAATTTTCATTCTCCATCCATCCTCCAATCCCTCTCCGAACCTGCAGAGCCGGCTTCCAAAGAAGTCACTCAAACACCATTGCATCGGAGCAGCTTTGTAACCGTATATTATCTCATCCTCTCTTCTGTTATTTATCTATCTATCCATATCCCCTATCTTCCCCACTGCATTCTCGTTGGAGTATCTCCACTCTAAATCCCCCTCCTCGTTCTCCTAGATGCACTTCTAAGGTACTGCCGCTGCCGCTGCCGCCCAAGCCCGTCCGAATAACAAGGCAAAATTCCCACCAACGCCGTGTAGATATTCTATGTACAGACCAACAGAAAAAAAGAAGATATAAGGGTCCATTTCACGTCTCCAAACTAAGGAAGGTGCGTAGTATGCCGCAGGTTCTTGCGCGCTCTCTCTTTCTCTCTTCCCTCTTCCGCCTTGTTCCATTTTCTCTATCCCCACATTCTTCCCGCCTCCTTCCCCAATATCTTCTTTCCATTTCCAATCTCCTCAACTCCTCCTCCCTTACACCCCAATATCGATACTCAAAAGCGGCATACTGAACGTGACATTGTTCGTCGCCGAGAAAGCTTCAGTACCCATGCCCAAATGCCCGATATACAATCCCGCACTCGTGAAATTCGCTTTAGGTATGGTGTCAAGCTTTGTGAGAAGTGGTGCGATGTCGCCAAAGAAGGTTTCGGTCGTGGTGGCTGCGACCCAGGTGAGCACGTTCTGGAGGAGGGAGTTTTGCCCGGTGTAGAGATTGCTAGACATGGGGATTAGTTGAAGCTGTGAAGAGGGGAATTGAAGGTGTTAGGAAAAGAAGGGAAAGAAGAAACATACAAAGTCGTCCCGTTAATACTCTCCGTCGAAACTGCCCCCTTGTCCAAACCAATGGGCTGAGCTGCAGATCCAAATGTTGCAAACCAAACCATGACCTCATAGTTCGCCAAACTGCTGTTCTCCGCGGACTTTTGGTCCGCATCCAAGAACATATCGATCGCCACGTTAGTGTTAACCGCGTTGGTGGTTAGGTCTTCCTTGGATGTGGTTTCTGCGGCAGTGTTGCCCACACCGTATGTCCACTGTGTGGAGAGGGCGATGGTTTTGATGGTGGAGAGGAGAGCGGGGAGTCCGGTTATGACTTGTACGTTAGGGAAGGCGTGGACGGGTTGGGTAGCTGGCCCGGGTGGGTAGGACCAGGTTACTGTGAAGGGAGGAGCAGTGGAGGGCGTGGAGTAGGTGCCGTTGTTGCGGGATGTCACCTATGGAAAGGTTAGTGGTGAGGTTCGATGGGAAACAAATATGCAGGTGGATGTCGGAAGTGGAAGTAGAGGAGGGGAGACGTACGTTCATACACATAGCTCCTGGTTCGCCTTCTGTGTACCCCCATTGATTGGGGTTTACTGTGTCAAGAATGTTAGCCAAATCCAATCCAAGTCAGAAGTAAGCAATTATGCGCATATCCAGATGTGCCAATCCTACAAGCATTCTGCCAATATTCTAGAACCGCGCGTAAGCTGACCCAAGAAAGACGGAGTGTATCCAGTCGCTTCTTTCGCGAGCATCTCTATCCTCTGATTGATGGCAGATATCCGTTCCATCACCTCCAACTGCATCGTCTCCCTTTCCTCGGGACCTTCCCCCAGGAACCCAAACCAGACCCCAATTCTCATATAATCCCACAATCATTAAACAGCACCAAACGAAACAAACAGAAATCTAAACCACTTACACATAAACCTGACCCCGGAACTTGGCGGACTAACACCAACCTGCTTCTGACAATACAGCTGGCTGGTAATCCGATCATCATTCTTATTGCCCGTTCCTCCGTCACCAGTTCCCGTGCCGCCATTTGGATTATTGAAGATGGGTTCTTGACCTGTAGCTGCTCGGTGGGAGTCAACGCCCATGAGGACGCCGATTGTGGTTCCGACAGGGAGGATGAGCAGCCCGGCGTTGACGAGCCAGCGGAAGTTGATGCCCATTTTGAGGGTGGGAGGGTGTTGTGAGGCTTGGAAGGTGTATTAATTATGATATGTATTGATCGATGCCGAGGAAATAGTTGATCGGAAACGAGTGTCGTGAGTAATTGATAGTGATTGCTGTTGTGATTATTGTGCGTCAAAGCGAATAATACAGATACTCGTACAAGGCAAATCGTTCGTCCGTCGTCGTCGTTGTAGTCGTCGTCGTCTTCGTCTTCGTCGCTGTCCTCTGCTCCCTCGTTCAATTACTCGGTCGTGTCGGATCGCGCGATGTTTAGGTTGGTAGGGCACGTCAAAGACTGGGCGGAGACGAAAAGTCAAGGAATTCTCGAAGCTGGAACGAATGTGTGGTGGTGGATGACTGATTGATTGAACGAATGTCTCAGCGCGCAGGAGAATCCAATTTCTGGGAAAGTGCCGATCGACTGAATAATGGGACCCAGTTCAAATGTCGATAAAATCCGATCAAGGAGAAATCAAATCAAATCAAATCAAGCAGATCAGTTCGGATCAAGCTGGGCAGCTGGGTACGAGTACCGGATAGAGAGGCAGCTAGGCCAAGCAGAGCCGTAGTACCTTAGGTAGCAGCAGGCAGGAGCCCCAGTCCAACAATAGGCACAGCACACTGAGCACAGTACTCGACCGACGCCCAGCGGGCTCTCTCCTATACCATGCTACGAGTACCTAGGAATCCTTCCAAGTCTTTTGTCTGTCCGCCACCTCGCGAACCATAACCATACGTCCCTACTAAAGCGGCAAGAACTTACTCGCCCCAAAGAAAAAAACCTTCAAATCCAGTGCCGCCGAGCATGAGCATGAGCATGCCACTGCAACTCCACCTCAGTCCAGTAAATTTACCTAAGGTACTCGTAGTCTCGCTAGTCCACTCAGTCCACTACACTGCCAAAAATTCTCATCTGCAGTCCCCGTAAGTAATCGCGCGGCGTCACGCTACGCATGCACCCATCCTCGCCATCGTCCCCTATCCCAATCTTTTCCCCGTCATTCGTCCGATGCGCTCCTCGCTCCCCTGAGAAGCATCCACTCACAGGCTCTCCCTGCACTCGCCACCAGGGGTCAAATACGAGATGCCGCAGCGCCATGGTCCCATCCCAGCGTCATTCTGCCCAATTGAGCCATTCCCAGGCATCCCCCCAGCAGAGATAAGCTCGTGTGGGAATGCTGCGGGCTGACGCTATGGCTCGACGAGGTTAGAGGGAGAGGCACTACAGTACAGTATGGAGAGATAATCGGCACTTATGCAGGGGTCGGACTTGTGCGGTTGAGAGGCAGTCGAGGCAGTTACGCTGAAATATGCTGAAATGCTTCGTATCCACTTCCGTCAGCACCCGATCCTGGAGAGATGAATACCACCCCACCGTAGAAGAGCATGAGATGGATCGCCTGTTCCGCCCGAGAAGTTGATCATGACAGATGTAGATGAAAAGGCAAAGGAGCAGAACAGAGCGAGGTGAGAATGGAACATGACATCGTGGCCAAGCCAAGTCTTGTGCTCTGGGTATTTCTGGGCGCTGATTGGGTGATTTCCGGGATTTGAGGGTTTCTGAAGGGGCTGGGTTTGGGAGGTTTGGCTGGTTTGGCTGGTATGATTGGGATGTTAAGGGGTTAGAAGATTTGATTGGGCTAGCTAGGAAGGCATGAATTGAAGGCCGGAGGTGAACCTGGACTTGGACCTGAACCTGGGGCCTGGAGAATCATAAATAATGTGTTTTAATTTTCACATGTGCGCATTGTTTTATTTTGGGATACCCGTACCCGTACCCGTACCCGGTGAGAGCGCGAAACGAGGCGAGACGAGACGAAGGCGTGTGCACAGCTGCACAGCACAGCACAGCACAGCACAGCACAGCTTCAAACTCCACGTTGACAAGCGTTTTGCATGGATGCAGCATCAAGAATAATGGGATGCATTACAGGCATGATGTCAAGAATCAAGATTTCCAGAACTTAGAAGTCAAATTAAAAACGGGAGGGGCGCAATCATAGAAGAGTTTGATAACAATGGGGCATTGGGGGGGGGAACCAGATCCGGATGTCCCGATGAGGTGCCGGTGCGGTGGGTAGCACCAGGTGGCACTTGAGCGAATGTAACCAGTAGCCAGCACCAACACCACCAAAAAACTGCGCGCCGCTTTGAGACATTATTATTCCCCAAGGCCCTCCCTCGGCCCCCCCCCCCCCCCCCCCCCCCACCGGTCCCATACCTATCAGAGGCTATCCGAAATAGCTCTCAGGCGGTGCGGTGCTGGGCTGGATGTCTCGTCTCTCCTGACTTTCCTGTCCTGTCCCTCTTTCTCATTTCTCATTTCTCATTTCTCATTTCTCGCTTCTCCTCCTCTCTCGCCTCTAGACTTTCCCTCCTTCCCTTCCCTTCCCTTCCCTTGCCGGGATCTAGTTCTCTTTCGTGCCTTCCACCAATTCCTTTCTTCTCTTCCTTCCGTCTCCTCCCCTTCAATCTCCAAGACCGTCTGTCTGTCTTGTCTCTTCCAGACGAGACGATTCACTCTCACCATCCACCATCCACCATCCACCAACCACCAACCACCAACTACCACACTCGCTCACGGACGCGTATATGCAACGTTAATAATCACTCGACCAAGGACTCACACTCGTTTTCACGCCATCTGATTGTTTCTTTTTGCAATATCGACTCTCGTTCGTACTTATTATCAATCAAGCCTTAATCATCAATCAAGCATTTCGGAGTTGTCGGACGGCGCCCGTTACTGTACCAGCCATTGTCTGGGAGAAGGAACGCAAGAGAGACACTTTGACTGTGCTACCAAGGGATAACTCCCCCGCCGCCCACATACGTCGCCCGCCATGGACAGACGCGATGTTTACTACGAGGAGGAGATGAAGGATATCAGAAGCCCTAATCAGCCATACCTCAGCACTCACTACGATCCACATGCTATCAGTACAGATAATCTCATGATGCCAGAACGGTTAGCTGCGACGCCGAGCCCGCGAGGAAGAATGAGACCTGGATATCCAGGAGCCCACGACTCTATTGGGTCGGCTTATGGGTGGCATCCAGAGTCGATCCCAGGTACTCCAGCAGATTCAAGATGTACTACGCCTACATTATCACCAGTATGTCCCTAATAATATGGCCATCCATTCAAGAAGTGCTAATGTTCGTCAGTATAACCACGATTTCAATGGATCAAGAAGCTACCTGAGCACAACAACACTGGTTAACAAAGGTCCCGCCACCGGAAACCTCTCTACCTCAACCTTCCCATCCAAACACTCCCTTGTTTCCCAAGATTCGATATCGCGTCTTCACGATCGTGACGATGTCGAGCTGTCCAAAGGATGGCGCCGATTTATCTTCAAGTTCGTGCCTTTCCTCGCACTTCTTAACACGGGTCTGTACATAACATATCTCGCCCTACGAATCGTATGTGTGATTCTCGCACAGAAGAAGTTCAACGTCGTATACCCTGGAGCCTGGATCTTCCTAGGTGTCGAAATCATCGTGGCTATCCCATCGCAGATGCATAATTTCTGGACCATGTGGGCCTTGAAGAAGAGAAACAGGCCGCAATTGAGATTGATGAGCGACGAGGTCCCAGGCGTCGATGTTTTCGTCACTTGCTGCGGAGAAGATGATGACGTTGTCTTGGATACTGTTCGTGCGGCTTGCGATCTGGATTATCCTCGTGATAGATTCAGGGTGGTCGTTCTCGATGACGGAAAGTCGGCCAGTCTGGAGGAAATGATTAATCAGCTCGGATACATCTACTCGAACGTCTACTACTTGGCCCGAACAAAGGTCAAGGGAGTACCACATCACTTCAAGGCCGGAAATCTGAACTATGGACTCGAGCAATTGGAACTTATGCCAGGTGGTGCAAATGAGTTCATGGCCGCCCTAGACGCTGATATGGTAAACAAATCCTTTTTTCTATTTATCCAAGCGAGCGAAAATCTTTATGTGGACCTCATTTACTGACATAACCAGATTCCCGAACCTTCATGGCTACGAGCAATTATGCCACACATGGTCATGGACCCAAAACTCGCCCTGGCATGCCCACCTCAATTGTTCTACAACACTCCCAAATCCGATCCCTTGGCCCAATCCCTGAACTTCTTCGTGCACGTAATTGAACCCATCAAGGACGCTCTAGGAGTCGCATGGTGCACTGGATCTGGCTATGTCATCCGTCGTCAAGCTCTTACGGAGATCGGAAACTTCCCTCTTGGTTCTCTGGCTGAGGATGTAGCAACCTCGACTCTCATGCTCGGATGTGGCTGGAAAACTGCCTATATTCACGAACCCCTTCAGTTCGGTACTGTTCCCGAGGATTACGGTGGACATCTCAAGCAACGTACTCGATGGGCAATTGGAACCATTCAGACAGCAGTCAAGCTCAACTTCTGTCTCTGGGGCAAAGACGTCAAGATGATGTCTGGCGCCCAGCGCTTCTCAGGTGCTCTTTACGCTATTCTCGGCATGTTCACCATCCTCGTTACGATCTCTCTCTTCGCCATCCCAGTTGTTCTCGTCTGGGGTAAACCCCTGATCGCCTTCGCCGATATGGAACAACTCCGCTGGTTGATCCGCACCTGCTTCGCTGCATTCATGTGTAACCGACTTTGCGAATTTGCGCTCTTCTCCCCAGCTGGTTACCACACTGGACAACGAGACAGTCGTTACCAACTCTGGATGTCACCATATATCTCACTCTCGATTATCCGCTCTTTCATCCTCCCAAAATGGCTCGGCGGTTCAGTCGTAGCTTTCAAGCCTACCGGCTCCCTCGGCAATGCACTGAACGAGCGTGATGCCAAGAACAAGAAATCCATGCTCCGCCGCCTCTGGGCCATCCTCATCAACTATATGGCCATCTTCCACTTCGTCTTCGTATACTTCACTCTCGTCGCCGTGGTTCTCACCTCCTATCGCGTATTCTTCCCAGAAGGACAATCCGTCCGCGACATCTTCATTGGACTCATCACTCACGCTTTCTGGCCACCTCTCACCTTCCTCTTCTTGTGTTCTAGTCTGTGGACTCCGGTGTCCTATGCGATCGATCCACCCATGGTGCCGGAACGTGAGGAGTTACTGGTTAGAGACCAGAAGACCGGTGTTGCGCATCCAACGAAGGAGAGTAAGAAGGTGGCTTTCGGAGGTCAGGCCGCGTGGTTCGAGTTCCTGTATACCGGGAGCACGATCTACACGGCGCTGGTTTTTGCGTATAGTTTCTGGTTGTGAGGGATGAACTGGGCTTGAACGATCGTTTGAGTATGCTGCGAGAGATGATCAGATCTCTTCCGCACTGGCCTAGGACGAAGACAGAACCGCGACGAGAGGCATTTGTGGGGAAGCAGTTCACTTGTGGAGATGAGCATTCCATTGCATGGGGGTAGAAGAAAGGAGAAGAGAGAAGAGGAGAAATTCTTTCAGTACTGTTTGGGGAATTTCGATAATGACGAGGTGTACTCTACTGTTTCTAATGATGGGCATAGATGGCTTGGCTTGGCTGCCTGGGTTTGCTTTGTTTTCGAGATTTTTTCGAGAGTCTCTTTTTTTATGTCGTTGGGATATTTGCTTTTTAGACGGGGGAAAGATACGGAAGATGGACAGGAGGATGGTGTAAATATGCAAACTGAGACAAAGGACAAGTAAATATAGACAGGCAGACGTTGTACAAGGAGTTTGGGTGTGTTAGGAGAGTTTGGAAAGTAGATGCAGAATACGGAGAAGTTGGAGACGTGGGAGAGATAAGAGAAATCAACAAAATAACTTCAAAAACTATATGTGTCCTATTTTCCTTTCTCTTTCACTCTTGTTTCGTTTCATGCCACTATCTTATATCATTTCCTTTCCTACTTCTTGCCCGCTTCCTCTCTACGTTGAATCAGTGTCATCAATGACGTCCAATAACATGAAGTGCGGTCTTGTGGATTGGCGAATTGGTAAGTTGGTTGGTAAGTGTGCTTCATGGATGGATAGATGGATGGATGGATAGATGGATAGATGGATAGATAGATAGATAGATAGATAGATAGATAGATAGATAGATAGATAGATAGATAGATAGATAGATAGATAGATAGATAGATAGATAGATGGATAGATAGATAGATGGATGGATAAATGGATAGATGGATGGATAGATAGATGGTGATGTTGATGTTGATCTGGAGTTTGATGTTGATATGATGTCGTGAGATGGGTCGAGAGGGAAGGGAGGTGGGGAGGACTGGGAGAGGAGGGAGGGATGGGATAATAATATAGCATAAAAATTTGTGGATTGGAGGTCGGCAGGTGAGCTTGCTTCCGTATCTTTTGAATTGGGTTGACTTGACTTGTGAGCAGTCTCGAGGAGAAGAAGAAGAAGGAGGAAAACCGAGAAGAGATGTCTAGTGGGGCGAGCTAGGTTCATACTTGCTCTCTGACTACATTAGCTGGTCCTCAGAACTTCACTCACTTCTTTAAAGCCAGGTGCGTTCATTCATTGGCTCATCTATTCATCCATTCGTCATCCAGTCATCTTCAATCAAACCAGCCTTCACCTTCGTAATCAGCTTCGTCTTCTTCATCACTGCTTATTTCTTCCGTCTGGTGAAGATAGTGTCCTCCATGTCTTCCATCCTCCCTGCCAAAATGACCCCGTCCAGTTATACTCTTATCATTATCCTTCTCCCTCTTCCCATTGCTATACATGACGACCTTCGTCGCCCGGAATCGACCCACCTCGTTTCCACCTTCTCTTTTTGTTTCTTTTGTTCCATATTCAGGAGTTTTGGTGGTATGACTGTTACTGTTACTGTGAGGAGTGTGGTTCACATACCCGTAGTAAGAGCCGTTTGAGTCACCTCCTTTTGCATGAGGTCTTGTTGCATCGTAAGTTCTAGTTTCATGTCCTGCAGGTGCTGTATCTCCTCCATGGTCTCCATGATCTCCATGACTTCTCCCATAACCATAGCCATGGCCACCACCACCAGACGACCCACCCGCGCGGTGATGAGTGGAAGTTTCGTCCTTCTTCTCCTTCCTCTTCCCCCCACCTAGCAGCTCCACAGCGACATGTTTCGCAGCTGTGGCGATAATCTTCTCTCCCAACCTCGCTTTCTTGTGTCCTCCGGATTCTGAGGGAGAAGAATGGTTATTGGGAGAGCTGGGTTTTTTATTTTTGCTATTGTTGTTAGAGGGGCTGGGTTTGGGTTTGGTGTTGAGGGGAGATTCGGTCAGTCTGTCGGCTGTTCTGTTTGTGAGGGTTGTGGTGAAGGTGTTGAGGAGTGGCATTTTGGGGGAAATTGGGGGTCGGGTTTAGGTTTGGGTTTGGGTTTGGGTTTGGGAAGAGGCAACCTGTTGATATTTAGGTTTTTTGATCTTTTTCTTCCCTTTGGTGAGGGAGAAGGTCTGCAGGGACATAGGGAGTAAGTCTGATGTTGAGGGTACGGATGCGGATGCTGAAAACAGAACCACGTGTGTGGATGGACGTTTTTCCATGTATGGTAAAACCTTTTCAAAGTTCCTAAGTACAATCAACGATGACTGTCTGAGGGATGACTGATTATAATAAGAACAATTGAGGGAGGTGAATAAAGGCAGTGTTTGAGGCTGGTAAATGCATGATGACAAGGGACTTGTGACTCCCCCACCGTCATTGACCGCGGAGGAATCTGAATGGAGAACTGAAAACATATGACGGAATAAATTTTAGACGAAATTCGTCAGAATGACTGTTGAAGAAACCTTTAACGTGATGTCTGATACGAGTTGCATTGGTAAATGCGAGGATAGCTGGGTGGGGATGCTTTCTCCCCACGACAACATAACACGTCATACTCCCAGAATTGTGAAACTCTCCTCTTCATATCAGCCTCAAATATCACTTGTACCTAAAGTGCTTCATCATTTCCTAAGCACGGCAACACCCAAATCGATTTGTCCAAACTCAATTATACCGACAATTACAGACGCATTCATTCAGCCGGGACAAGCACTATTTCGTAGCGACAATCAGTCGAATTCTTGAACAATGACACAACTTCTAATCACTCATTTTTTGGGGGGGATGGAGGCATAGACAAAGCGAGGGTAAAGCTCACGTATGATCCATCGCAGTGTAAACTCCCGTTACATCCCGCTTGGGAACAGCACCAGGTCGTGCAGTCTATGAGGTGGCCGTTAGCTTAGCTTTCAGAGTACTGCGAAGTTGGGAGCCCGAGAGTGGAGCGAGAAGAAGGGGAGGATGAAGGATTGAGCACGTGTAAAAGGCGAGAATGTCGTACTGAATCCAGGTCCACAGGTTTTGGCTGTTGTTTGCGTGGTTGCTTCATCCTATTTTGGTTGGTTAGAAAAGGCATGGTCAGGGTGCGTGGACTGATCCATAGTGAAGTGAGGCTTACCTTTTTCTCAACTTCAGTAGGCAGTCCCAGTGCGAGACTAGCGAACAGAGCGATGTAGAGGATGGGTCGCATTCCGGCAATATCTGATCAGAGTAGGAGATTGAGGTTGAGATGCCTGGGCTCTAAAATTCGTATTATGAAAGATCTCAATGCTGGGGAAATCCAGGTATCTAATTATGACCATCACACAGCCAAGTTTAACTTCCTGACTCTAACCACAAATGAGTCTCTCCGTCTTACTGTCGATACTATCGAGGACGCGATGTTGAAAAGCGGGGTTGCTGTTGTGTAACTTCATGATTGAGGGGAAGCTCCAATTATGGCCAATAACGCGGCGGCCAAAAGAGCGATTATGCAGTAGATGGCCTCTGCGAGTCATCGAATAACCTTTTGAGGATGGAATTGTGGTGTACGAGTGGGTGGTCGATGAATAGCTGCAGAATTCCAACAAAAGAGTCTTGTGACCTGGTCATCTACCTCAAGGAATTAGATGCAAAAGCTGATTCGCGAATCTGAGATGCCAGAACCTTTCCAGTCAAATGAGTGGTCTTTATTTGTACAGAAGTCTCACATTCCTCCCTCAATTAATAGTAATGATCTCGGAAGGAAATCCTCTCTCACGGATTTCACTTTCCCCGCCAGGGTTGATCGGGTCCTGGATCTCAAACTCCTTTCTTGCCGTTTTTTCTCCTATAATCTAACAGGTCAATGTGAAGACACATCGTAGTCTCGGTCCGCAAGTGTGGAAATTGACACCCCTTCATGTGAAGGACATAACCGGTTGTGATCAAGTGTGAAGCCTCTTTCGGCCAATTTCCAGTTATTATTCACCAATAGTTGAGTCTTTTTTTCCATTTGAAATATTAAGTCTTTTGCTGACAATTCCATTTTTAGATCATCACACCTCAGACCGAAAGAGACGATCCCGCAAGACTGTGCCACTGTCCGCTGGTGACGTGGGGAGAAGCTTTGATCGCTGGGGTCAGGGCTTATGCCCATTTGCGAGTCATGCAGATAGCAGGTTCGAGAAAATATGGAGAAGTTCGTAAATTGGCTTGGCATACTTTAGGTTCCAGTGTTGAAATGGAGGAGTAGCTACCTAGTTGCTCGCCCAGGAGAGGTAAGTCTGTAAACTTAAGCGAGAGGATTGAGATCCAGCGCCTGGCATGATGAATCCTGAATTTCAAATTTGATTCTTGGGCAGGTACTTGTGCATACACACGATGTAACAAAATCATATGGATAGATACGAGCTTTTAGTGATGTGGTCTTGAGACTAAAAAGTGTATTAGAGCAAGTCGCAATAATTCTTGGAGTTCCATTGTTATTGTTGAGCAGTAGAGCTAGTAAGCTAAGCGAGCTTGAAACAGAAGCAGAAGAGGGAGCTAGCTCATAGCCATGAAATAATCTATGGCCCCGAGGTTTAGTGAGTTGAGAAATGAGGTACAGTTGAAACATTCAATTTAAAGAGCTGAACTTAGGGCATTGCATTTTGGACTGTGGACGGACTTTTGGCGCAATGCAAGATCCGGGGAGATTCCCACGAGCACATTCTTTTCTTCTCCTCATCAACACACTCAATACCACCCTCCAATACCACCAGGTTCAGTTTTCAGACTTCAAGCTCTATGCTTCAAATTTAATCCCAGACCTTCATATCATCAATCTCAACAATCTCAACGTCAATCTTGAACAAACCTGGTCAAGAATAATCGGGAACATCGAACCAAGGCAACAACATGCCTTCCAGTAAAGAGCTTCCGGACTACTACCATGTTTTCGGTCTGAGCAGAGACTTCACAGAAACAGAAATCAAAATCCAGCACCGCAGACTCGCTTTTCAACACCACCCTGACAAGAACCCCAACAATCCAAATGCAACGGCGTACTTCCAACTCATCAACGCTGCAGCCGAAGTCCTCACCGACCCAGTCACCCGTCGCTATTACCACAACCAATATGACAAACAGCAAGTCGAAACAGCATCTCAGCGCGACAAAATCAAAGCTTGGAAGGGCTGGCCTTCTGCTGACTATGGAAGCGAGTACACGTGGGCACCTCCCAAGGAACATGAGTACACATGCAGTAAACCTAGAAAATCTCAGTCTAGATGTCATCAAAACAACAAATATCAACCGAAAGGGAAGAGATCAAGTGCGAGGAAGAAGGAAGGGCGAAGAAAGAACCCACTGGAGAAGAAACGAGATCGAGCCCGAAACAGAAAGAGGTTGAGGTCCCAGAGTTTTGGGAGCATGTAATCTTAGATGTTCCTTCAGATGAAAAGGAAAATAGAACGGAAGAGAATGAGGAGAAAGAGAAGAAAACCTTATTTGAAGATACCACGCCCAAACGCGAAAGAGTCTTCGAAAAACGACAAAGCAACTACCGTAAAGCCTGTACAGAAGACCAATATCTCGCAGACGCGTTTACAGGGTACTTCTACGTAGCTGAGGACGACCCAGAACAAGACGAAGTCGACAGCCCGGATTTCTGGGATTTCATTTATGAGTGTGAATATGATTCCAACTTGAAGGAAGACGATCTTAATATGGGGGTCGTGGAGAAGATGGAGAAGCATGCGAAAGACAAGAAGGAGGGGAGGGGGAGGGATAAGAAGGCGTACGAGGAGTGAAATTGGAAGAGCTCATTTCAGGTGTGGGGTAGGATGCAAGATGAGTTTGATAGATTTATGAGGGAGAGAGAGTTGAGGAAGAAGATAAATTTGCTGGAGTTGGAGAGAAAATAGGTGATGCAGATTGAGCACTTGGAGAGAAAGAAGCCGTGGAATTTGGTTTTCGGTATAGGAGTGGTTTGATAGGAGCTGTGTCAGGTGTCATGTCGTGCGAGTGCTGTTATGAGGCGCCGAGATTGTTGGGAGAAACCGAGTCTGAATGCATTTGCTTGGAGATGGAATTTTATGTCGTATTGTCTTGTTATTGATGTACTCGCTTTCCATATTTCGTTATGGGCGAGAATGGGATGAATAAACATTGATGGAAGCGGAATCTCAAATTGTCACTGCTTCGGTACTTCATTAATCAGCCAACCTACTCAACAGCCTTACATGACTTCTTGTGCTCCTTCCAATCCTCCCGCTGACAATTCCTGGAACAATAACACAGCTTCAAGCACTTCGCACACCTCGATAAAGTAGCCCCACTGACGCCATCTAATTTTCCACAGTTGGCCCAAGATATAGTAGGTCTTGTCACCAAATCTTGGAGCTAAACCATTCGCTCCACGTATGGCACAGAGAATGTTGGAGAAATCGCTGCCCTCGTTGCGAACTTGCTCAACGATGTCCACGTCGAATTCCCAGTGATGAACCTTGCTGGGAATTTCCCATTACCACATGAACATATGACTTGAGAACCATCCTCTTCTGTAGATAATGGGACCTTGGCGGAGGTCTTGTATTCGCAGGTGGGTTTGTGTTTCCAATCACGGCAGCGCTCAACTAGAGCTGGAGGACCATTTTCCAAAGCTTCATCTCATCATTATCCACCTTGATATTACAGTAATATTCCCGGGAACCTGTGAAGAAATATGACATAATTTCCGGCAAAGTTTGATGGATCACTGGAATGACAGCACAGTCCAGCACCACAGTGTGATTGGCGACGTCCAAGAGCATGCGAGAGCCCAAGATTACGATCTGTATACTTTCTTCCATTGTGCGCCTCAAAACAGAACACATCTGCTTTCTCGCCTTGAACTCCACTGTAATGCATGATGAGCGAAAACAGCGAGTCCTTGAAATTCGTGCGGATATCGGTCACAGTTGATGGTCCTGGAAGCAAGGACTTATCTCGCTGCATCCGCTCACGAGCTGACATCTGTAGTGCAGTATGAGGGCTCAGCCAATCCAAATCCTTACTTTTACGGCTGAAATCAATAATAGGAAGGCCTTTCGAATGGAGGAGGGAGGTCTTGAAGGTGCATCAGTGTGGAGGTTGGTGGACCGATGTAGCATTAAAACCCGGCGAATGTATTGTATGGGTGGAAGGATGCAGATATGGCAAGTTACTCAGAATAGGTGCGTCCCTTCCTGAACAAATTGGGTACATGAAATGAGGAAACCCCCGTCCAGAAACGTGATCCGCAGAGGGAACGCTGACTTCGATGTACGAGGACTTTCGAGCAATGCGTGTCTTGCTGTGACTGGAAAGTACTGGGATGGGAAAGTTGAGAGTGAAAGATTTACCGTCGTTGCCCAACCCGACGGAGATCGTTGAAGGAGATATCTGGGTCAACACCACCGAGGCACCTCCAAGCAAAAGGGATTTCACCTCGTTGGACAAGAAATCTATGCGACCCGTAAGTCCAGACAAAGATGCCGATTTGGAATCAAGGTTCACTGTGACCGTGGTTCTGACATCTTGATCTGAGTCCTCGTTCCCAAATTCTAGTCCGAGCTTCGCAATACTTGCATGTCCAGATTGGCAAGGGCGAAATCTGGTGATGTGAACATTATTGCTATCCATCAATCTCGCAGCGAAGACAAACATCATGGTGCCCAGAGATTTAGAGAAAATTGCCACATTTTGCGGGGCGCTTTGAAGTCCGAAAGTGATAATGGTCTTGGAAGGCTCACGAAGAACAACCCAAGTAGGAACATTGAAAGAAACTATCAGAGGAGAAGTCCCAGCCCAGCCGAGAGAATCTTCTTGTATCATGACCTTGACCTCCTCGTCGGAAACTTCGCCGCCTGTACTTAGTCTTCCGAATGTGAGCTGGACGTCGGAGAAGATTTCTTGCCGCCCGTTGATGAAGTGTGAATTGACATCTTCCTGCACGCAGCATTGAACATTCGACGTTCCCCGTTGGTTTCGTGGAGTTTCCTTCAAGACGTGAAGTTTAGAACGCGGGACTTCGAGGGTGACGCAAACAACCGGAGGCAATGTGTTCCAGGATCCCAAGCCTTCCTTGAACCGAGCTGCATCAGATGGCATGCAACCAGCGGTGATTCCAGACGCGTTATGGATATCCAATAGACTGAGATGCGCAAAGAAGTCCTGAATGGAATTGAATCCAATCATGATAGTCTGGTCATTCGCGATTCGAAGAATCAACATCTCCATCATCTTCTCCCAGTGGGTGACAACACGAGGCTTCAGGAATTTCAGCAATGCTGCGAAGCTTCCTCGGTGATACATGGGACAAGAATTGTTGCGTATGGTCATGATACTCAACGTGGATATGGCTTTCATTGTATCTTCGTGCTCGAACATGGCATGGTACGTGCGATGGAGGAGAATCGACAAATCATGTGGATCGAAGTGTAGCTTCCGAACAGCAACCTCATCGGCATTGTGATTGGGAATAGATGCCTGCCAAACGATTCTACAGTGCATTTGCCCCTGTGAGGTTTCGTCTTGAGTACTACTAAGCATGGTGGCAGCGTCTAGGACGGTGTCTGCAGTATTGGACATGGCGGTCGCATTAGTTCAGTACTCGATCGGAACCAGTCCCAGAAGAAGTGACACCGTGGGTTAGCGAGCCACACAGTAACTTCTCCATCAAATCCCTGCGATTCTTCTCTCTTGCAACCAGAGACTCGGTGTACATTGTGGAAGTGATGTTCCGCTTAAGAAGTGGAGACGCCGCAACCAAAACATTTACTGGGCCGAGATGATCGACAAGATTGGACGTATCGATAACATCGAACGTGACTGGTGATGAACCTGATGAGCTGTATTCATGTGTGTCAAGTTTAATGATCTCCGTAGTGTACTTGTTGCGGTACCAATGACTCTCGGCATTTCCGATGGTTTTGACGTGCTGTAGGGTATGGCAGAAAGCAATTGCGTCTCCTACGAAGAAACGCAGGGTCAAATTCTTTGCAAACGTTCGAAATGCCACGCACCAGGCACGAAAATGAGTTCGTGCAGCATCAGTGATTCTTTGGAAATCTGACCGAGATCCCTTCCCTGCCGCAAGAGGCGAGTCCTTTACGAGAGGCACGTAAGCGGTTGCAAGAGGGAATCCCAAGTGCAGATCAGTTCCATAATGAAGTGTAAAAATGTCTGTGTTCTGTGAAGCAAAAGTCGGGTTGGAATTTCTGTCTCGGGGCAATTTGGATGGATTCCGGTCTGTCGTGCCGTATTTCCAGAAGTGCTCGTGAGCCTTGGGTGCATCCTGGCCGGGGTTGATACTCGCCGGAGAAGCAGATCGTAGCGCACTCAAATTTAATCCTTCCCTGCCAAAGTCTTGCTTCTTTCTGATTGCATCCTCGATTTTGGCCTTGAATCGGTTGTCATAGCCCGCTTGTTCGTTTCTGGATCGATTGAAAGTTGCGTACTCCTCCCATAGCTTCTTGACAATGTTGAATGTTCCTTCCTCGCAGAATTTAAAAATAGTGCCATACTTTCCAGCCTTCCAGGACTCGAATGTCTCTGCAAAGTGAACTAACTTCTTGGCTTGAGCTTGCAGAAGTTTGAGTGACTTCTCGTCCATGTACATATGGTAGTAGATCTGCCAGAGATTCGAATGTTGCTTGCCCTCTGTGTCATCGAGCAGGACGGTGAAAGCCAGAATGTTTTGTGCTGTCACTGCGTCAGTCTAAACATCAAGGGACTGCCACGAAAGTGTTATACCGATGATGGCTCCCTCGATATCGCAACATGTGATATCCAAACTCCGTGTGGCTGACCCAAGTTAGCAGTGCTTGTCACAGAAGGCTGGATTTACTCACTTGGTGCCGTGTCGGCGTATGCTGTGAACAGTATATTTCGGAAATCTCCACATCCCAACAGCAAGATATCGGCATCCTTCTCTGGAGGGAGATCTTAGGTGAGGCAAACGGCGGGAGTGTTTCCGATGGGGTAGAAGAAAGAGATGAGGTTGATACAGGTTGGCCTAGGCATCCTTGATATTTGTATGTGAATTCCGAAATCTGGCTTTCAAATTCAAGGTATCTTGAAAGCTCCCAGTTCAAAGCACCGGAATGTTTGATTGATGACATGCCAAAACGTAGACGGAGCAATGCCCATTTGTTTAGTCAGAGCTGTTCAATCCGTTTGCGAGCGCCTCGTTTCAACTCACATGCAATGTGCTGGGCTCGAAGGGCCCACATTTGACATTATCACTTTTGTTTTCCCCCGACGATACAAACAAAATGTGAGATTTGATAAGTAGCTTTTGGTAAATTTCTGTACTGATATGGCGACAATACTAACGGAATATTTTCAGTGACAGTTCACTCGCAAAGGAGCATGCCCGTTGAAATTGGAGCTGGAAAATGAGGACCTCGAACTTGGACTTCCACTCCAGCCGCACCTCCCACCGCTGGATGACGTGCCCCCAAAGACTTCCTAGGAACCTCCAGCATCTCTGATATTTGACCAGAGAGCTGTCGACATGCCGTTGCCAAGAAAGCAATCCACACGTTGAGTCTGCACGTATCCTTTGATAGTCATCCCGTTTCGATAGGTCAGGGTGTGTGCCAGGGTGAATTGTTGGATGTCAATCTGGATATTGGAAGTGAAATTGGGTAGCTGCTTGAATGCAACATCTGTCGCAAAATATTCCTTCCGCCAGTTGCCCAAAAATATGTCCAATTGATGTAAGAATTCGCTTTACATAATCTACTTCGCCATGAAGTATGTGGGGTACTGCCGCAGACAAACGAAACGTTTTCCCCCCTTGTCGATTATATTTTCATGAGGACTCATGAGTACAGGAGATTATAATAGATTTTCTCGTATTCGTCCCTTCTGCTTCTGGTTTTCTTCCAGAGTTTTGGAAAGTTTTGAATCGAGATTGTAAAGCACAAGACCCCACTTTAATCATGATTCGTCGGCTTCCTTACAGGGAAAGCCACAATTATCAGAAGGTGATCTGAGATTATAAGTGAAGCGAGGAAATGCTGGACTATGTATGAGTGGTAGCGATGTACGAACCACAAATCAGAGTGGAAATATTAAAGAATGGTTAAGGTTGGGCGACGAAGATGGCAGGTACTCGATGTTTGGCTGAGATTGAGAGCTCGGCATCTGCCTCGAGTAATGGCAGCCTTTGCACGTAAGAGTGACCAAGAAGTGGGAAGTACAGTGCTAGATGTTGCTTCACAGCTGCAACAAGAGTTACATGATATTTCCGATACATCCCGAGCCCGCACAAGTGGGATGAGAAATCGAAGTCAAACAGAAAGTATTCGCTTCCACACAGTTTGTTCTATCCAGCTCCACGAAAACAGCAGGAAGTTCCAAGCGTTTCGGTCAAGAATGACCAGCCTTTTAACTCCAGAGGAGAATAGAAGTAGAAAGCGAAGTTCTCCGAATTGTCTTGGTACTTTGAAATTCTTCAGGCTCTTACAGTAGCGAGTCGGACCCCCGCAGCACGCTACCGCTGCAGCCGAACTTTCTTTCACAGAAGCCACCGAAACAACCATCGTGGCTTATCTTCTGGGCGATGTCGAGCCCAGCGCGGCACGATCTTATCTTCAGCTTGGCTGCGGAGCCAGCATCTGCCAAACTTTTTCAGACGAAAATAGATGGTAAAACGGCTAAGAAATTGACTCGTCCGGAGACCCCGCATCCGGTAATGTTGAGACGGTTAGGAGTGCCCTGGACTCTTGGTACAGCCCAGCGAGACCGGTAGTCAAGTCAGAATGGAAAGGGGATATAGGAAACTTACCAAATTAGATGGGCTTTGATTATTCTGATCGTAGTGAGTGAGTGGAATCTGTAGATGTTCAGGATGACTTACTGCGGATAACGGGTTTTCGTCCTCACTTGAAGCCAGCAGGTAAATGAGTGACTTTTTTATTTGATTTTTTTGTTATTTTGATTATCAGCCATCATTTAAAAAATGCATTTCCCTGGAGCGCAATCTTGCCAGCTCCATCCATTTTCTTGATCCAATCCGTACTCCGTTCCTGTTATCCTCTCACATATCCCATATAATTATCAAGTAAATGATGCACTCATATGCATCCCCACGCGAAGGAGTGTGTGGCCGTGGGGCTAATTAATCGTAAATATCTTACACTATCATTGTTGCCAGTTGGTGTTGGCAGCCCGGTCGTTCTGTAAGAGAACCTGTCGATGTGTGTGCTCGTCGGTTGATTATGCGAAGGCGCCAACGACGGACATGCAAGCCGCGCCCATCATGACGAATGTAAAAGCCCAAATCTTCATTTTCTTGGACATCAGAAGTTGGGCTTCATCAGAGAGGAAGTCCTCAGCGAGGAGATCGACGGTTGCGGCAAAGATGAGGAGACCAGATGAGCTGACTGAGTGTTAGTATTCTTGTAATTTGACCGACGAGAAAGACGGTATTGTACTTACATTGCATTGAAGACTCCGACGATGATCAGAGCAAAAGCACTTTCGGGATCATATGAGTTTCTCGCGAGCAATCCAATAGCTTGTCCAATCGGGGCAGTGGTGCCAAATGCCACCACCAAAATCCAAGGTCTAGCAGTTCCCTTTGGATATGGCACAGCAGCAATACGACTTCCCAGTCCAAGACCCTCGAAGAACTGATGGAACAAGATGGCGACGAGAAGGATGATAAATCCATCAGTGGTGATGGAGACAGTCATGCCGACGAAGACACTGTGAAACAAGATACCACCTTCCAAAAGAGTGATGTTGAGAGACATCTTCTTGTAGGTTGCCTCATCGATAATAGGCTCAGCAGCCATCATGGCTGTCTCGGGATCGGTATTCGGTGGAAGTTGAGGTGGGGCAGGTGCTCTACGTGGGCCGTATGCCATGATCATGTTCTTCATCTCCTCACGTTGGCGGACATATTGAGCAAAGAAAACTTGGAACCATGGTGGCATTTCTGACTGAGAGCCATAATTTGTATCACTGCGACGCAGACTAGGCTGGAAATCTGGCTCAGGCTCATAAGTCGCACTACATAACGTTAGTAGTTGTTCCATTCTAGTCAGAAAGGGGGTGTAGTACCTAACAAACGTCAAATCTTTCTCATCTGGATACTCATCATCCCTCCATTCTAGATCGTTCTGATATTGTGGTGGTGTTGGAACTCCTGGTGGTGCGCCCTTTGCAGCATGTCCCTGACCATGGACATGACCATGTCCGTGTCCATCGAGTCCTTGGCCCGTTGTAACCATAGAGGTCGATCGTCGACGAAGTATAAGATTCAGCCATGAGAGTGTCCTCCGGTCTTCGACTTCAAAATCATCTCAATGACAAAGAGAGCAAAAAGGGAAGCCATCATGATCACGCCAGGCATTGCAGGGTATTGGACAACAAAAAGATCCGGGAGACATGGATTATTGAGGGATTGGAAGGCAGTTGGGAGAAGCTGACAGATAAGTTAGCGTTGACAGTAGTAAATAGGTGTGATATTCCTACATGAACGAAGGCTGTTGCTATGAGTACACCTGTACCAAAATGCTTGCAGAAGAAGAAGAGCTTGGGTGGAATCTTCATCCAGCTGACTCTCTTCGCGACGACGGGAAATCCTGCACCAAAGATACTGAAAAGTAACACAAGGACTATGACGAGTAAGCAAAAGACACAAAAGCATTTCGAGCCGGTAGATGACACTTACAAAGTGCTGCCACATGGAGAGGCAAGTCATAATCATCCGCATTCGCCTGTCCACCTCCGCACTGCGGCTTTGCTGCTGGTTCAGCCTCCATCTTGAAAGTAGGAAAAAAGGGAGCCTGCCCACTTGAAGAAAGGAAAGGAAGAACAGAAAATAGCAAAGCACAGCTTCGCCCGATTAAAAGAATACCGGATGAGAACAGAGTTGAGTCTTGAAACTGTCAGATACACCTCAATACATATACAATCTGGACAAAGAGAAAGAGCAGCCTCCACCTTCCTGAAACTACGTAACGACAGGCTCATTCTGGATATGTCTGGGTGCTCAAGGATTCTTGCCAAGATGATCCAAACATACGACCGCTTCGACTAACCATCAAGACTTCTGACAAGACAAATACCCATGGGGTAATTGAGCGACCCAAGTCAGTGAAGGTGGGTTGACTTAGGTCGTCCTTGTCCACGCTAGTTTCACTTCGTGGGCTAAAGATAAGCATAATGCCCAGCGATCCCCAGGAACGTTGCCGATGTACACAAATAGCCTCCAACTGGATGCAACACAGTTTTGATACACTGAAGCGCAAATGTTGTCAAAACCCATTCCGATTTGTGGCACAGGAACAGATGGCGAGCTGACCAGTGCTTCCAATCTGTTCCAGTTATTCCGTCAGGAATGGAAATTCGGGAAAGACCTCGCAAGCATGACGAAATTGTTCCATATCCGGCCAAACTTTTGTGCAATCGACGAAAATACTTCTGACTCTCCTTGTTCTCTCCAGGCTGACCGCTGACAGGCAAGGATGCAATAGACAGACCCACAGATTCCTCATCTGGCAGGCGATGTTGACAAATACGGATCTGTGTTTGATGCTCCAGTAATGATCGACGCTTCCGTGCAAGCAGGGACAGTACAGGGCCGGGGGAGTGACTGGCAAACCATTTGGAAGCCAAGAAAAAAGAGACATCAAGACTTCTTGAGGTGGGGCACGTCGATTCGTATAGTCCTTGGCACTGGATACATGATGAGGGAACCGTAGCGAGTAGTAACGATGAAACATTAATGGAGTCAAGCATCAGCAAAAACAAGCAAGCAGTCGTCAAGCAACCGGGGATACCCCACATGCAGCCATATATCGCACGTGATATCAAAGTCTGAGCACGTCTGTGCCGAGTCCACAATAAACGCCAGATCGCGCTTTCAGCGCCTCTCCCCTCGATTGTGCGAGATACGCCAGTCAACTGTCAAATACAAGCCTGAAATAGAAGAAAGAGCTGTCGTTATCCAGCTGAGAATGCGACTGGACTTCCAGAACCATTCCAAAACGCCACGCTGCAGGCTCTCAGTCTCAACTGCCGGATGCCACTTGGCAAGTTGGCCTGTTCCCCAGCAGCCAGATATGCCCAATGGGATAAAGCCGCGCCCCCAGCTCCGGCAAAGGAGATCACCGACATGCTCGGCCGTATGATCGACGAAGTTACACTGGATGGCGGAGGGAGAACTCAAATAATAATATCCAGATCAGGAAGTGGATGAGGAATGCGGTGAGGATGGTTGGTCGTTGAAAAGTTCTCTCGCCTGTTTCTAAGCTCCTTGTGTTTCGGCACCCGAGCCGCCCGTGCTGAATCCTACCTCAGAAGCTTGGCGAGATCAAAACAACAACACTACTGGGCATCCCGCATGAATGACATGCCGAGCCGCCCCCACGGAAGTGGCTGGGACATGGATATTGCCGCGTCTAGCTCTCGGAGGCTTTCATGCTTGAAGAATGGGACAGCTATGAACCACAGAGCCTCCCGCAACAGAGCCTCGGACAACGCATGGCACGAGCTGGGCGGGTCTCTTGGCTGTCTTGCTTGAACGGAACGTGACTCCACTTATAGGCATGCATGAAACCTTCGAGGTATTCAGAATCATGTGTGGACTATATTGCCCAGAGTAACAGAGCCTCGAGGGTCGTCTGCCAAGCCAGCTCTCTGACAGCTGTGATGCTACGCAAGAATCAATGCAATGTCTTTCGTCGGTCAAGCAGACGTCTTGTCCCAAAGTGTCACTCTCTTATTCTTTCCCAAACACGCCTTGTTCAGAATATTCTCCAGTTGTCTCTCCTGGAGATCGTCTGAAGCTAGTGGCAAACACTGTCGTGGGCGATAGAAATTACTTATACCCATCTCTCGACACGACACGACCACAGATCTCAAGCATTGCATGGGTTTCGTACGCTGAAAATTATCGGAAAGCACATCTTCCGTTCTCTTGTCCTACTATTCTTATCATTCTCATCTTAACTTTTGAACTTTTGCTCGGCATCGCTCATCCTTCGGCTCGAAACTCCTTTCTATTCACTCCGCCCTTGTAACTCGGCTTCACTTTTCAGATGGATTCTCGGAAAGACGAAAATAAGCAGGTTGAGCCTGCTCGCTCTTCCTCCCCTGCCCCGACTCCTATTCAAACACCTCCGGCACAACATTCCACTTTTCAATCAGACTCTTCGATAAAGTCAATACAGAAGCCTGTCACTACCATTATCGACGAATCTGACCCAATCGAGCCTATATCAGTAACCGAGAGCTCCCTCGAGAGGGGAAACACTTCTTCCTCAATCGAGTCTGACCCTTACATGCTGAAAGGATATATCCGAGATGATGTCCAGAGCAAATTCACTCAGCAAGTGGTCCCAACAAAGGCAGGTCGAAAACAAAGAAAGGTCAAGAAGTATTACAATCGTCAAAATGCTCTCATTGATGCCTATCTCGGCAGCGGCGAGGAAGAACAGTTCGAAATTGACGACGCACTGAAGAATGGCGGCAAAGTAAGATTTGCAGTCAACGCCAGTTTCGTGTGCAACTTTGGCCTTTTCATTATTCAAATGTACGCAGCTGTATCAACCGGGTCACTGTCACTGTTTGCCACAGCAGCAGATGCATTTGTAGGTTCGCATATTCTGGATTTGTCTCGACAGCATTACTAACTTCATTGGAGATGGATTTAGTCAGCTCCATCATCATGTTGATTACGTCTCGATTGGCAGCTAAGCCCAATATGCAGAAGTTCCCAGTGGTATGTACGATCTAATGTTCCAACCAAGATAGTACCCGTTTCATGTTCTGACAACCAACAGGGTCGCAAGCGAGTTGAGACTGTCGGAATCATCCTCTTCTGTGCTCTCATGACTACGGTCTCTGTCCAGCTGATCGTGAGTCCTCCGAACATTCTATCTTGATACGTTTACTGATTTTGGTGATTAGATCGAGTCTGTTCGCAGCTTGGTGCGTGGTGCTCACGAATCAGAAGCACTCCACATTATTCCAATTGTATTTGTTTGTGTCGCAAGTAAGCCACACTGCCTTCTTACCATTGTAGTGAGCGAGCTGCCATTCTGACATACACACAGTCTTTGCAAAAGGATGCCTTTTCGTCTACTGTTTCATCTTGAGAAGATACCCCGCTGCAGGAATTTTCATGGTAAGTCCAGATATGCATGCACGGTATCAATAGTGCTGATGAATTCCTCCAGATTGATCATCGCAACGATATCGCAGTCAACATCTTTGGTTTGATCATGTCAGTCGTTGGCAGTCGCTACAATGTCGTATGGTTCCTAGACCCTACCGGTGCAATCTGTATCGCTTGTTTGATCTTGTACTCCTGGGCATCTACTGCTTTCGAGCACATGTGGTACCTGGTGGGGAAGTCTGCGCCTCAAGATTTCCTCAACAAGATGGTGTATGTGTCTGTCACGCACGACAAGAGAATTCTGAAAATCGACACGGTAAGCTTCCACGTAACCAGACATGCCTCTTATTGGAGCAATCCATTCAGCAGAATGCACATGCTGAGATGAGTTCTTCACCCAGGTCCGAGCATACCATGCCGGTGACAAATATTACGCCGAAGTTGACATCATCATGGACCGTAACGAGACACTTCAAGTAACTCACGACGTTAGCGAAACTCTGCAGCGAAAGCTCGAAGGTACTTTCCTCCCTCCAACTCTAGCTTTGTCTAAATACTAATTCCACTTCAGGACTGGGAGACGTCGAACGCGCATTCGTCCACGTCGACTACGAAGATTCCCACGACATCGCAACTGAACACAAAGCATTGTACGAAGTCAAAGTCAAGGAAGAAAAGGAGCCATTCATGAAGAGGATACAACAGAAGTTCAAATCGAAGTCGAGCGAGTGACAAGGGAAGAGCGTTGATGAGGGGTTCTGGGTAAATTAATGTGGCGACACTGGTTGTCTGCGAGCTGTGAAGCTGTAAAAGTATTGATTGTACGATGATGCGAATACTGGCTATAATGTTACAAAAGTATATAATGAAAAGTTTTGACCTCTTGTTGTTATTTAAGAATAGATCTGAGGTGATGACAAGGTACGTAATATTATCCATCGGTCGGAAACTTAGACACAACGGTCAACCTATCCTTCCACTCCCGCTCCTCCATCTTCTCAAAATGTAGCTTCAATGCTTTACTCTCCAAGTGCAGAATACTAGTGAGCTAGCTCTTTCGAGTCTCCCCATGTATTTCCGGTCCATTATCCGTCCATACTATCTGGACGTTGTCCAACTTGACCCTTTTCGGTCTCCCACCATGTGCTGGAGCAGGATGTATTATATCATAACATATGGGCATCAATATCAGTTCAATCAGCTTACCATACGACGATATCATATTTTCCCTCATCTTGGCACTTTTAAGTGCCTAGTTTGGGTTGAGGTCTTAGAGATCTGAGACGGGTAGGCTCGTAGAGTATCAGTGCTGGAGTTTCGGTATATGGATGCTGTTTCCAATCAGATGGAGCCAGATTAGAGGTTGGATGAAAACTAACTGCGTGGTTGTGGTGTCTGTGCATGTCGAACTGGGGAGTCATTTGCTTCTTGTTCACTCGCACTTCCTTCACGGCGACCAGGATGGTTGTGAGCTGCTGGTGGCGGTACAGTAGTGAAGCAATTTCCGGAACAGAGCATGAATTTAGGCTACTGAGCCTAGGTGGCAGAGCTGTTGATGTTTTTCGCATGAGTTCAGCAGTTTGATCCACGAATTAGTGGTTTTGCGCTCTTATATTGGAATTCATGTAGGCTGCGGGGAGTTTTCGCCCCCCGTCCCCCGCCCCCGAAGGGGAAATACCTAGGTAATCCCCGTAGAAGGATGAAATTTTACTAATACTTGTATAATTTATATTAATATTGCATTGTCATGTACCTACCTATAGATTAAGCCTTTCTTACATGAAAATGTATAGCAAGGGCTGGCATAAGGTCGTCTTCGAAAGCATGAGCAAGACTGCTGAACTCCGTGCTGCAGCATAATTCATGGAGTGGTTAGTATATATGATATAGACGGGTTTGACGCTTTTAGGATGTGTGTCCGAGAAAAAGAGAAGGTAAAAAGAAAGGAAAGATGTATTTGATTCAAGTATATTGTAATACAGGATGGTATTCTTGAACAAAAGCACCTGCTTTTGGGAAACTCCGGACGAAGCTGTACACCAGTTCTAGCTCCAGGCTAAAACATACAATGCAGCGTACCACAAAAATTGATACATTCTAGGTCAGAAGCGGCACGAAACCCAGTAAGAAAATCACGAGCAATCGATCCAACATGAAATGGCATAAAGATTAAATGTCACTCAGGTATATTATCGAACGTGCAACGAATGATCGACTATTCGGTACAGAAGATGGCCTTGGATTCATTTTTTTTTTGGACTGGGCACTGCCCTGTGTGACTTTACTACTGCTGAGGTGAGGGGAAATTCAAAACAACTGGAGCTTAAAAGAGAAAATAAGCTGTGAAATACCAGCCAATTACGGTTTCTTCGTCTAATTTAACGCCCCATTCTGGACTACCCTGCATGAGATGACCAGATGATCCCGCCAGCCTCTCTCAGACATTTTAGTGAAGACATTTTTGATTTCCTAGTCTTTCTTCCCTGTAAGGAGAGTGTGACAGCTCCATCCAAAAGTCGTGGGATTCTTGTTCTCCGAGGCACATCTTTGAGCTGACGCCTGCCTCTGCCAAGCAACAGATAAAGCAGAAACTTCCACTTTCCTCCAACGGTCCGGCATATAACTACAAACAGTGGGTTCTTTGTCTGACACGGTACTGGAAACAATATGATTTGTTATGTAGGAGATGCTCTGGTCAACGTTTATGGGAAGGATTTGAACTGGATACTTTCGATAGCCCGGTGCTTCTATCACCAACTGGCCTGTCATTAACCACTTATTAGCGTACAGAGTTCTAGAGGCTGGATCGCGGTAGATAGGTGCTGGACTGAGGTTGTTGGCACATTATGCTTCGACAAAAATGAGCTGTTCTCCGAAAAGCTCGTTCAGTGACAGCGAGATCGAGCCCTCTCCGTCGCTATATGCTGGAGGAGAGATATTTGATTCGTACATACCTCACTCGTTGTCAGTGTTGTTCGAGTCGGTCATGATGAAGTATTTACCGCTTTCTTTCCCAGTTAGCGAATGACAAATATAGAAATGGTTATGCTTATGTCAATGATGATGGTTGAAATACTTGAAGGACGTGAGAGATTCTTACAGATAATTTATCCTACCTCATACTACAAAGAGATCTCGGTACCATTTTCAATGGCTTTGAGAATTCCGTCCTGCGAGATGTGACTGATTGCGAACAAGGTATTGTAAAGACCTTCATAAAGAACATGTTATTTGAATACATTTTACAAGACATGTCCAAACGATGGAATGAAGGCATGGGTCTTGGTGTCGTGCGGAGCTCTTGAATAACCATGGTATCAAAGACAGACTAGAACAGATCAAGAACATTACCAATACATAGAATCAGCTTACTGATGCCGAAACTATAGGGTCGCGACCATTCGATAATCGTACTAGCAACAGCACTTCGTAGGAGATAGCGCTATCGGCCGCAGCTGCAAGCAAACCTTATGAAAGCTGAGAATAAACACCTCCACACTGTTCCCTACCAACGTTTTCATCAGTGCCTGGGTAAGAGATATAAAACAAGGCCCATATGGATGAGACTAGTGACGAAAGCTGTGATATTTAGTGTACCATGTATGGACGGTATCTCCTGATCCGCATAAGCGACGCGACGCAACGCAAAATGAGAATCATAAACTACCATCCCGACCATCCATGAACATCCTATCTCGCCGCATACATCCATGTCCAGCCATTTGAAAACAAAGCACGAATTTTGCTGCTTCTGCTACCGCTACTGCCGCCGCTGCTGTAGATAATGAAAACAACCACGCAGAAAATGCAATCATTATGTGCAAAATATTCGCATGCTCTGATCTGATCAGATTCCATCCATCCCAAGGCAAGATCCAGCAGCTCAAATCACTTCGCTCCATACCATATTCCTACAAGACTCGACAAGCCAAGCCCAAATTCAGAGACCGCGATATCTAATCCCCCATGATGTCGTCATCATCCTCGCCAGAGCCATCCGCTGCATCGCCATTACCCTCAACGCTACCCTCGGGCTCCTCTTCAAGTAACTCTCGTCTCCGTAGATCCTCCACCGTACCCTCTTCTGGCTCGACGTCCGCGAACGGGTCCTCTTCATCCTCTTCTTCCTCGACGGCCAACTCCGTGCTCTTAGCGGCCTTCTTCTTCGCATCCGCAGCCTGCTGAGCTTTGCTTTTGTGACTCTTCTTTGCTTTGGACTTTGGTTCGTCAAGATAGGCGATGACATCCTTGAAGTTCGGGCCGAGGCGTAGACGGTTTCGCTGAAGACGTGACCGAAGTTTGCCTTTATGAGGTCCTGAAGCGTCGATAACTTGTGCTAGGATGGCGAGAACGAGTTTTCCTGTGAGCTCGCAGAGCTCCTTTTCTGCTGAAAGGGTTTCAGCTTGTCGCTCGCTGTCCGTGACATCTTCTTCGTCGTCTTCTGGGTCCTCGTCGAGTTCCTCTGGTTCTTCGTCATCGCTTGGCTCTGCCAACTTCTTTTTCGCTCTCTTGGCAAACTGCTTCTCCAGTGCATCGAATATGGATAGCAGTTCTTGTTGAACCACGGGTATGACCTGGTTGATGAGTGTCAAGTAATATGGGTTCTCATCGGCATCAGCTTCAGCACCCTTGGGTTTCTCTGATGGTCGCAGGGTAGTAAACAGCACGTGTATGTCAAGCAGAGTCCCAGCTCCTATTAATCGGACAGGATCAAGGGTAGCTCGTGACGAAAATGAGGCAGTCAGATTCTGAATGAATATTGCCTGCCATTCCTTGAGATGATCGATGTCAATATCAGGAATTTCGTCGTCGATAGCAACTGCGTCAGTCAAGCCTCGGATCTTCCACATGAAGTAGAACATCGCTGATTTCATAGCGGATAAGACGATTTCGTCCTCGAGGGTGTCAATTTCTTCATCATTAGCATCTTCAAAGACGCCTCGGGCAACGATATCCAAAAGTATGACGATGGGAAGTGGATCTCCACTTGATGATGCATCCTCTAAAGTCTCAACTGAGCTTGCAATGGTGGACAGCTGCTCTAATCTTATGAGAGTATGAGATAGATCGCTGAGGACCTTGTCTCTAAAAGAGCCCCGAACAGCAATATTGCCGGTCTTGTTGAGTTGGCGAAGAGAATTAGCTGTATCCTCCCAGAGCGACAGAATCTTGTTATCAGCAATTTCCTCAAGTTCCTCGTATCCTCGAGCATGCAAGAATGCTGCCCCGGCTTCGGCGAGAACTGTACGATCTGCATGGCCATTGAACTGAGCACTGATTTCGTCCAATAATTGAGAGTAGACTGTGGTGTCTTGTCGGAGTTCTTGGAAGACACCTAGATTCAACGCGTGCTCCAATCGCAGTACGAGCGTTACTGTCTTTGGATCCGCCCCAAATTTCTTTAACAGGCGAGGGATGAGACTGGCCAAACGTCGTGCAGCGTTGTCTTTTGCCTCTTCAGCTTCTGCCTTCGCGTTTTTACTTCTGCCCTTTTCTTTGGCTGATTCCTCCACGCGGGCAAGGCCGACCTTAACAACAGCATTTAAAATCTCGAGAAGAATAAGTTCTTCTTTCTCGGTTGGCCTGAAACTTTCCCTGACGGAGTTCTCGGCTTCATCGTCTGATGCAGCAGCTGTGTGATCATACAAAAGATAACCTGCCAGTACTTCCCAGTCTTTGAGAACCGGCAACTTCTCATACAGTGCCTGTGCAGCAAGGGTAAATCTTGATTCAGAGCCAGAAACGTCCAGGAAATCCGCTACCTCGATTTGACTAGGCAACTCATCAGAATCCTGGGCATCGTAGGTCAAAAGGCTTTCGGCAAGGCATTTCAGTCTGATCCATTCCCCGCGTGGTGAATCGTAATCATCCTCATCATCCACTGTTAGAAGATTTTCAATGGCCTCTTCACCGCCAAGCTCCTCCACTCTTAGCTCATACAGGTCGTTGATATTTTCCGAGAAGAATCCAACAATAGCTTTCCGTACTTTCGGCTCAGAATCGAAAATCAATTTGCCCAGAGTGTCAATATCGTCTGGCTCTAGCATGCCGGCTTCACGAATCAGGTCCATCAACTCCACAGCAGCTGCTCTGATTCCTGGTTCTGAATCTCGTATTGCCATTTCAACCATACGCGGGCGAAATCGTTCGACAAAGTGGCGCATGCCTCCAGGGTTGAGACTTTTCATCAGCTGAGATAGTTGCTTCACAACTTCAAGGCGCATGGGCCCATGAGTATCAGAAAGCATCCAACCCATGTATCGCAGATATTGCCCCTCGAAGAACACACTCTCCAACGTCATCATCCATGATCCCATCGCTTCGGCACATTCAATTCGGATCTTAGGATCAACGTCGCGATATCTGTGAGTGTATACAGTATCGAAAAATCCTCGGAGCCGTAACTCGATGAAAGCCTTGTTATTCTCGTTCTTCTTGACTTTCTGCTGGAAATCTGCCAGTCTAGCTTTGTTCGCCCCCTTTTTCTTCTTTTCTGACTCGAGTTGGCGCTGTACTTTTGCTGCAAGTTCAATCTCGTGATTTGCAACCCGGCACATTGCGGTCATCATTGTCAAAGCCACAAGCGTAGCAGTATGTCGAAATGGTCGCAAGGTCGAGGAAGACAAGCTGGAAATCCACACGTCGATATTCTCTATCAATGGCTGTTCGTCGTACAATATTCCAGTGTCATGCATTGCTTGAATGAGTTGATCGAAAAAACCGACCAGAGAGCCTCGAAATGCATGGCTACTCTTCGCTTTCGACATGAGGGGGTAGTCGGTAATATTTTGCTAGCTTTGGTTAGCAGTGTTTAGTGTGCCGCCGGAACGGACAACTAACTGTTTGATGCTCCTCCTGTATGTCTGCCAATCTGTTCATGACATTGTCTTCATCGTTGACGTCGTCGCTTGTGATTCCAATAGCACAGCCAGCGCTTCGGAGCACGAGGTTAACCAAATCAGCCAGCGCAGAGAAATTATCGTCGCTGTATGCACTCAACCACCCAGTAACGACATCCTCAGAAGAATCGCCACTTTGGAATACATCGGCTACAAAGTAATCAGCACAACCCCGTGTTGCCTACAAGTAGAAGCGCGTACCGTACAACCCCTCAGCATCCTTATCCGCGATCGCGACACGCTTGCCACCTTTCTTCGGCCGAGCAGGGAGCTTCACAGCTAGAGGTTCTTCGCGCGACGATGTGCCGTTGACTTTGGCCTTCTTTGCTGCAGGCTTTTTGGTCGTCTTTGCCTTCCTCCTGACTTCTTGTAATTCCTCCTCTGCCGCGCTCGCAATGGCATCGTCGCTGGCTTCTGCCTCGTCATCTATTTCCGACGCGTCATTCTCGCCATCCTCTTCCGTTCTTTTTCTCTTCGAATTCGCAGATCCTGCTTGGGACGAGGGCGCCTCGGGCATAAACTTTTCTGGTGCTCTCACGGCGCGTCCAGACTTGCGCCTGCTTGCTGTCGCGGCTGGGGAGCTCATCACGTCGTTACTGGAAATGTCTAAGAGTGGCGGTCTTCGAGTAGTCATTGAGGCATTTGACGCGATCGTAAATGAGACGGTTTGAAGTGGTTCCTGGTGTCGTTGCGCGTTCAATTATTCCGACCTGGTGCATTCGTGTTGATTGCGGCGCGAAGTGGAGGGCGTCGCGATGGTGTTTTCACTAATCGGGTTTAGCGTAAAGCCAAACCAACCAGGCATGTCAAGAGTCAGTCCAGACAGCTGCGAAACTTCATCCCTCTCACGTGAATCGAAGCATTTCTTTATCACACCGATCAGACTGGATCGTTACCACGACAGACAGATTTGGTTGTCACATTTCACGGCTCACTTCCACTTCAGACTCTGATGGCCGGACTTGCGGATGTGGACGAGACAAGCAGCTCGATTTCTATGCACCTCTCAGATACCCCTCCAGGGTCTTCACGGCTTTAACCATATATATTTCACATATCATACAGGCTCTTCTTCTGCTGTTCTTTTCAACGATATCTCTAAGTCACATCTGTGAGAGCTGGGCCCTGGCGTAACGATTAGCTACTACAGCCTGTTCCACTGAAGTTGTTATCATTCCCTACAGGTCAATACTTCTCTGATGCTCTGACTTCCAAATCCGTTATTGCCTCGCGCAGACCAGAAGTGGCGTAGGGACGGATTCTCTTGCTCATGGAGTCAAACTTTCTGATGTCTGCAACATGTTTCTGCGTTCTAAAGTTGTGGGTTGGCGTTATTCAAGCATAAGCCTATGTCTTCCAACTCCCGTCCCGCGATCATGTCGCGAAGTACAGTTTGGATATGACGATTCCTATCCAAAGTACGGCTTGTATGAAATAGGAGAGAACAGACGACCCGTTATGCACTCCTGATGTGTGCAACTGCCGAGTATGCTCTGCGTTGTTTCCTTGCAGAGGTGGCTGGAAGGCCGACCATAGTCGATAAGAGGACACAGCAATGAATATCCGACAACTCGTTGATTTGTTCAGCAAGCAGACAGAGAGTGTCAGTTCTGCATTGGACTCATGAGGCCTCTGCTCTGGACGCAAGCCTAACAGCGACAAGTCTTATGTGCCAAGCTGTCCAGGTCGCCGTTGTGGAGTCAAAACCGAAGATGGCACACTGCGCCAATGTTCGATGTCTGGAAATCGACGTCGACTGGGACCGTTTTCTGCTTCTGGGCGGCGGGCTAAGCAGTTGTCCGGCAGCATTATGGCCTACAAAACAGCTTATGAAAAGTGCCAACGACTGCATCAGTGACTGGGTACGTGCCCGTCCATACTTCGACGTCGAGGAAAATGGGTCAGAGACAAAATCGACTTGTGTCTATGCTGGTGCTTTTGGCGAAGAGATTCGACCGAACCGAGTCAAGCAGTAACAGCTCAGATCAGCTGAATCTAACATCAGCTAACGCCGCCCTTTCCCAGTTTCACAGAGGCAGAAGGAAGTGTCTGTCCCACCCGCTTACTTCCAACTGTCGGCCTGGTCATCCCACCAGCGAAGAGATCTCATGGTTAGATGGAATGAAACTTGTTTGGTTTCCAAGTTGGAAAAAATGATCGGACGGAATCCGTACGGACTCCAAGTTTTTTGTTGAAATTCGGCATCTTGATTCCAAAGATTTGGCTCATCTTCTCAATTCCGATTCAAGAGTATGCGATTCAAGTTGACTATTGTTGCTCAATCGGGCCTGCCCCTTTGCTCAGCTAGCAACTACATTGCTTGCTACCATATTCAATTGCATGCTCTGTAACTCAGACATGATATTCGAATTGCTAGTACCATCTCCTATTTGGGGTCAGGCAGTTCAAACCGGGCCAGCTTCACGTGCTTAGCTGTTTGGGCTCGGCCAAGCTTAAAACACCGCCTGTCTCCAAGCCGCCTTACCTGTGACAAGACTCTGATCACATTATACTTCCTATGTGATCTACGGGTGGCGCACACTCAAGTAATTGTTGGGGAATCCCGGCTGCAAATCGATTGGAGCATGATCTGCCGAAGTTTGTCGCCGTGTCAAGATCTCTCGAAACATCGAACAACTCCAAGACCAGCGGCATTGGCGGTAACGTTGGCAATGCTTAATTCAGGCTCACCATCGGCTACACATGCTCTATCACTTCTTCTTTCAATGGCTAGCCTTCTAGTATTGAACTTGTCGCTTCCTTTCTTACTCAATAAACATCACAACTTTCCATATTCTGAATGCTCCCTATGTAGTACATGCGGACGAGAACTTATGTACAGTTATCCACGCCAAATCCCCATGATTGTCTTTGACAGAGTTAAGCTTATAACTCAAACCCGTAAGGAGGAGCCGAATGTTCGACAAAAAGAGGCTTGGCATGGGTTGGCGCGTCTTGGAAACGTGCACGGCCAGAAACAGTGGCCTTGTTTGACGCCAGAGAATGGAAGCGCTCACAGGCAATGCACCTCTTCCTATCCAATAGTTGATGTTATTGCAGTCAATTGGCTTCTATCCGCTGGTGTCGATTCGGAGGAAGTGCGTCTACTCCACATTGGATAGGCCCGTTTCGTCAATCATCCATGGCGGCCAACAAAACCTTCCTTCGTTTGAAGATCGGCCACAAGCTGAGACTCGGTTCAAGAAACATCGCTCGCAGTCAGTCACTTGAACTCCGAAATTCGCTGCGCCAGTCAAACCTGATGTTTTGACAGCGTTCAAACGTCGCAAAGGCCCAATTGTCCACCTCGCCTGCCGGCTCGCCGTCTGGTCCGTCCCTCCCTTGACTTCATGCAGCATATCCATGGTATTCGTCTTGGTAATGAACTTCATAAACACCCTAGCATGATTGAGTTCAGATATTGACTCTTCTATTGTGGCCATCCCGGTACAATACCAAACACAAGCCGTCTTCTTCTCGTACCAGACGTGTATTAAAGCTGTTCAATTCCCCTCTCTTTGAACACTATCAGCGATCAATAGTTCACCAGTTTTCTCCTATTCCGTCCTGTCATTTTTCTATTCTCCAGCCGTTTACGATTGACTCGTGGCAGCCTTCGGTCATTTACATTCAAAAACATATTTTAAGTATATTCCCCACAAGAACAACCGCAATCATGCTCTCCAAAGTCATCCTCAGTGCTCTGGCAGCATCATCTCTCGTTGCGGCTCACGGTAAAGTGGCTGTCATCGTAAGTTACTTGCTTCTTCTCCCACTTGCATTGTCTAAACCCATCTCAGACAGGTGATATGGGAGGCAATACCACTGCTCTTGGGATAATGGGAGGCGTCGTTCCAGGCCCGGGCAAGAACAAGGTCACCGAAGTCGACACAACAGTCTTCAACAAAGTCAACCCCATGAGCGACGGTCTCGGCAAAACTGCTGGCGGCGGCAAGAATACCCTGGCAGGAATGTCTGCTGTCATGGCACAGTCTGGAGAAGTCCTTCCTCAAGTATCAGATGGCGGATCTGTGTCTGGCACCTGGCACACTGTGACAACTGATGGCGCTGGACCTGTTACGATGGTCCTCGATACCACAGGCACAGGAGCCTTCTCTCAAGGAACCAAGCTGCAAGTTACACAACAAGTACCAGGTGTGAACGGCAACATCCGCGCACCAAAGGATCGTCGTTTCTTCCGCCGCGTACTCATCTCCGCTGGTATCGTGAAGCGCGCATCGAACGTCAACACCGATGAGCCAGTAGCTGGCACCATCCCAGCTGGTACCGTCTGCACCGGTAACGTTGGCGGTCAATCCGGAGTCTGCCTCCTCAAGATCGCCAATACCAACGGAGCAGGGCCATTCGGTGGTGTTCTTGCAATTCGAATGGCCGGTGCGGCTCAACCGGCCGCTGCGGGTGGTGTTACAGCCCCAGATCCATTTACTGGTGGAACAGCCAGCACTGAGGACTCCGTACAGGGCGATGCTAGCGACAACAAGGCTGTCCAGACGGAGCCTGACACCAAGAGGTCGTTCGTTGCAGAGCAGTTCAGCGCATAGATGTACTACTAGTGATCGGCGATGAGGAGTTCGCCCATGGAGGGAATATTGTAAGTATGCGGCGCTATGGGGCGATGGGGCATGATATTTACCACCTGAGGTTGAGAGGGAAACTCTCTGGGATTGTTCCTTTCTTTTTATACTGCTGTACTATATCGAGGACATGATTTTCATTCATTTCAACGTTGATTTCGCTCACTTCTATTTCCTTTTCGTGACGTTGCCTCCACCATGTTGACTTAAATAACTACTTCGCAACGTTATATCGTCAATGTACTATACTTTCATATTGAACCACATGCCCCTGGTAACTTGCCTTCATATTTGCATGTAGTAGATCTCTACAATCATTCCCTGGACTGCGTTACGTTCTCCAAAGCTTAAATCAAGATTTAAAGTTGTGGCGTCTGAGTTTCCTCATAGCTTCGGTGCACACTTTGCCGGAAGTCTTTCTCCACCCCAAACAGGCGGTGAACACTAAATGGAAAATCTAAGCACATTAGTAAAGTATGGTAGTTTATGCTTAACTGGCCCGAGTTAAGCTTGTTGATGATCTGGTAGGGCAAAGCTAGTTTTGCAGAACCGCTGGCGGGGCATCTGAAGGGGCACGTCCAATAATGAAGCGACAGAGGGATAATCAGCAAAGAGTCCATAGGTTGCAGATTGCTTATTGATCATAACAGTGGCCAGGTTCTAAATTTTTGAAACTACTCAATTTGAGACCCCCCAAGCATGTGTTATTCTTTCAGGCTGGAGGACAAACATTGTGATTGGCCAAGAGGAATTTCCCGCGCAATGTTCATCATTTACCAACCAGCAAACACTATCAACAACCAACATCAAGCGAGCATCTTTCACGGACCAACCCCAGCGTCGGTATAACATAAACACAGTATACGAAACATGGCAGGGTGATATTGGAGGTTGACGCATTTTTTGTGACTCCTGCATGTTAATCTCCGAGAAGGTTTCGTTCATGTGCAATATTGCCAATACGCGGGCTCTTAGCTGGAAATGGATGGTGTATGGGATTCATAATAATAATTTTGGTATAGTACTTATAGTGGTGGTTATGTTACTCCATTTCCAAACGAGAGTGTACTTCGGGCTGACTTTATGGCTTGGACCTGAACGATATTCCCGATCAGAGTATCGTTGCGAATGGGGACTTGTAGTAAAGTGCATCTATGAATAGTTCGAGATTAAAAATCTTTTCAATCACGCTACAATCCTGAATTGAACCTGAAATCTATCTTTCCAGCCCCTTTCCTTCATCTTCGCCAACACCGTTCTTGTTTGACCATCTGTCTTGAGCGTCATTGTAGTTGTACAGTTTTCATCGGAATAGCTGCATTTCATACCATCCCAAAGCACCATGATCTTCACCACGTCAATTGGTAGTTTTCTCCACTCCTTTGCAGAGATGTAATTTGGCTCGTTCCTCACAATACCGCTGATTAAATAATGGGATAATTCTTGATACCCAACTCCTGAGTCGATACATGCAACATGTAGATCGCCTTGGTTCGAGGTGTACTCGCCGTCGATGTACTTGCCATACGAGTACAGTTGCGCTGAGTCCTGATGGTAAAAGATGTTTGCGCTCACAAGTTTGGATTTCTTGTCTTGAATAACGCCTTCGACAAACACTAGGACCCCCCTTCCCCTACTGGCTGAACTGTCTGAATCCTGGGAAACGGAAGTTGGCTGAGTCGGGTTCTCAGTCAAGGAAGCTTCACTGTTTGGGCGAGTGGGAAATGCAGCTTGCGAGGCTGGTTGGTAGGGTGGTGGATGTTCTGAACTTCTAGGCTTGTCGGACTGTGTATCGCTGGTTCCATCCATCTTCATGCTTTGACCACCTGTCTTTGTCCAAGTTTGATCTATGATTCCTTTATCGTTCAAGTACAGAACTTTCGTGATTGCTAGACGATACTGGATAATTAACGGAAACGTTCAGTGAAAATTCCAAAAATTCCAAAAATTCCAGAACAAACGTTCTCGAGCTAGCGAGTCCATTTCAGAAACCATGCCGACGAACGTGTCGGCACTACGTGAGTGGCAGTTTTAGCATGCCTAAGAGTTCCCAATATGTTTTAGAACAAAGTCCTAGAGACATGAACCATTTTGGAGAAATGAATGGTACTGAAATTCGTGTAGACCGTCGAGAAACACTAAAAGCGTTAACTTGATTTTACTGGGCTAGCTGGAGTGACTTGCCGTATCGAGCAATTGACATCACGGCTGCGAACCTGCAATCATGCGAGAAGCTTCGGACTTATAAATTTCACGCACACGGATGCTGGTGCCTTATTTTCTGTTTGTACTCTTTTCTACCATTTTCGCTGGTGGTATTTTGAAAGCCACAATATTCCTTTGATAAGCGAGAAAGGCAACTGATGTCAAAGTAGACAGTTTTCCGTCCAGAAATAGCTGAGTCGAGGCGAGCAATCGAATAATTTGAGAAACTTTAATTTGAGATATCGCTTGGGAGGATTTTTTTTCCCATTATTTATGGTCGCTGCAAGTTCTCTATTGGCGGAACTGGAGTTACCAAGTAGGCACACCGGAACTTCTCAACAAGTTTGAGGGTTAATTAAACCGTTTGGAGATGTGACTCACCCCAGAATGAGATGAAGGCTACGTCTTGAGACGAAAGTGCTGAGGGATGCTTGTGGAGAAGGTTGTCTCTCTAGTTACCAGTTCCACGCGAGTATTCAGACAGGAAGACAGCAACATCAAATATTTTGGTAGCCCTTGAATTAAACTAATCTATGTGCTTTTTACACGTGAAACTCTGATTACTGAAATTGTGTGAATGGTAATAGATATACAGCTACTCTGCTCGTCAAAAATTCTTTTGCGCGTTTGCTACTCAGTTGTATTGACGCAGTATGGCGCTACTGACAGGATTTTGCTGCTGATACGAACTCAACCATTGCCAAATTTAAATCACAACTATCGATCTGCGTAACATGAAATTTTTCAAATACTATTGCTTCTTGCAGATAGCGTTGATTAGTCTTTGTGTAGGCTGGTTCCATCAGATACCAGAATTCTCTACCGAATGAACTACTTCAACACCATCGTGAGATCGCTAAGACATCAACAACTCCGGTACACTAAAAGTAGACTCTGATTCAATAATTCGCACTTTTTGAGCCATCGCATATAATTCAGAATCCCCTCTCCTCAAAATCGGCTTCAATGCTTGTCCATCATCTCTCATATCTTCTCCATCTTTGAACTCGACACTTTGGCCAGCCAAATTTATCTATCTCACGATCTTCAGCATATCACTTGACTTTACCTTTCTTCACTGTCTTATATTGTTAAAAACTCTCCGATCGCCAAAATGGAGGCACCAGCTTTCTATCTTGACGCGCTTGCCGGTCAACAAAACTCCCAATCCATCCAAATAAGCGTTTCAAAGCCACAACATTCAACACCAGTGCAGAGATCCCGCCAATCATCAACATCAACGTCATTGCAACGATCAACATCGCGAAGCCCCTCGCGCTCTCCGTCTCAATCTTCGTTAACCGAGAAAACGTCGCCATCGGCAGCATTGTCTTCCTACCAAGAGATGAGAACTCATGCATCCACTGCGTGCAACCAGATTGCAAGAAAAGAATTGAGAATGGAGCACTTGACCACCCAGTCGTCCTACTGAAAATGTGGAGACCAAAAGATGGAGAAATCATGACCCTTGCATGTAACGTAAGTCCCTCGTGCCACTGAAGCAAATGACAATGCATTTACCGATGTCTAGATGTCCGGCAATCCAAAGCCTTTACGAGAAGATAACACACGTAACCTACCAATTTCTCGCTATCCAAGAGGAAAAATCGCCACAACCTACCCATCGTACCAGGCCGAGGAAATTATGTACCTCGAACGAGCTGGTACGCTCGCTAAGCAGTCATATATTCAGGTCAAGCATGTGTATAGTATTCCTCTTTCGAAACTCGTCAATCTCGGCTGCCCTAAATTCGAAAATCGACTCTCCGAAGAAAGTTACTCCCATCTCATGAAGGTCCTCAAACTTGAAAAGTCACAGTGGATGCAAACATTAGAGCTTGAGTCGGGTGGTCAAGATCCCTCCACTGTGGCTCCCAAACTCAAAGCCGGACTCCCAACTCTGACGAATGGATCAAAGATACTCACGCCTGGCATGGCGCTTGAGGAAAAATCTCAGATGTCTGTCGTCACCTCACCGGTTCCACCGCAAAGCAACACAATTACGACACCATCACTTCAAAAAGGGAAGAAGGCAAGGAAATTCAAGGCAGTTGCGGGCCACGATTTCCTGAGCAATATGGTCTGTGCGTTCCAATAATCATGAAAAGGGAGCGCATCGACTGCCGGGAAGCGGAAAATTCACTACAACAAGAACAACAACACAAGAAAAACCGAGAAGAAAAACAAAAGAGAACAAGGAAGAAGAAAAAAGCTGGGATAAATGCAACGAGCAGAAGTACAACGAAGGAGAGACGAAGGAAAGCGGGACCACGATGAAGAACATTTTCCAAGACAGGACTTCTTGAAGAAATCGATGTCTGGAAGCTTAAAGTCAGAATCGTCCAGATCTACGAGGCAATGTGGCCAGGAAGAAAAAAAAATGGAGACACGTTATCAGCAGAGACGTCCCGTGTTATCTGGAGACAAACTGCTTCAGCAGAAGCTAATCTCTCCAAAGTGAATCCACAAGTTCAACGAAAACGGCTTGTGACAACAAACCACCATGGCACCGACGATGACAACAAGAAGGAGCACATACCGTCGAAGTAGTGCCTCGCCGCAGCCAGATACCCAAGGACGAGCCAGCGATCTTGGCAAACAAACAAACTCAAATCACACAATATACCAAGCCAGCATCATATCGTTGAAGGGAGGATAGAAGTAGGAAGAGAATGACCCAAGTCGGGATCTTAAGAGCTCAGCTGGAGGACACAACAAAAGAAGAAAGAGAGGAAAAGACCTACCATCACCACACACTCAGACACACACAGAGCTCCCCCCACATACCGATATCCTGTGGTTCAGCGGTAGACGTAAGCAGAGTGGCCGATCAGTCAGCCGGCTTTTAAGCTAATCAGTTAGCTGGGAAAAAAACGTCAGCTAGTTAGCTTGAATATATTTATAAGCTAGTCAGCTAGAATATAGCTAGCTTATAAGCTAGTCCTTATATTTTTAACGATTTTAAAGTGAGGTTCTAAGCACTTAGTATAGCGATTTAATACTATACTTACTAAAAATAAAAGTCTTAGAGTAAGAAAACTATTTCTAATTAGCTAGATTAGGTAGTTTAGTACAGCAGAATAATTAAAGCTCGTCTTAAGGCTATCTATATTATATAGTAACTCTTTAATTCTATCTAAATTAACGCTATAAATATATCTTAATCGATTACGCCTTTTAATATTAAGAATATAGCCTTAAAGGCTTTTAAATCTCTATTTACGAGTACTATAAGTGCTCTAATTAATCCCTTTGCTTATATAATAAGTATAGGTAAAGAACCTTTAGTAAATATAACTTAGCTTTTATTTATAATTAAAGACTACTGCTAATAACTTAAGGTAGTATATAATAATAACTATAACTCTTTTAAGCTATTAAGAGATGATTTAAAAGTAGACTACTCTTTATATTCTTTTAGAGAACTGTTGTTTAATAATAAGCTAGTAAACATGTTACTTTTACCTTAAGGCTTTATTCTTACACTTACAACGAGTGTTTTAAATTAATCGTGACTTTAGAAAGTTAGCTATACTCTAGTATAACCTAGGAAAAGTAAAAAATACTCTTTTTAAGTATATAAACTATATAAGCTACTTCTTTTATTTATACCTTAAATACTAATAAAGTTAAGTTACTACGATCTTTAATTTGCTAAAAATAAGACTATAGTCTTTAATAGTAACTGCCTTAAAAACGTAGTATATTATATAGCTTTAAAGTATCAATTAGACTAAGATAGAGATATCAGAAAGCTTCTTTTAACTATAATTTAACCTATATAAGCCTTTAGTCTTGTAAAAGATAGTTACAAGTATATTATACCTTTCTAAGAGTTAGAATTTAAGAACGCCTTTATTAAGTAGGTAGTAATAGATAATATTAAACACTATAAAGTGTAAAGGTAGTGGTAACCACTTCTTTACTATACCTGATTAGGAAGAGTTTAGAGCTCGGCAAAGCTCGGTAAGACTCGGTGGAGCTCGGTTAACTCTGAAGGGGTTTACTAACAGTTACCTACTTAGTTATATGTAAAGGGAAATAGCTCTACGCTACTACAGGAGTTTACGTTAAGTTTTACGTTAAATGTAATTAGTCCTAATCGGGAATAGCCCGGGGAATTTATCTATATAGGCTCGAGCGCCCTCCACGGAATCGAGGACTCCTTAGCTTGATATTCGCGCTAATAGAGAGGTTATCACCTGATCCGTGGTTATTTCGCTCACGTGCTAGCTAACGCTAAACCGTGCTATTACATTAAGCTTCCTTTAAACACTTTCGTTAAATCATTAAAATTATAAATATTTAAACTCTTAACGCGTTACTTACTTTTTATTTAACTTTAGAGATTTAAGTAACTTAGAGATTTAAGTACTTTAAGCTGTAGATTATATAAGATGTTATAAAAGCTTAATTAAAAGTCTCTATATCTTTTAACAGTTAAGAATCACTTTAGGATAAGATTAGCGTAGTTGTAGTTGTTCTGTATTATATAAATAAAAAAAGAGAAGTAATTATAGTACTAGCTAGCCTGCTAGAGCTTTTAGGCTATAGAAAAACTAGTGTTAGTAAGCTAGTTCTTTTCTAGCCTCTCCCCTTTACTAATTAAATATAAACTAAGCCTCTGTTATTCTCTCTCTCTTTTAACGATTCGGAATTAACGAATATAACTTTAGTTAGTTTATCTTTAATAACACGTCAAATAATAATACTATACTCTTAAAGCTTTTAAAATCACTTAATTTCAACTTAAAATAACGCTAGCTTTGTTATATAAGTTATATACTTAATCTTATCGCTAAATAATACTTATTTAGTTAAGATACGTTATTTTTTAAGGCTGAATTTAAGAGAGCTAGTCTTAAAGGAAGGAGATAACTTTAGAAGTCTTGCAGAGAGCTTAAAAAGCTTTATAACTTAATAGTATATATTATAGCTTCTAGAAAGTATAGTGTAGCTTTTAATAGCTTATAAGATAAGTTTAATTAAGGAAAGGCCGCTGGAAAGAGATGGAAAGTTGTTTTAAATAGTAGTATACACTAGAATTCCTTATATTTAATAATTATACACGCTTTAACTCTTTATGAAGCTTTTAATACTTATACTATTAAATTAAGGGTTTTTAAAGATACTCTCGATTAAGAGGTGTTTTAAGAAGATTATCTTGATAATAACAAATAAGAGACTCTTTAGCTAATAACAAAGCATTTAAAACCTCTTTTCTATCTTACTAAAAACCTTAAAAGTAACCCTAATCGATTTGACTTTATATTATTATCTCATAGAGCTCTCTGGAAGTTATTACCTCTTTTTAAAGCTTTACTCTCTTACTTTAAGGTTTTAGAGGCTAACGTGAAAGTAAGTCGATTTAATAGCTATTAAAGTATATAAGAGTCAATTACACTTACTTAGAATAAGATAAAGGAGTTTTATAGTAAAACTAATGTTTCTCTTACGTAGATAGTAGCTTTAGTTCTTTACCCTTATTAGAAATAGCAGTATTTTAACTAATAATAAACTAGAGATAACGTATAATATATAAGGAAAGGGAAGGCGTCTTTACAAAAGCTTTAAGAGACAGAATATAAAAGAGAAGCTGTTATATAAGTAGAGGAAAGAACTCTAAAGCTAGAGCTTTTAAAGCTATATAAAACTAGTTAATTAAAAAGGCTAGTACCTCTTTTTGCTAATATAACTTTTATAGTAAGAACTCTACGACTTTTAAGCTAGAAAGACTAATTAGCTTTATATCTTAAAGAGCTTTTAATAGATCAGCCTTTTTTAGAGTATTAGCGTTTAAAGTAAGTTTAGTAGCTATAACTTACTAAGATAGCCTTTGATTTTTTATATATACCTATTATAAGCTTTAAGTGTAAGCGTGTTTTCTTATCTTGTTTTATATAAACTATACTATATAGTTTAAGGTTATTAGGTTAATTGCTATAGTATTAAGAGTACTTAAAAAACTAGTAAAGAAAGAGGATAGTAAAGCTTATAGTAGCATTTAATACAGTTAATCTTAAGAGGGATTTTTAGTATACGTCTATTTTTAGAATCAGCTTTTAAGTAGCTTTTAAGCTCTTTAGTTAAAGCTATTAAGCTGTGATTTATACGTAAGCTAGTTAGCTCAGCAAGTTACTTAGCTGATGGCTGACTGATTGGCTGATCGGCCACTCTGGACGTAAGAAGGAAAAGAAGGAAGAGAAGGAAGAGAAGGAAGAGAAGGAAGAGAAGGAAGAGAAGGAAGAGAAGGAAGAGAAGGAAGAGAAGGAAGAGAAGGAAGAGAAGGAAGAGAAGGAAGAGAAGGAAGAGAAGGAAGAGAAGGAAGAGAAGGAAGAGAAGGAAGAGAATAAACCTGGAGTTCAAGACGAAAAACACGCACAAAACATACAACCAAAAAAAAAAAAAAAAAAAAAAAAAAAACCTGAACACAACCACCCACCAACAACAATCACACCACAACACACAACACAACCAAAAAAGACTAGTAGCGGAACAGAAAACACCTCTCAAATAAATACATCTTCCCTGTCGGATGAACCACATACAGACAGGGTCCCTCTACCTTTGGGTGGGGGAGCTCACCAATGCCCTGCGCTTTCGCGTAGCGGTGGGCGTCAGTAATCACCTCATTACCATCATTTGAATTCGTGATGGTTGGGAGGTGATGAAGCTAAGCAGGGCATCAAGATTCAATTTTGAAATTTGTTTCTATTTTAGGCGCCTTAGAAGAGCTGTTTCGTACCTTCTTGCTGTGAGGGTTTCAGAGAACTGATGGACTAGATAACATATTCCGAACGTACGCTTTAGGGGTCCAGTCATCTATGTTATTTCGCCAGATAATTCTAGTTGTCTATGGGCACTCCATTTACTGTAAATGAGTTGTCTCCGGAGCGTATCGTAATATAGCTTGCAAGCTGATGACTTACTTGAGGGATGTTGTCAAGGTCAGTGCGGGATTGTTGTTCTCAAGCGAACATCTCGTTTACGGGGATAAGGTGCACTGAAGCACAGCCAAGCACCACAGTTACTATGTTTCTAGTAATAGTATGATCGATGGGCTCAAAATATCCTGATTAGAGACCGTTTCCTTAACCCAATTCCCGAATATTTCATTCAGTTGACACTTCGCATGATTTCTCGAAGTTATCAATTGACAAGTGATATTCTAAATACCATCACACGAAATTCCTTCGTTGGGATTTGAAGATTTGATACAGCAGTAGTGGTTGTACACAATTTAACGATTATTATACTTTTATGTATGATTGCGTCAAACTCTACGAGTAGGTCCAAAATTGAACCCTTCTCCTCCAAGGGTCTCAGCCCTACGACTCGACGTATCCACTCGGCAGCTAGCCAACCATGCGCTTTTTTTTACTGAGGTAGCTTTGAGACCATGTTCATGCAAGCTGCCATCATCAATATCCCACAATTTCTTTGTTTCCACCATTGAATTGGGGTGCCAACAATCAAATTCCTGCTTTGAGGGGATGCAGCCATACTTGGTCCCCACGCCAAGTACGTGATCCAGTAATAATGACCTCATGATCACCCCTCCAAAACAATTCTTGAAGGCGATCGGATTGACACTTTGCTAATATAATCAAACCAAACCACTCTCCATAGCACCAAACCCAAGTAGTCATTCAAATCGAAAAAATGGAGAACTCAACACCAATATCTTCAATCCGAGTGGACCGACGAGAAGGTCGTTCAATCGCCAACGCCGCAGCCCAAAAGGTCGTCAACCCATTCTCGTCTCTGATACTGAAGCCGGGTAAACCTCAGCCTGGCGGATCACCTCAATTGACACCACCCAAGAAGACGCAAGGAGATTGCTCAATTGAAGAGTCACAGATCGCAAATACCTGGCTGTATACTTTCAAGTATCCATCAAGGCCCAGAACCGAAGTAAGACACAGGATATACTATTTTGCTGGAGGAGGATTCAGGGGTCTCCCTGAAAAAGAGCATTGGACGTTATGCTCAGATCTTTCTGGCATGTTGCCGGAATACGAAATAAGTTTAGTCAGCTACCCATTGACTCCGAAATCTCCAGCCTCGATTGCACTTCCACATCTCGAACGCTTTTACGACGCCCTGGTTGAGCAATCAAGGAGCGGGAACTTTCGAATCACGTTATTTGGCGATTCTTCTGGAGGGAACATTGCAATCGTCCTAGGCCTCTATGCTGCGGCGCAGTACCTCAAAGACACAACTGGAGGCCCATGTCCAGTCGAGACAGTGATGGCCATGTGTCCAGCGACCGATATGCGAAACGAGAACCCCGACATCGATATTGTCGAGGTCCATGATCCTATCTTGAGTCGCAAAGCAATAGAAGAAGTTGCACAAGGATGGCGAGCCGAGCTGCCAGCGTCAGACCCACGAGTCTCACCCATTCTCGCTGACTTGAGCATCTTCAAGCAGGCGGGTATCAAGGTCGATGGATTAACTGCTGGCTACGATACGCTTACTCCTGATGCCATTAAGTTTCGAGAGAAGTTGGCAGAATGTGGTGTCGATGGAGATTGGTTGCAGTGGGAGGAACAGATGCATTGTTTTCCTTTGCTGTCTGCGTTCCATATTCATGAGGGGACGGAGGGCAAGAAATGGATTGTGGATGTTTTGAAGAAGAACTTGGATCGTTCTGCGTCTTGAATCAGGTCGTTGGAGAAAGAGGCGTCTGACTGTATGTATTCTTTGGCTTTTCAGATGATACCCTAGATGCAAGGTGTTGTTTTGCAGTCAGCGTATCGCTTTTACCTTGCTTTAAGTTTGTCTGCTGTCGCCGTTCACCTGTATTTATTTTGCAGCAGTCCTGGGATCGTATTTCTATCAATACACAAATTTGAATGAATTGGTTTAGTCGTGGTGCGAAAAAGTGCTGAACGAGCGCGTTGCTAAGTCATGAGGTCATCACATATTGTGCCACCGGAGCGGTTGCTCCTGAGACAGTCGCCCGCCCATATTGGGGCATGACGCTAGTGAAATGCACTTCGACTGACAGGCACAATGACTGCCACGCTGTATATACATGTAGAATATCAGTATTCTCTTATCGACATTGCAATTTTGCATCTTTTGTGTCTTTCGTTCTGAGAAACTTCATCTCAGTTGAACTCAGGGTTTGGTGACCGAAAATGAGCCCCTCGTCAATTGATCGTCTGGGCCCAGCACACCATGGCGAGAACCCGACTGGTCAGTCCAATTATTTCAAGGATGAAATTCCAAGCTTACGCATTCTAGGTCCTGGAATTCAGCTTGCGCACAGTGATGAAGAAATCCCGGCTGTGCTCATGGATCCCAAATCCGAGGGACTTTCATTGTACGAGAAGAAGTCGCTTCTCATAAATAAAGAATTCAATGCAATGGGAATGGGCAAGTACCAGTGGTACATATGGTCTTTGTGCGGATTGGGCTATTTTCTCGATTTGCTATGGGCACAGGCATTTGGACTTATTGCTACCCCTCTACAGCAGGAGCTGGGATTTAGCAGTGAGTGATCGCTTTACTCTTGCACCTTAGCTCCCAAATTGCGGCGGATATTGACATGTGATTGTAGGTAGCGAGCTGGGCAACATTTTTACGGCTTTTAATTCCGGATTATGTGCTGGAGCTTTTGTGTGGGGAACTCTGGTCGATATCATTGGTGAGACTCGTTTTGGCAACGATACCTACATATGAACAACAATTGACGTGGAAACAGGTCGTCGATGGGCTTTCAATGGAACAGTCCTCATCTCATGTATTTTCGGGCTCTGTTTGGGTGCACCCAATACATATAACGCAATCCTGGTTCTGACGGCATTCAATGGCTTTGGAATCGGGGGCAACATACCCATTGATACAACAATTTGTTTAGAATTTCTTCCTCAGGTATGTTTTCTAGATTTAATACCTGCAATTTCTACTAAGATTGTCGCAGAACAAGCGTTTCCTCCTCGCCCTCCTATCCATTTTTCAGCCTCTCGGCGTGGTCGTTTGCAGCGGTATCGCTTACGGCTTCATCCCCAAATACTCCTGCGCCGCCGACCTCCCATCATGTCGATCGTCTTCCCTAGCACCAGGCGAAGCGTGTTGCAGAAAAGCCGACAATTATGGCTGGCGGTACCTCATGTTCACACTGGGTGGAATAGCGCTAGGCGTCTTCCTATTGCGATTTGTCCTCTTCACGTTTCAAGAATCTCCAAAGTACCTAATCGGACGAGGACGAGACGAGGATGCAATGAAGGTGCTGCATAACGTAGCCAAAGTGAATGGATATGAATGTCGCTTAAGTATGGATGATTTCAGAGCATTGGAAGCCAGTCACGGTGCCAGATCGCCCAGCTCGCCTAATGGATCTGGTGATGCGATGTTGAAAGATGGGGTCCCAGGACAGACTGCAGTCACAGCGAAGCCCCCATTCCTACAGCAAATTAAGAACGAGTTTGCGAGGATCAAGATACTTTTCTCGACTTCTGCACTCACTCGCTTGACGATTCTGGTTTGGATTATCTATGTATTCGACTACTGGGCGTTCTCTGTTGCTGGTACGACAACGCTCCTTCTCATGACCTTAGTCCCCCTTTCGTGACTGACTTACTGTGACAGGATCCTTCCTCCCCACAATTCTCCTTCGCAAGAACTCAAAGATCAACGTATCCGTGTCTGAAACTTACCGCGACTATGTCATCATTTACCTCCCAGGTATCGTCGGCGTTGCTCTCGGCTCCCTCATGGTCTACGTCCCCCGCATTGGCCGAAAATGGGCCATGGTCTTCTCAGCCGCCATGATGGGTATAAGTCTCTTCCTCTTCTCGACAGTCAATACACAAGCTTCAAACATCGGATTTAATCTTATGGAATATTTCTTCCAAAGTATGTTTAACGCTGTGTTGTACGGGTGGACGCCTGAAGCATTCCCGGCGCCGGTGAGGGGTACAGCGAGTGGAGTAGCAAGTTTTTGGGGACGGTTGTTCAGTATTGTGAGTCCGTTGATTGCGGCGCATTTGTTGGAGACGAGTTTGAATGGCCCGTTGTATCTTGCAGGAAGTGGGGCGTTTGTTTGTGTGGTTGCGATTTTGTTTTTGCCGAGTTCGACGCTGGGAGGTCAGTCGACTTGAGTGGGCATGCTTGAAAGACATAGTTACGATGTCTTGGGGGAACAATCGTCCATGACTGAATGAAAAAGAAATCTGCTTTCTAGCTCATTCTCTTCGCCAAGCCCGCCACCCCTGAATTAAGCGAAGCCATCACCAGTTAACTTGTGGTGAACTGCTGGTGCTGCTGTCCCATGTCCCGATCAGAAACTTTCTACCCTGTACAACTCCACTGATAATTGAACAGCACCCGGTACCATCTTGACAACATACTCTTGCACAAATAAAATATATCACCCTAAAGCAAGCTTACCCCAAACAAAAATATCACTGAATCAATCAGACCCAAGATATGACTGGGCACCGCATGTGAGAACAATGATCTGACTAATACATCCCTAGAAATCGTTAAGATATGATTAGAAGAACTCAAAAAGCATCCACAGTCATTATCTCAATGCTCAGACTCACTCCAGAATAAGTATAAGATCGAGACTTTGGGTTGTTCCCGACTTTTCGTTCCTTCCATCCTTACCAGCTAGCTAAAGTTCAACACCATATTCAGATCCAAACCCAAGCGAATACACAGTAAACAAATTAAAACAAGACATCTTTACCCAGTTCATCTATCTGTTCTCAAGCATCGACTTGTCCAATAAAATACCCCTTAAAATATCTCCAGCCCCAGTCTCGTCTACCCGTTCAACACCTCCCACCATCCACCTCCGAAGTTTCAAAGCTTCGTACACCCAGATCCAAAGCCTTATATCTCAGATCCAAACCGTATCCCTCAGTGGACCCCAACAAATCTCAGCATGTGCTGGTCCAAATCCTGGTACTACAGCTGCCGCTGCATACAAGTCGTGTACAAGTCATGCGGTAATGAACTGGGCCATCCTATCGGATGTTCAGCCGGCTGTCAACATTTAGGTGCAGAAGCGACAACTAGTAGGTGTGGTGGTTGTGGGGGGTTTGACAAGAAGTTTAATGAGTGATGCAAGGAGGGTTTATAATTGAGGAAAACAGGGAGATGGGAATGGAATCAGAAAGCGAATATGGGCGTTGAGGCTTCTTTCTTGCGATGCGAATGCGGTGGTACATTGATGATGGTTGGAAATGCAAAGAGAAGGAAGGCGAGGCACGTAGTTTGACAGATTCGCAAGGATTGCAAGCACGCGCGCTGAGATAAGAGGTAAGACAAACATAATGCGATGACACTTAAACACTTCAATTTGGAGATTTAAGCTTGTGTGAGAGTAAGACTTGGATCCTAGATTTCATGAGAACTCGAGGCCTGTATCTGGTAAGGCTGTGGAAGACGTGAAGTGACCTGGCACATTCGACATCTCGAATCATCAAGAGCATTCTGAGCATTCCTTTCAGTTTAAATACTGCGGGTATAAATATGTCGGCCTTCCACAGCGCCACTAGATTGTTTTTCATGCCCTGTAATCTCCCTGCGAGCCAAGGAGAAAAGTTGAGCTAGCGCGAAAACCCCGAAGAAGAGGACAAAGAGAGCAGCGACGCAGCTGACAATAATTTCGGATGCTGGGTTTGTCTTGGCACAAGGTAGGCAGATTGCATGAGGTGGGCAAGGAACTTGAGTGAAAGATGAAAAGGGGAGGGCCAGACAAGAGGGGAATTTTGATGAGAAGGAGACTGTCGTGAAAGCGCTGTAAAACCTGCAAGTCATTCACTGACAAAGCAGCTTTTGAGTGACCGTTTTTAGATTGCTCCTAGTCTCAGCCTTTCAGAATGATGAGAGCTTGTCTTTCTTTTTTGGAGCCGAAAGGATTCTGGAGCATTCCAGTAGTTGTGCTTATTGGTTAACAGCATTGCTCACCCCAAGTGCGGGCTTGAAGGTTCATCACGATCATCCAGTAACATCGCAGCAACACGTCACATCCAAAGTAACATGAACACCCCCAAATACAAATGACTGATCACCGATATGGACACGGGCATTGGCATCGAAATGGAAGATGGTACCATGTCAATGGAAGCTGCCGAAGAATCACTTGATGTTGTGAGCTCCTCAGAAAGTGCCGACGATGAGAGTTCGTACATTAAGACTGAAGTCAACCAAGACTCAGGGGTATCAGACACTATTGTTCAGGTCCGGGGGGATCACACGATCCAAAAACTCCATACGATGAAGGATGAACAAAGTGTACGAGCATGAGAAGGGGTTCTGAAAGGCCAGAAGATCGTTGCGTTATGCTACAGAGTCAGTCACAACTTCACAAGCTGACTGAATTTGGAGAGAGAGCTTTGGAGGAGGAGGAGGAGAGGATTGAAGAGATATTTCGGACAGCAATGATGCCCGTTAGAATTGAGCCAGGGTGGCAGAGTTGGAGGTTCGCAGGTGCTCAATCTAGAATGGATGCATGATGGCTCGCTGTTTGGGAGATTTTGTTTCGAGGAGCCGGTTCATGGGTGCAGATCACCCTGGTTCTGTAGGAGACGTGGTGGTCATGAGATATTTCTCCGGACAAGACGTATTGGACGATGAGATCAGGGTTTGGAAAGAGCTGGATGGCTTGATGGATGCCAATCTAGTGACATCTACCCTAGACCTGGTAATCGCCATCTTCCCCGATGTCGTACCGAAGGACTTTCCACCTCAGCCCATCGACCCCGCCACGTTGTCAACCAAAAAAATGAAGAGGCTAGCACATCGTAGGAACATTGATAATCTGCACAGCATCATATCCGATTTGATGACGGACGTGCGGTGGCGAATCTGTTGGGTGATAGCTGTAGAATGAATGGGCGACTGAGAGCGTTGCAGAATGGAATGTGGGTTGTCACGTGACGGAGGTGCTTTCAATGTTCCTTCACACCTTTTATGTTCCGAAGCAGCGATATGTAGAGGCATCCATGACTTACTTTGGAGATATGAGAAAAGTTATCCTTTTGATTTGTAGGCAATAAACTTTGATTACCCGTTACCACGTGAGGATCAGGATGACCCAATCTCGCTAAGCAATGGAAAGTATTTGAACTCGTCCTTCCAGCTCCATCTTTTCGTCACTCCATCATCTCTCACCGCCGCCCATCCCCACAAGTCGCTACCATCACTCATAAGCTCCTCGCGGGAAAATCTATTCCCGGGTTCTTGTTGACACTTATACTTGGGTGGTTCCCCGGCTTGCAGTCCTTTTGCTTGACCCCATCTTCCCTGCTAAAACGAGCCTGCGAAGTCTCCAGCCCTGCAACGAACTGGAGTACAAAGCAGAGCTGCGCTGCCAAATGACACCTAGTGGAGTCGATTGTACAGCGGTATTCATCCCGGTAGTGCCGGTCTCCTTTGTGTCGAGCATGGAGAATGGGAAATGAGCTAGGGGACCAGGGAAGATCCATGAAGTAGGATGGTTCTGACTGTTTTCTGCACTTCTATTGTGTGGGGAGAGTTTATCTCCGCGGTTGGGGATAAGAATCTGACAGGTAGCTTGAGCTCTTACCCAGTATAGCTCAAGCTACTGTAGATTGCTTACTTCACTTGCTTTGGCTGAGTTCATATTCTGCCATCATCTGCTTCAACCTCAACATTTCGATTGTGTTGTTAATACTTTTTGCTGGACAGGACGTACTGGGTCACGCCACTAAGGAAAATTCTCTATCAGGTTCATGCAGCCTCGCTCAACTGTCACCCGATTGCCGAAGCTACTCCATAATATTGCGTATGTGGTCGGCTGGGAACATGTTCGGCAATCCCCCTCTTCGAGTCATGTCATCTGAAGTACGCACCCCAGTTTTCATCAGTACACTGTTGGGATAGCGCACTGACATATTCTCCATACTCTGCCGTTGGTCAAAAACTGGTACCTGGAACCCGTTGAGATGACGAAGCTTTCCCAGTACTGGCCTACAGGAGGGGGTTTCCCAGCGGCGACTGTCGGCAAGAGGGAACAACTTCGGGGAAGCACGTCGTATGCATCTCTAACGCATGACTAGGCGATACTTGGCAAGATGAACGAGACTTTTTTGGTGGCAGTTGAAGCATTTTTCGGGTAAGCCACACGGGAGAGGCGGGGGTCCGAAAAGTTTATCCTCAAGCGGGGTACTGGAGGTCGGCCCTTTTGACCTCAGGTGCATCTCCAAATCCCAATGGAAACCATCCCCAGCTTCCCCGTTCTCCATTTTCCGATCTGTGGCGTCGCCTATCGCCCCGCATATTCTTCAGGGGGTTGGATCCGATCGGGAGAATATCGGGTGATGCTGCTTGATCATTGATTTTCTTGATTGTCCGTCCGCTCCACGACGATGGGTTCGTCTAATTGAGCAGAAATCTGGTGCATTTCGAGTCGTCTAAAGTCCGGCAAAGATGGGATACCAAGGCTGTCCGTCGCATTTTGCGGACCGATTCAAGCATCAAGGGTTGAAGACGCCGAAGACTTTTCGTCCACTCTACCATTACTATAGAAAGATGTCATTGATATTGCTTGTTGAGGTTTGCTAGCTGGGGAGCTATATAAGACGGGCAAGATGCCGAGATTCTGGATTTTGAAACATCAGTCGCCATCTGAACATTAATTCGACCTTTCAAGATGCTTTGCTCATTCTTGTCTGCAGCTGCTCTGCTTGCACCAGCTCTTGCCGTTGTTCAACCTCTGAACACAACCATCCTTGGCCAATATGGTCACTCCCCTGCAGTCTATCCTTCACGTATGTTCTTTTCAATCCGGGCCTGTATCTATTGTATCTAACAATGCACAGCAAACGCCACAGGTGCAGGTGGATGGGAAGAAGCTCTCGCAAAGGCCAAGGAATTCACTGCTCAACTGACCCCAGCGGAGAAAGCAGACATGGTCACGGGTAAACCAGGTCCATGTGTCGGCAACATCGTCGCTATCCCTCGTCTTGGATTCGGTGGCCTCTGTCTTCAAGATGGACCATTGGCTATCCGAACAGTGGACTACGCAAGCGTATTCCCCGCCGGTGTTACTACCGCTGCATCATTCGATCGCAAGTTGATGTATGAACGTGGTGTTGCTATGGGCGCAGAGTTCAAAGGGAAGGGAGCCCAAGTCGCTCTTTCGTAAGAACTACCACTCAAACTTGCAAATATGGCATACTGACCATGCCCTAGTCCCGTTGCCGGTCCCTTAGGTCGCTCTGCATATGCTGGTAGAAACTGGGAAGGTTTCTCCCCGGATCCATATCTTACTGGTGTTGCCATGGAGGAAACCATTACCGGACTCCAAAGCAACGGCCTCCAAGCTTGCGCCAAGCACTGGATTGGTAACGAGCAAGAAACACAAAGGAACCCAACTTACAAGAACGGCTCTATCGTCCAGGAGTCCCTCTCCGCCAATATTGATGATCGTACCATGCACGAGCTTTATATGTGGCCTTTTGCCAATGCTGTTCGTGCTGGCGTCGCAAGTGTTATGTGCAGTTACCAACGACTGAACGGGTCGTACGCCTGTGAAAATTCAAAGGCGCTGAATGGCTATTTGAAGGAAGAGCTTGGCTTCCAGGGCTACGTGATGTCCGATTGGGGGGCGACTCATTCTGGTGTACCATCTATTGAAGCTGGTCTAGATATGAATATGCCCGGAGGCCTTGGTCTCTACGGATTGACATTCGGGGAGGCATCGGATTTTGGCGGCAACGTCACTCTTGCTGTCAACAACGGCACTCTGGATGCTTCGCGTGTTGATGATATGGTCATTCGCATCATGACTCCATACTTTTTCCTTGGACAGGACAAGGACTATCCAACTGTTGATCCTTCCTCGGCTGACCTCAACACCTTTTCGCCCAAGAACACTTGGTGTAAGTGTTCTCCCTGTTGCGAAATCTTCTACTTCTCAAACGACCTTTGCTGATACATCACAGTCCGAGACTACGTCTTGAACGGCACTCGCAGCCGCGATGTCCGTGGCGACCACGGTGCCCTCATTCGCAAGCATGGCGCTGAATCCACTGTCTTGCTGAAGAACGTGAACAATGCCCTGCCCCTTAAATCCCCCAAGATCATCTCCGTCTTCGGCAACGATGCCAGCGAAGACACTCAAGGGTTCTACAATCAAGTCGACTTCGAATACGGTACTCTTGTATCGGGAGGAGGATCCGGCACAGGCCGCCTGACTTACCTTATCACACCTCTGGAGGCAATCAAAGCCCGTGCCTCCAAAGACGGTGCACTCGTCCAGCAATGGCTGAACAACACCCTCGTCGCCACCAGCGACATCTCCACGCTCGCTGTCCCCGAGACCCCTGACGTCTGTCTCGTTTTCCTCAAGACCTGGGCCGAAGAAGCAGCTGACCGCGTATCCCTCGAGCTCGACTGGCAAGGTAACGACGTTGTCGAATCCGTCGCCTCATACTGCAGCAATACCATCGTCGTGACCCACTCCTCCGGAATTAATGATCTCCCTTGGGCCGACCACGAAAATGTAACAGCCATTCTAGCCGCGCACTACCCTGGCCAGGAATCTGGAAACTCCATTGTCGATATTCTCTATGGTGACGTGAATCCCTCCGGCAAACTGCCATACACAATTGCTCTCTCAAACGACGATTATAACGGCCTTCCAACCACGGCTGTCAATTCCACTGATCCAGATGCCTGGCAAGCGTGGTTCGAGGAGAAGCTCGAGATCGACTACCGCTACTTCGACGCGCAGAATATCAGCGTGAGGTATGAATTTGGTTTCGGGCTTTCCTACTCGACATTCTCCCTCTCGGATCTTTCCATCTCTGCTTCCTCTTCAAGCAACGTCTCTTCCACTCCAGCATCCCAAAGCGCTGCCACCCCAGGGGGTAATCCCGCTCTATGGGAAACCCTCTACAACGTCACCGTGACGCTTACCAACACGGGATCCGTGGCTGGCGCGACAGTTCCGCAACTGTATTTGAGTTATCCGGAGAGTGCGCCAGCTGGCACGCCCCCTAAGCAGTTGAGGGGTTTCGAGAAGGTGAACTTGCAGCCAGGGGCTAGTGAGAAGGTGAGTTTTGAATTAATGAGGAGGGATTTAAGCTTTTGGGATGTGGAGAGCCAGGACTGGATTATTCCAGCTGGTGAGTTCGGGGTTAGTGTTGGCTTTAGTAGCAGGGATTTGAAGGTTGTAGGGGGTGTGACGGTTGTTTGAAGGGGCGAATGGGATGGAATGGGATGGATCGGGGGTGGGAATATTGTGAATGGTGATGATTTTATGATTTATGAATATGAATATGAGTAATTAAAAATAGAGAATGATTAAATGGATAATGAACTCTAAATATCTGCATATGGAAGCCATGAGATAGATGCAATCAGCTTCAGACTGAGTGCTCGCCATTCAGAAAGCTTCTTCCAGTCTAGTAGTTTACGATAGGGACTACTCTTGATATGGACCATATAGTAGCGAATACAGTTTCATTTACATAGAAAGAGTAAGACAATCTTACATCTACTGTTGTGTTTGTTCTTCGTGGAGAAGAGTCTCTACTCTCAAGGAGCAAGGAGGTTTTCATAGCCCCTTGAATGCAGAATCTCGCACTCTTTTTTTTCCGCTTTCGAGTACCTCTTAAAACTGGCAGCTTCTGAGAATCAGATTCAATCAACGAAATACAAAACCAATTACAATTACAGAAGAAATGCCTTGAGGTGAATCTTTTGGGGAGTGGTATTGTGGAAGGTCATTTCGTTGACATGTGACTTGGGAGAGCTATTTGATCATCAGAAACTGCCCGAGCTTGGGGTATAGATATTCGTCGCACATCAAGACCTGCACAATCAACGAACCTAACCGAAGTGAAATGATGACGCACGACTGGAGACTGGAGCGTCTCTTTGAGCTGTACGTGGGTGTGAGCGGGCGCGCATGGATGTGAGCTGGCGATTCGAGAATTGGACGAAAGATCAGAGGGGCAGTCCCAAAGTCGAGGAAATAGGGATTGTGTAGATTTCTATTCAAATCTTGGTAAGTGAAACACAAATCTCAGGAGAATTTCGTTGCGATTGATCTTGTCACTGTCGGCTTATCTTCTATCTCCATTAGATGACTGCTGTCTGAAGGTGTGACCGCGGATCTCGCAGGTATGGACTGGGCGTACAGTTGGCGGTCAAAAGCCGGTACCCATTGGGTACTCTGATTCCTCGACAGATATATTTCGAATGACGGTCCAGAGTCGACGTAGCTCTTTTCAATTAGATATGCATCTGCTTCTCCTAAGTTCAGCTTGTTCATTATAGGAAAAATGGACGATGTAAGGTATTTATGGAGGAAAAGGGATTGCGGGAGAAAGGTCGCGGGCGACCGGGAAGTTCGTATATTCATTATTTATATTATTACGAAATAGTTCTTGATTGGTATGGATCATACCGATTCAACTTTTCAATTTGAGGCTCATGGTTGTCTCAGTCGCGACGTATTAAATACCCATAAGCACCTTCTGCAGGACCGGGAAAATCGGCGAGCTAAAAATGAAGTCAGCACATAAATCAGTTCAGTGACGCGAGCAAACTTACCCAAGACCAGTCACTGGATCCCATCCTTTAGCAGTGGGGAAACCTGGGCCTCCACAGCCTGGGTTGCTGCCCGAAGTAATATCTGTGAAAGCCTCAGGGTGTTGATACTATCACAATGTCAGTTGCGTCTCACTTCTGTTGGAACAAGAGGAGACTTACCAAAACCGGGTGAATAAACCCAACAGTGCTCTTCCCTGCCGCAATTCTCTCCTCATTGACCAAGTTGAGAACCGCACCCCAAACAGGCGCGGACAGCGAAGTCCCTCCCACCAACCACCACGACCCATTATTATACACAACCTGTCTATCACCAACAGCACCAACATCGGGATACGCACGCCCACCATGATGATAGATCCCACCAGTCACACTACTGAAATCGCCATTCTGGACATAATGATGATATCCCTTGAAGCCCAGAGTATCCTCCACCTGGTCAAAATACGCATCCACGGCATCGCGCTGATAACTCGGAATCCCAAAAACATTCGAAAATCCCCCACCGCTCGGGAATCTCGCCGTAGCAACCTCCTTGAGTTTCTGACCAGCGACAGGGACGGTAGATGGAGAAAAGCGATCCCATTCTGTGCTGCCGACGGAGAGGACGTACGGACATGAAGAGGCGTAATCCGGGTCGAGGATCTTGCCGGAGGCGCCGTTGCAGGTTTCACCACCAACGCCGGAGTCGCCTGAGGACATGACGATGGTGACGCCTTGGAGGGCGAGTTTCATCCATTCGTTGCATTGACGCTTGATGTAGTAGTCGGGAAAGGAGGCCTCGCTTCCGCCGTAAGAGATGGAGATTACATTAGTCTAGAGACGTTAAATGGGGGGTTCGCAGAGAATGAAAGGAAGGGGAGAACTTACGGGCTTGTAGACGCCGCATTGAAGTTGTCCCTTGTAGCCGCCTGGGCTAGGGTCGGGGTAGACTGGGTCGAGGCATTCCTTTACTTTGCAGTTTCCGGTCTCGCCAAAAGCGCTGTAGGTACAGTAGCTGCCATCAATAGCATCGAGGAAGTCTAAAATTATTAGTTCAAGTGTCCAACCAAGAATCATATTAGTACTCACTGTTCCAGAAACCATTGTAACCTCCATTGAACTCATAATACTCATCATCTTCTTGGAACAAGACAAGACCCTGGGGATAAATGAGTGGTTGAGCTGCATCAAAGTCAAGCGCTGCTTCAAGTGCGTCGGTAGTCACAAAGAGTGGTGTGTCTTCTGTTGCTCCAATGGCACCGTCAATCAGACGTTCCTCCGGGTATGTGCCGTTGGGAATGTTACTGCACAAAAGTCAGTGAGGGGGGCATGTTGAGACGGCTTTCAACCTTACGGGTAAAGGTGGCTGTAGTAAACATCAAGATCGGCTCTGCTATAATGAACATCGAGACTCTCGTAGATGCCGAGTTTGTTCCCAGGGGCCGACTTGCTGGCTTTCGGGATGTCATATTGAACTAGAATATATTATTAGCCGTGATCTAGTGACTAAAGTATGTCCGAACCCACCTCTCGTGCAATCAGCTGTAACATAAATGTCACAGTTGGTAGCATTCGTCTGAGGGAAACCGGGAAGTTTGGTGATGAATGGCTTGGCCTTTCCAGAACTCAAAGTGCTCGAGAATCGCTTGGTCAGCTCATCACCTGAGCTAATCTTGGCATTTCTGTGGCGGAGTCTGGTACCAGGAGTAATGTAATCAACATGTTCCTGAATGTGAGAAGGAAGGTGGTATTCCTCAGTTGACACATCGTGCACACCAGAAGAATGCTCCCAGAGGTAGAAGTCGGCGAACAGCAGGTTGTTGGCCTCTTCGGCGGTTGCGTCGAATTGAATCCACTTGTTTTTGAATTAGTTTTGAGATCACCTGAACATGAAAAGATGGCAAGTACTTGTTTGTTGACTGATGGTGCACATCGGTCAGCACTGATGCCAGATGAAACAAGCCAATCCATGACTGCATCAGTCGAAGACTGGCGAGGGGCGAAGAATTCAATGACTTCTTCCGGAGTCATGTGGTTGCCATAATTTGCAGATCCTGGAGTTGAGCTGCTTCTAAGTTAGCAAACACTTCGTGTAGTAAGTAAACGAGACTTCTCACATCTCCATCAATCTGTTGTGACCAGCTTCAAGGTTGTGCTGCTTCAAGCCAATTCTCATCGGGAAGACCTGACTGCTCGGAACCTTGGACTTCTTCGTCCATTGATGCCCCCATTGAGGCAAATGGCGCTCGTGCAAGCTGTGCGATGCGGGAATCTCTCGCTTGGTTCCGACAGAGTGGGAGATGGGACTTGCCAACGTCTCGAGGACGAGGCCACTGGCCAGAACAGCAACAAGCGAGGGCATCAACATGGTGTCTGAAGATGGGAGTAAGAGTGGGAAAGTCGAATACCCAAGAGAAGCTTAAGAGAGACCTATGCGGGGTCATCGTGATATTTATACATATATTGAGGTTCCTTCCCCAGTTCCTGGTCACGTCTTCGACATAGTAAATTGAGACCGGCATGCTGCATGATGAATGAGGCACAGGATATCGTGATCCGAAGCGGAAGGTTGTAGTTGTTGGCCCCTTATCCACCTTCTCAAAAGCGTTGGTGCAGCGTGTCTAGCGGCGGAAGTGGTGATCCTCGGCGATCGGATAAGCTTTGCTAAGCTTTCCAGGGATGGTATTGGTGGAGGATAAGCTTCCTTGGAAATTGTGACAGGAGGTTATGCCTTGCAGAATGAACAGGGAAAGGGCATGCAAGTGTCGTATTAATGTTTAACATTAGGTATTGTGGAGGATCTGCTTGTGTCGTGGATTGGAGATAACGGCCATCTCAGTGAGTAAGCAATGCCTCAGCCAGTGGTGGCATGAGTTCAGACGAAACAGAGGAATCGCCAGTTTTAAGACTTCTTTTGATTCAGTATTAAAAGATGCTTTCTCTCGCACTGTTTACGATGCGTTTAAGCACTCACAGATACATAGATTGTCACGTGATATACACCACAGGGCAGGCATGTTTCTTGCTCTCCAGCTGCTCCGAATCTGTCGGAGTCAAATGTCGACATTTCTAGACAAATTACACACGACAGTTCTGTTAGGTAATTTGAGATCCAGCTAATCTCATTTCCTCAAGTCGATAATAGATCCACCCGCCTCACTAAATCAGAAACCCAAAGACGTTCCCCTCACCCTCTCTAAACCACTTTACATTCCTCTCCCAAGCATTAACAACCAAATCCCTAGACACCCCCATAACCCTCTCTTTCAAATTCTTCCCCTCGTCATCATCCATAACCCACCCCGCAATCGGCCCAAAAGCAAGCAAATGCACTCCGACCTGCAGCGCATTCCTCCGTTTCTCCTCCTCGCTCAAATTCCCAAGTCCATCCACATAGCCTTGAGCTATCCAGAGTCCTGTATCAAAGCTTCTGTAAAGATGGAATGCCAATAGTTCACCGAGCATTTCGCCGTGATCAAGAGACGGGGAGTTGAGTTGGGCTTGTTCCCAGTCTGTTATGATGACGGGGTTGTTACGATTGGAGAGGTGTTGGAGGGGAGCCTTGGTTATGAGTATGCTGGTACACTTTTTCAGTGAAAGTTCTTGAGAAGCGGAATGCGTGGATCTGGATGGAAGGTGGAAACACACTTTCCTGGACAGAGATCGCCATGGATGAAACTTAGATCACCCTCATTTTCCAGCTCTTTCAGAGCCATATCTTTTACTTCTGTCAGAACAGACTTTGCACCTCCTAGAATGTCTGGAAATTGATCGACGCGGTCAATCATCCAGTCGTAGTTGATCATATGCTTTAAGCTCTGCATTTGCCTGTTGCCGCGGAGTGTCTCGCGTAATTTCACGTCGCTGTTCTTGTGGAAAGCAGATATGTACTGCCCAATTGCCTTGCCAAGAGCGCGGCAATGAGGCATCATTTCAAAAGAAGTGGCTGAGTTGATATGCGAGCAGATGTAGTCTTTTAGGTTTGCATAGTTGGGGAGGTACTCAATGACTTGCGTGTTCGTTGAGGCATCGTAAAGAAACACCTTTGGCGTTCTGACACTTGTTCGAAATGTCACATCTCTCTGTGATGTAGGAGCGGCGACCTCTTCAGTGACCGTGAAGTCTGCGAGTGCTTTGAAGCATTCTGCTTCAATGTTCTGGTGGCATCAGTCAGACAATTACGTCAGTGTCCGGAAATTACTCACACATCGAGCAATGCTGATCTTGTTTGCTGGTGCACCGGCCATATATGGTTCTCCATGCTTGACCACTACTTCTGTTGAGCCGTCTTCGAGTGGAGAGGTGAGAGTCGCTCTATAAATGAAATTTGCGAAGCCCCCAGTAAGTGGTTCGAGTGGTGTGGACGCGTAGCGAGTTGTTTTCAGCCACTTGAAGACTTCGGCTTGAATCTCGTCTCCGGTCTTTAAGACTGGAGTATCCATGCTGAAAATTATTGCTTGGCTTATTTCAATTGAGTAAAACACTATCTCAGGTTAACACTGGGGATTGTGGTCTGGTAAAGGTTACAGAATGGCCGCAACTGAGGTTACTTTTAAGCGAATTGTTGACAGCTGCCTAGGGCATGCCAAGCCACGCCCCTTTCGTTGAAGAGAGACCTCTAATCAAATGTTGGATGCCTATGAAAGGTTGATTTTCTACATATTATAAGGTATGTGTGAGTGATCGGCAGCTAGGTAAAGGCGGGCCGGATATCCGAAACCCGAGCCCCTGTCTGTACAGTAGGTTCTTCTTTAACTACCCTCAGAATTAACATCAGCTATCTTGATGTTTACATTCTCTTCGCTTAGAACTGGTGAAGGTTGTTCGTATCAGGGAAATATCAGAAGCCTCTGTACTCGGAATTCAAGTGTATCAAATACACCTGATATCTAACGTTCAGTTGTTGGAGGCTTCGATGGGAGGCCAGTGCAAGCACTTATAAGATCATGAATTCTGTACTGAAAACTTGAGATTTCAGAGTGAAATCAAAGGATATTATTTCAGTACCGGAGTCACAAAATTCTGTCTACAACCATGGGTACTCGAGATAGTGCGGGCTGTACTCATTGCGAGGTAAACAGTCACTTGTGAGACAAGCCGGAAGCGAATTTCTCTGTTGAAACTGGCTTGTCATGAAGATACTTAGCTGGACCGAGAGCTTGGAGTCTATTTGTATCTGTTCTTGTGTCAATAGTAAAGCAAATATGAATAAATCTTTAAGCGGCTTGTCATTGTTCCATCTCTTCAATGCCAAGGCTTAAGAACCAACCAGCTATAATCAAAAATTTTGCGGATCGAAACAAAGTCCCCTTATAAGATTGTAACGTATGTTTATATTTTCAACTTTGCATTTCATTCTCGCACAGTGATATATCATATCTAACGATGGACCGATGCTTAACGTCTTGAAAACAAGGTGATCATCCACTCTTTTCAAGCTTACGTGGTCTGGCCTTCCTGAATTGACTATTCTTATCTCCACGCTACTGCTGAAACTGTCGATGCTTGACGACGTCAATGGAGGCAGAGATCAAGCTTAATGGTTGGCCATGCTGGAACACGCCCCTTACTTCGTTAGTCCAGAGATCCTTTCTAGGCTGCCACTTTACGGGCGTTTTCGTATTTCGTATAAATTGCTCGGCATTGGGGCTGCTGTGCCTCGTCGGCGTGCAGAACCACCGGAAGCCGCGTCATCCACGGGCTGCTACAGGCTCTCTACAGGCTCTCTACAGGCTCTCGCTTAGCCATTTCCGACTTCGGGATTTGGGGCTGAAAAGGTAAATAACACAAATATCGATGCCCTGCCAGGTCGAATTTGAATGAGGTAAATCTAGGCGGGCTGTATCTCTCATTATGGGCTCTCAACCTCGAAATCATTCAGATATGGCCGCGCCTGTGCCAGAGACCATCGCGCATCAAACAATAATTCAGCAAGCACAAGCCGCAGCTGCTGGACAGCTCGACCAACCACAGCCCGCCAGACAAGAGGCACTCATCCAGGAATTTGATCTCACAACGCCAGACATTGCCGAAGACGATTTGCCTCCACCTGCGTACGGCACAACTTATGGCGAGATTTGCGAAGAAAAGAAGGGCTTGGGTACCAGTGCTCTCATCACTGACGATGGTCGTGTGAATATACGCGTCAACCAGCTTAATCGCCGTTTGTCTGCAGTTTTTACTCCGGCTTTACGTCAACAAGTGAAGAATGCACAGGATACTCCTGCACCTCCTCTCCCCTATATTCCTCCATCATTGGGAGGCGAGGAAGGAGTTTCTCCACCCCCGCCATTGAATGTGGTTATTCAGGTGAGCACACGTTCTTTGTAACTCGGCAAATCAAATCAGTATTAAATCCGAGTATAGGTCGTGGGCTCTCGGGGAGACGTCCAGCCTTTCGTTGCCTTGGGAAAAGTCTTGAAAGAAACATACGGCCACCGTGTGCGTCTTGCAACTCATCCTACCTTCAAAATATTTGTGGAAGAAAATGGTCTGGAATTCTTCAGCATTGGCGGCGACCCCTCTCAACTGATGGCCTTCATGGTCAAGAACCCTGGACTCATGCCGGGATTTCGCAGTGTTCTTAAGGGGGACATCAGACAGCGAAGGAAGGATGTGGGCGAGTACATTCAAGGCTGCTGGAGATCATGCTACAAAGCCGGTGATGGCATGACGGTCCAACCCAGTGAGGACGACCTTCTTTCTGGATCTGAGGGGAAGTTGTCTCAACAGATTGGGGCGGGAAAGCCATTTGTTGCCGACTGCATCATCGCCAACCCTCCAAGTTTTGCCCATGTCCACTGCGCAGAGAAGCTTGGAATCCCGCTTCATATCATGTTCACGATGCCATATTCTCCTACACAGGCGTTTCCACATCCACTGGCCAATATCCAGTCTTCGAATGCAGATCCCATGCTGACAAACTACCTAAGCTACGCAATGATCGAAGTTCTCGTGTGGCAGGGATTGGGTGATTTGATCAATCGGTTTCGCACTAAGTGTCTCGGGCTGGATCCCGTGAGTGTGATATGGGCTCCAGGCATGTTGCAGCGTCTCAAAATTCCTCATACCTACTGCTGGTCTCCGGCTCTGATACCTAAACCCAAAGATTGGGGTCCACATATCAACATCTCGGGATTTTATCTTCTCGGACTGGCTTCTAAATACGATCCTCCGCCAGATCTTCAGGCATTTCTCGATGCCGGTCCACCCCCAGTCTATATAGGATTCGGAAGCATTGTCTTGGACGATTCAGCTGCGATGACAGAACTAATCTTTGAAGCCGTGAAGAAGACTGGACAGCGAGTACTTCTTTCTAAGGGTTGGGGAGGCATGGGAGCAGATGAGCTTCCGACTCCAGACGGTGTGTTTATGCTAGGCAATTGCCCTCACGACTGGCTCTTTCAAAGAGTTTCCTGCGTGGTCCACCATGGAGGCGCTGGCACTACAGCAGCAGGTATCACCGCAGGAAGACCAACAGTAGTCGTTCCATTCTTTGGAGACCAACCTTTCTGGGGGGCCATGGTTGCGCGATCAGGCGCTGGACCGGATCCAATTCCTCATAAACAACTCACCGCAGACAGGCTGGCTAATGCCATCAATTTCTGCTTGAGGCCGGAAAGTATGGAACGTGCTAAGGAGCTGGCAAGTAAGATCTCAATGGAGCGAGGCAGTGATACGGGAGCTCAGTCTTTTCATCAATTCCTCGAAGTCGACCGACTTCGTTGTTCCCTTGCACCGTCCCGAACTGCAGCTTGGCGCGTCAAACGAACTCAGATTAGGTTGAGTCCTTTCGCAGCGTGCACTTTGGCGAATGCAAATCTTCTTGACTTCAAAGAATTGAAACTCTTCAGAGCACAAGAATACGTCGCAGATGAAGGCCCTTCAGATCCGATTTCGGGATTCGCTACTTCGTTCGTTGGAGCCTTTTTCAGCATGGCCATGGGAGTCGCCGACTTCCCATCAGAGGCGTGGAAAGCTTTATCTGTGCCATTTGATTCCAGACAACAATCTCAGGGATCCGTCCCAGCGCTGGCAAGCAATGGTGAGAGTTCATGGATGGGAGACCAATCGAATGCCACGACTTTACCGGATGAAAACCAAACGAGCTTGAATGAGTCAAATGCTCTAGCTAACAACTCTCCACGGCCTGGTATTTTCTCACACGCCTCGAGCAGAGGCTCAACTACTGCAACTGAGCCATCTTTGAGCACCAAAACAAGCAACACAGGCTCGAGATGGGTCTTCGGTCGAACTGAATCCGACCCTGCCCAAGACGCTGATATGATCCGTAATAAAGGCATGAGCTCAGACAAAGGCTTCGGCCGCATTGCAAAAACAGCCTTGTCGTCTCCAATGGACATCTCAGTAAGCGTCACAAATGGATTTCACAACGCGCCGAAGCTTTGGGGAGACGATACTGTACGCCCTCAACAGCAAGTCACTGATCTGAAGTCAGGCGCTCAAGCCGCAGGGAAAGAATTTGCTTTCGGCATGTATGACGGTGTTACGGGTTTAGTCACTCAGCCATGGAGAGGTGCACAGAAAGAAGGTGTGACCGGCTTTGCAAAGGGGCTAGGGAAGGGTATCGGAGGAATTATATTCAAGCCCGGCGCAGCACTTTGGGGCATTCCGAGTTACATGATGAAAGGCGTGCACAAGGAGGTACAGAAGCTATTCGGTAGCAACGTTCAGAACTACATCGTGGCGTCCAGAACAGCTCAAGGATACGAGGAATGGCTGCAGAGTTCCGAGGAGGATAAGCAGGATGTTATCGAGCGATGGAATTTGATTCAGAAATACGTGAAGAAGAAACACAATCGCGACGAGATGGTCAGAGACGTGCTGGAAACGCAGCAGAAGAAGAATGGGGACGGAAAAGATGTGCGGAAGAATGGAAGTATTTCAAGTTCCTCTCGGTCTGTGAATGCAGATTCCGGCAATTTTACGCTTGTAACGAATGGATCACGATCCATTGATGAGTCGTCAGCAGCAAACGACATCGAAGAGACGATCCGCCAGTCAGTCATTGATATGTCACGAGGTGACCCAGACGAAGACGCCAACAGGGAGCGAGCTATTCGAGAAGGTGTTTCTCGCCATCAAAGTCTCGGGGCCCAACAGCCAGTTCGAACCCGACCACAGCCAATACCATATGACCATCTTGACTGCCATGAACTCCTGGCTGCCAACGAATTTGATGCTCAGAGACAAGCAAACGAACGGCTGGGTCACGAGAGAAAGCTCAAGCAAGTCATGAGGCAAAGTCAAAGCGAACATGACTCTCGAAGCAGTGACAATCAAACCGAGGCCATCTTCGATCTCTACAGCGACGATAACACCACACCTCAACACTCAGCACCACCCGTGCCTGCCCGTTCGCGAGCTCGAGAGTCGGTGCAGCTCCAGCAGCCTCCCTCATACACCACTGGTCAGGAACATCTCGCAGGGACAACACAAGCTGAGTTTGAGTCACAGCAGCGAGGAAGGGCTGGAGAGAAAACAAAGGAGGAGAAGACCGAAGAAGAGATTGTTTTGGCGTACATTAAGAAGCAGAGTCTTTTGGAAGCAGAACACCAGAACAGAGGGAGGAATCGCGTTGGGGAGGGACAGAGGGAAGGTGAGGATGAAGGAGATGAGGAGCTGCAGAGAGTGTTAAAATTGAGCTTACAGGGGCATGGAAGTGAGGAAGCCTCAGGGAGTGAAGGGAAATGAAGGAATGTCATATTTTGGTTTGCTCGAAAAGTTTGTTGGATTGAGATACCCGGTCACTGGCTATTATTAGATTTTGGAGATATTTTGTTTTTGATTTATTATTTTTGTTACATTTTTCTGCTGAAATAGAGGCCAATTCTGTGCCTGAATTTAGGTGTTGTCTCGTTACTGAAGATTTGTTGACTACTGTGGCACCTTTCCTCGCCTAATTTTCTTACATGTATATGGATATAAACACCTTAGCCTGCAAGGTAGGAATCTTCCATTAAATGAGATCTGCTCTTCGTCACAATCGTGTTCTATTCGAAAATCCTCAAAAGTATATGAAAGTTTTAAACTCGTACTCCTCTCGGCAGACACTATTTATCCAAGGGGATCGCGATTCAACCACTTCCAACGTTCTTGTTCTCCTCTCCACCCTTCACCCCCTACCAAACAACTCAGCTAATCACCTCTACTCACCAGCCCCAGGGCCAGTGCCAACAGCAGCATCAACCAACCACCTCCCCCTCTCATCCATCTCAGCCTGCCTTGCTAGCCCCGCCAAATCCATCTGCTCCATGATCTCGCTGAGACATCTCTCGCGGCGGATTATCATTTCGTTGGTCTCCGTAACTGAGAGAAGATATGGAATTGAGTTTGGAGCGCCGGAGTTGGTTATGAAGACTGGGGCTGTTGCTGAGAGGGTGCTGGAGATGATAGCTGGAGCTGGGATTGCGGCTGGGCTGGATCTGGAAGGGGATGGGACAAACACCGGAGCTGTGGGTGAAAGGCTATTCGAGCGAACGACTCTTGGGACTGCAGCGGTCACAGGTGGATTCTGACTAGCAGCTGGGACAAACATTGGGGCTGTTGGTGAAAGACCTTCGGAGGAAGCAACTGCTGCTGTCGGGGACCCGATAGCTTCTGGCTGAGTTTCCTCACCCTTCTCAGGCCCACTTTCGCTTACAGCAGATGCCCCTCTGGGGACGGCTGGAATTCGAACTTGCGGGACGTGATCTATGTCGACTAGTTTCCACTCCTTGTCTTCAGATTGGCTAAATGATAGAACCGGAATGGTTCTAAGACTAGTGATTGTGGCTTTTGAGGAACCGGAGCTGAGCTTACTCAAGTCGACCGATATGTTTGTATATCGGGACATCCTGACTAGTGTCGATGATCTTGTGGCTATTGTGTGGTGAAAGCAAGAGTGACTGACTCTTCGACCTTCGAAATGTTGTCGGAGAGGTAAGAGACTAGTGAAGCAAATCTCAGGACAGCTTCTCTGGGTCGTTTTATAAGTTTGGATTCACATCCTCAGTTCGAGGCCCTGTAAATAATTGACAGGGGAACAATACTTTGTTCTAAGAACAATCAATTGCCACTTGAACAGTATAATTATTATTTTAGAAATCATGTCGTGGGGTGACAAAGACAGACACAGACAGACAAAGGCGCCGGTTCCTAATTCGCTTGAAACATAGGTTGTTCAATAAGCCAGCTACGGCTATCTCACTATATAGTTTATGCGCTCCGTAAATTGATAAAATAAACACATGTCGCAACAAACCCATTGTCTTTGCTCCACAATCCTCAACAACTCACTCTCGTGATTGTTTGCACCTGTGATTAGTAACTGTATCACAAGGCTCACAAAGGGGTCTTCAGGTCCCCGCATGCTCCGTCTATATATTCTCGCTGACATTACCATATGATAGCTCATTCCTCATCTAGCGTTGTCTGCACTTGGCCACCAAATCTTCTACAGTTCCAGATCCAAATACATTTTCACACCATTCTCCTCGTACCACACTTTAGTACTAGACTGATATTAGGACGATCAGTACTACCTACCAGTCTACCAACATCATGGATCCCAAAGCCAAACCATTCACTTCCTCCTCAGCCAAAGGCAAGACTTCCAACTCCGGAGCTCACCCCTCAGAAGTAGAATGGGCATCCATCAATTCGGTTCTCAACAAGAACGGAGGTTCGGGTAGTTCAGGCTCAGTTAGCAGTAATTCCAGCTCAAACAGTAGCAAGAACAACGGTCAGGGCAGCAAACGTAAGTAATAAGAGTAAATGGCCATGTGCGGCAAGTCAGTGATGAGCTGGTTGCTCATTGCTACACAGTTCTCGTAGGCGCTTGCTGGGATGTTGAACGTCTTTCAGTTTGAGCGATTAGGAGAGGAATGTCGACGACTGCTCTTCTCTGCTTCTGTAGCTTGTCCCAGATGGTCTCGGGTTTGCATCCCCTGAATCTGAACCTCAATAAATTCATTTTACTCTACCGTTGGTTCTTTCCTTGTTTTCTAAGCGGAGAATAGAAAAAAAAGTCCCAATATCTTAAAAGTGCTCTCGACTCGAATATGTGACGGAGTTCAGTCACTCATTGATTTTGTGGGAAGCATGTGCCAAGAAGCAAATGAAAATACAAACCCCTCCCTTGCCGAAAGTAAACAAAGGTGAACCTTGGCTGGCCCACAATTTCACTACTCAAACCCCGCAAAGTTGACACCGCCAGTGAATCTTCCACTTATGGTCCTTGTTTCACACCAATATCCCCCAATGCTCTGGTGTTACTGTTTTCTTATAAAGTTTCCCTCTCCAAAGTCTTCGCTCGGCATCATGGAAACAATTCTCGAGATGTCTGTCTCTACGGGAAGGGAGGATGAGCGGTGGGGGGAAGGGTGTCCCGAGCATGTCCACGCACTCTGTTCTCAACGCGGGAAAGTTGATTCCAGAGGCGGAGTGAAGCGATGGGAGGAGTCAGAAGTTGATATGTGAAGGCGAAGTTGTCTTTCTGCAAGATTAGATGTGCTGCTGCCAAGTTAATTTGCATCGTCAACAGTAGCATAGCTTCAGTGGCTTTGACTGTCCGTCTTGGATTGGGTTGACTCAATATGGACTTCTATAAAACAAAGTCAAAGTCTAGCTATCCCAAAACACACTGAAAGCCCACCCATCCATCTCTGGCCGTATCATTCTCCTTTCCAAACCCCCGCAACACTCCCAGTCCCGCGTGCGAAGACGTGGCCACAATTCCGTCTCGTTGGTGTTCCCAATACATTGATCCACCGCTATTTATGATCCATCTCAGCCGAACTTACTGACTAAATAACAATCTACGCAGTTGAGTGATCAATGATGCGAGAATCGAGGAAGGTGAATTCACGACCACACTCCTCGAGCTCGAGTTTCGTCTGTGGTAAAATAGTTGCGTCAGTGGCAAGTATCACGGAAGGAGGAGCGGAAAATATGTACTTGAAGGCCTTGAAGTTTAACCTTGGCAGCACCATATGGCAATAAAAGGATAAACTTCGAGAACTCATGTACACGAAGGTTCTGATTGAGTACTTACCGAACTGTCCATTGACTTCCTCATCACTTTCAAACAGGGAGTACTTCAACTAAGGTTCACTTGAATTGCTGCAGCGATGGGTCGAGGCTACTTGCACTGAATGGAAGCGCTGGTGATGAGCGTTGTCGGTGTTCTCAGTGTTGTCGATCTTCGCTAAAATATCAAACAAACATCATCTCTTGTACAGAGTTCTATCGTTAACTCTACTCCCTTCAACTCAGTAGAGTTTGAGTTCCAACGTACTAGTTGTACAGTAAGGTCACTTCTCCAATCTTCCGTAGCTGAAAATTCGCCCTCGCGCACAGGACATGTCTTCGGGCCACGTCTTTGGTGGTGTCTGTCCCTTTTGATTATGAGTGTATGTATCTTTTATATCTGAGAGCGAGCGTGTCAGACTTTGCGGAGGGTGAAAATTGTGAGTGAAAGTAATTGGCTGGTCACTAGATATGAATTAGGACCATAACAAGCAGGGACCTTCTTCCTACGAAACTGAGATGAGAACTTCTGAAAGACTCTAGTATAAGACATCCAGCAATGGTTGGCAAAAAAAAAAAAAAAAAAAAAAAAAAAAAAAAAAAAGAGCGGCGCAACGTTCTTCTTTAACCATTTTGTGAGGATGTCCGAGGCTGCACAATGGTTTGGGTGAGCAAGTCCGGCGCTTGGGAGGATTTGAGAGAAAATTGCGGTGAAAGAGGATATCAGCATGACCGATAAAAGACACTGTATAAAGAGCACGCTGGGCATTCGTAGATTTTGCAAAAACTAGAAGAGCAGGTTGATGCCATGGGGATTTTTGCAATCACCGATCTACTGATCACCGTTTATCGAAGAGTAGGTCTCGAAATGGGAGCGTCGTTATCCCCTCAACTGCTGAAAACACACTTTTCCAGGGGGCAGCGCTGAAGCGGGACACTAAAGCTGCCAACTACATGCGCATTTCAGGCGTTGCTCGCTTAATTACAGTGTGCTCCTTCAGGCTATCCACCCCTTGTAAAATATATGTTTCTTTTGGCAGCGGAGGGGATATACCAACAGATATGCAGCATTGGTTCGTCCGTCTTATCCAGTGGCTCTGACCAAGTTTTGATACTGTTAGGGATAGCGAAGATAAGCTGTTGGAGATGTTTGTGGTGTACTTAAACCCATACGTCTGAGTCTATACATCTGGTGACTTTATTTTGCATCGAGGAAGAGAGAGAGAGAGTGCGAAATGAGACTGGTGGTAAGTTGGCAAACTGGAAGGGAAGTTGAGGGAACGTCATATGATTGAGACGTGCGAAGGTGTTGAAACGGGTAATGTACGCATTTCGAAATCATTTGGACAATCTGCTTTTAGATAGATTGATCACTGTTGTGTCCTTGTCCTTGTCAGAAGGAGAACATTTACCACAACGAGAAGCATGGGACGTCAGCACCGGATACGCAGCCCTCAATGTTATGTGGGGAAAGAAAAATATGTCTCGATAGTAGAATCAGGAATTTTTCAGAATGCCGTGAAAGTTCCAAACTTATCGAAGAAAAGCCAACGCTTGATGTAATCTATCGAGAAGGATAGGTATCAAAACCATTCGGGTCACATGATATAGGTGCCAACAGGCAGAGACAGGCAATTAGCTCTTCCACTTTCAACGCCTCCTAAATTTTGAGACCATAGAACGAAGATATCAAAATCAAAAGCAAAATCAATACAGACAACCACGAGACCATTACGCAGGCGGAGGACTGTAGGTCAATTCGGCTGAAGACGGGATACAGTATGGCAGCCAACTCGGATCTCGGTCTAGATAAGATGGCCGACTCGGGCCCGAGGACAGTTCATCATTCAACAATCACCTGTTCCCCGGAATTCCGAGCAGTGGGTGACGAAGATCGTGTGGTTGCAGCGTGTGATGTTGCTTTCTCATCTCTGAATAATCTATCTAGACTTTAGCATATCGGCAGCTGGTGAAGTTATGTAAGAGGGGTCCATTTTAGGATATCGTCTCGCTTAAGGTTAACTGAACTCTGACTGACCGCCACTTACTAGAACCCGCTTGTTCATGCTTGTTACGCCGGCCAGCCGCAGCTACGATTCTTTTTACCTACGCCACAGCGCACCACAATTGCCTTACTAATCCACGATCATCATACTGCGTCCTGCATGAAACGTAAAAAGTCGAAAACGAACAAGCACCAACAAGACAGCCAGGTAGTCCTGGTCCCCGTTCCGTTTCGGTTCTCTTCTTCTCTCTTGATGGTAGGGCCGGACGTCAGCTCCGGGATCTTCGGCGCTTGTCAGGGAGTCAGGGAGTCAGGGGCAAGCCGGGTGATATTAATGGGATTTCACATTTAATGAATGTTATGAAGAGATTTATTAAATGATGGAGATTCTAATTTCTGACTTTTTACATTGGGCCAGTCCTACTGTATGACGTGGGATCGCTATGATGGCGAGGTTGGCACTGAGTGCCTGACCTGCCTGAGCTGACTTGCTGCCATGACAGCTTGGGGTGGTCATGAATCGAGACAGGCGGGCGCAGTGAATAGGCGGATGTCGATTGGGTGGAATGTCGTGCCGAGGATAGGATAGGGCGCGGAAGGGTTTGTGACTTGGAAGGCTTCTGATTTGGTAGCGGGCCTTGGGGCAATGGGGATGGATCCTCTTCCTGGAACGTGTGGATACTGGATACTGGATACCTTATTGATGTGGATGTGGGTGTGGATGTGGAGGGGTAGGGGTAGGGGTAGGGAAGAGGGCGGCGGGCAGCGGGCTGAAGGTGGGTTGGCTGGGTTGGGCAAGGGCAAGGACAAGGGCAAGGACAAGGGCAAGGACAAGGGCAAGCTGGGCCAGTGCAGTGCAGTGCAGTAAATAAGTGACATCACAAAGCATTTCTGAGTTGAACAGGGAGAGAACCTTGACTGAATCTGCACCTGCACCTGCACCTGCACCTGAACCAACGCGGCCGCAATACTTATAATCTGGTCTGGTCAGCCACACTTTGTGCGCATCCGGATCCTGACTCTTGGGTCTTGCTTGTTGACATCTGCGACACTAAAATCAGGGAAGAGCCGGAGAGATCAGCAAGGCCTACTGTAGCTGGCTGCATGAGACAAGACGGACGTGTAATTTAATCTAATCTTTCCTGCTTTGCTTGCTCTACGTGTTTTGCTATCTTCGTGGCTGTCCATGTCAATGATCCGTCTCTTCCACTTATCAGGATCAAGTCAAGTCAAGTCAATTCAAATCCATTTCACTCAAATCCCGCCCTGTCCGAATTCCTTTGACCTCAAAATCCCCGCCCCGCCCCGCCCCGCCCTGCAACCTCGCTGTCGCCGTTCGGTGTTACCAGCCCTACGCCAACTTCGCGATCGGCAGATAAATAGCTTCCGAGAGATCCGTACGTCGAATGCTCATTCGCCGTTGCAATAGCTACAATCAGATCTTCCAGACCAGAGGACCAGCAAACTCTGGCTTGAAGGTTCGTGGGTGATTAATCAGCTACTTGCAGAGCAGACCCGCCCTCGCCATAAACATAACAGGACCCTACTCCCGCCGACATCTACTCACTCTCATTTTTGTTTTCAGCGATACCCAGATACCCACGATACACGAGCGGTCGTCAACATGTCGTTCCTTAAGAAGCCTTTCAAAAAGCTCAAGGACATCGCCAGTGATTCTCACCCCACCAAGAAAGACACCGATACCACTTCCAACAAATCCTCTACGAACGGCACAGGCACCCCGCAGAATGGCCAGGTCAATGGAAATGGCAAGGGCGTCAACGGCGTAGACGTGGAAGCAAGACGCCAGAGTAGAGAGATCATTGCGGCAGAGAGAGAGCGTCGCAGCATGGACAAGCAGCGCGTGAAGGCAGAGACGAGGAAGCGCGAGACAATGGCCAGGATAGCAGATGAGAAGTTTCTGGAGGAAGGCCCAGCGGATATGACGAGACTGTATAAACCGTTCAGTATGAATATGAGCAAGAACTGGAACCACGAGAACCGGGTCCTGTTCAAGAATCTAGATTTCGAGAGTATGTCTTCCGTGCCTAGGAATTTGGGGTTTGGCTAACAGTGCGTAGAAACCGAAGGCAGCGTTATTTCATTTCGAGCTCGAATCCACACCCTCCGCCGATTGAGCGCCAAATTGGTATTCATCGTATTCCGCCAACAGACTATGACCATCCAAGGAGTTCTCCAGAGCTTCAAACCAATTGAGGAACTGAAAAGTCTGTTTTCCAGCCTCTCTTACCCAAAAATTACCCCGCTAACCTTTCCCGCAGAGGATGAAGACAACATAGGCACGATATCTGAGCAAATGGTCCGAAGCGTCGAGCACTACCCCAGCGAAACAATCGTCGTCGTGCATGCGAAGTTGCGGAAGGCGTTGAAGAGGGTGAAGAATGCGACGGTTCATGATTACGAGTTGGAGGTATATGAAGTTCACAAGGTGGGGAATTTGACGGAGCACGTACCATTTACGGTGTATGATGCGGAGAATATCAATAGGGATAGGGATGATGTTGAAGACGATGAGGATACGGAGTCCTCGCTTTATCCTTCTGCGGCAGATACTCCTAAGGACACGCCTAAGGATACTCCCAAGGTCGGGACTCCACGGTCGTCCACGGATTTGATTCGAGCTTCCACGGATATTATTCGAAGATCCACCATTGGACGGGCTTCTGGAGACAAGAGCCGCAGTAAGTATTCTTCTGACACGAAACAGCACTTTGCTAAACTTTTATAGCGAGTATGGATGTCTTCAGATCACAAAGATCTCTTCCCCAGAGAGTTCGTCTCAACAACCGTATTGTTGATCTTAGAACTGCCCCATCACAAGCTATTTTCCGCATCCAATCTGGAATTTGCAACCTTTTCCGCACATATCTCGACAGCCAAGGTTTCATTGAGATCCACACTCCAAAGCTACAAGGTGGTGCTACAGAATCCGGCGCTTCGGTTTTCGAACTAAACTATTTCGGCCGACCTGCTTTCCTAGCTCAATCTCCTCAATTGGCCAAGCAAATGGCCATTGCAGCAGATTTCGAGCGTGTGTACGAGGTTGGACCAGTGTTCCGGGCTGAGGATAGTAATACACCCAGACATTTGACCGAGTACACTGGATTGGATCTGGAGATGGCCCTGGAGGAGCATTACCATGAGGCTTTGGACATCATTGATGGCATGTTCAAGAATTTGTGGAAGGGAATTTATGAGCGATACCAACCGGAAATTGACCTCATTTCAGAGTTCTACCCTCAAGAAAGAGTTATGTGGTTGGAAGAGACGCCTCGCATTAAGTTTGCTGATGGTGTCAAGCTTCTGATTGAAGATGGTTGGGTTGACGAGGAGGGTAACCCTCCAAAAGATACCGAGGATTTGGCGACGAGAGCAGAGATCCGGCTGGGTGCGATTGTTCGGGAAAAATACAAGACGGATTACTACATCTTGGACAAATTCCCAGCTTCTGCCAGACCATTCTACACTATGCCCGATCCTTCAGACAACAGATACACCAATTCTTTCGACATTTTCATGAGAGGACAGGAAATTCTCTCTGGAGGTCAACGTATTCATGATGCCAAGTTCCTCGAGAAGAACCTGAAGGCCAAGGGAATCTATCCCGAGACAATGATGGAATACCTCGAAGGTTTCCGCTGGGGTGCTCCACCTCATGCTGGTTGTGGTATTGGTCTTGAACGTCTCACATACCTCTTCCTCAATCTTGGAAACATCAGATTGGCATCTCTCTTCCCACGAGATCCCAAATCTCTTCCAGCTCTACCTCCAAGAATGGCACTTCGCCATGAAGATGCCAGCACAACTAACCCTCCATGGGAACAAAAAGACTACGAAGACCCCGAGGGAGACGCTTCCGACAGTAGCGCAGAACGCAGACACCAACTACAACCTCTTGAGAAGCTAATTGCCAATTACGGTGACGCAGCCAACACCTCCTGGCTCGACAAACGCTACCAAGTCTGGCGCCACCCCTCTACAGGAGCAGCCCAAGGTTACATCGTGCACAACAACTTCGCCATCGCCGTCGGCGAACCCCTATGCGCCAAATCCCAATACCCACAAATCATCTCCGCGTACCTCCAATTTCTCAAAGACGAGCACAAAGAGCTCAAACCCCTCTGGATGATTGCTGGCCCCCAGATAGAAGAATACCTTGGCGAGAAATTCCTCTGGCGAACACTCGGCTGCATCGCAGAAGAGCGTACCGACCCGCGTAACAACCCCGCGTCAAAGGACAAGGACCTCGCCCGCAAGATCCGTCACGCTGAAGCGGAGGGCGTCAAGGAGATCGACCTCCCGTTCGGGGAACCCATCCCTGAAGATCTGGTCGCTAAAATCGACGCTAGAATCGAGGATTGGAAAAAGGGCCGCAAAGGAACCCAAGTCCACCTTACGCAGATCCGCCCTTGGGTCGACCAGGCCCACCGCAGATACTACTACTCCCAAACCCCCGACTCCACCATCCAAGCAATCGTCGTCCTCCACCAACTCTCCCCGCAGAACGGCTACCAAGTGAAATTCTCCCTCGAGTTCCCCGGCGCCCCATCCGGCACGATCGAGTCTCTGATCCTCCACGCACTCAAGAACGTAGCTGCTGCGGATCCTGAGTGTAAACAGGTTACGTTTGGGACAGGAGCAATGCCTACGCTTGAGGGAGGACGCAATCTCGGCAAGACGAAGACGAAGGCGCTGAGGAAGGCGTATGAGGCTATTAATAAGCAGTTCAAGTTGACGAATAAGAGTGAGTTTAGGGAGAAGATGGGGGTTAGGAATGAGCCCGTGTATGTGTGTTATCCGAGGGGAGGACTTGGGGCCGGTGGAATTAGAGCGATCATGGGATTCTTGGAGGAGGAGGGTTAGATGTTGTCGAGATGTGGGGGAGAGGGAGGGGTAATGAGGATGAGAATATGGAGCGTTTGTATATTGAAGATGAAGATGGCAATCCGTCTGGCGTTCTCGGTTCAGAAAGCGGGCTTGTTTGTGGCTTCTGGCTTCCGGATTCTCCGTTTTCATTTGTTAAGAGAAACAGTAAAGTAAGATTCAGGCATAAAATACCAGGCATTTGAATTAAAGAGTTTGATCGATTGCATTTTGTTTCAGTTTGGGTGAGAAGAATCCTCTTGTTGAGTCTTCTCTCGACTCTACTTTGTTCTTGTGGAATATAGTCAATGGTGAGTGTTAAAGATCCTGGTAGTGTGAGTAAACTAACCGCTGGCTGAGTGAATAAGATGGTAATGATATTGATGAATCAATAAGCTAATACTTTCAGAAGAGGAAGAGCAAGGTCAAAGGCTGGGATGTGGCGTAGGAGAAGACGAGCAAGACAGTTTGTTCACCTGGATGACAACACGAAGCTCTTTAAATAAATATCAACAATTCTCTATCAATTTCAACAAGCGCTTCTCATCTTGTAAAGTATAGTTATATATTTTCTTGCTATTTATTCAGTACAGATTTAGTCGATAACACTACTGGTCAATTTTAGGGAAACAAAAGTCAGATGCAATACAATGTGCTCGACGACAGAAAATACAAGTTGTTCATCGTTCAAGACACAACTGTAAACCCTTGATTGAAATAGAAGGAAGCATGTGCCTTGGAAGCAGAAGCAGTTTCTGGTGTACGTTCATTTTAGGTTATGTGGTAGAAGGAATGGCAGCCATGGCATTCGATAACAAGAAGTAGTGGAAGGAAACTCTGACAGAGCCAAGACAAATGAGGGGTAGCGGGGCAATTTAAGCGAGAAAGGGAAGGGGAATGACAACAATGCTGTCGCTAACAAGATAAATAATCAAGACACAAACGAAAAATCATATTTAACTAAGATAACTTAAGACTTAAGGCTACGAGAGCTTAGCAAAGTGCGCTTCTAAGTTCGTATGTTTGGTGAGTTCAGGGATATGTAGATCGCCTTCACCACTTGAGACTCGATATCCTAAACGTTATATACTTCTATGAGAAAAGGGACCTGGTGGATTCTTTTTCATGGGAGCACCAGGATGCACACGCAAGAGAGCTGTCGAAATAACCTACAGTCGGCCGAGCATACAGTAGTCATCCCAGTAGAATAATGCAATTGGAATAGTCCAAGATCAGAGGCGTTTTGCCAAGCTTGTAACCGCCTGAACAGCTCACCGAGTCGCTGCTGACTAACAGTGGGTGTCAACTTCAACCCAACCTCGTAGTCTGTCAGTCTAAAATTCCTGGCAAAACAAGCTTCCTTCAACAAATAATTTGATATCCGAATGGCTTTCAAGTAATGCCACTCCTATACCCAGGAGTTTTAGATTCCAGCAATCAGCAAATCCGACTTCTCTCGCTTCAAAGCACCGACTCAAACCTCAAGTGGAACCTGCATACTGTGGTTCTCGATAAAAATTTACACTTGGGAGCCTTGTCCTACGTTTGGGGCGACAAATATATCACCACACATATAGACGTCAACGACACTCTCGTCTCAGTAACTACCAACCTAGCTGCTGCCTTAAAGCACGTTCAACGGTACTGGGCGTACGAATTTCCCACCCGAGATCCATCTTCCTTCAGAATCTGGGCTGACGCGCTATGTATCGACCAATCAAACATCCAAGAGCGCAGCTCACAAGTCCTCCTCATGCCGAAGATCTACACCTCAGCCAGTCTCGTCCTGGGCTGGCTCGGCGCCCAAGGCGAAAACAACTTCGAACTTATGCAAGCCGCTCTCGCCGTTAAGGTTCTCAGCGATGCATTCCGAAGCCGACAATGGGACCGCGACAAACTGAGTATTGATTTGTCATGGGCTATCTAACAGCACCGCTCTAATCCAAGCGCCTACCTCTGATAAACTCTGGAACTCGCTTAGCTACCTGGGAGGTCTGCAGTATTGGAGGCGGATCTGGATTCTCCAGGTGAATGTCCTGGCAATGACGGTGCTGTATATTAGTCCGAACGCTATGATTGAGAGATCCACTCTGATGAATGTGTGTCTAATGGTTTCGCAAGTTCTGGTACAGGAGTTGGAGATGAGGAATGTGCAGAAACCTGAGAGCGTCCCGGATCGTATATTGTTTAAATTTAGACCTCCGGATTCGACAGAATTAACTGGGATTCGAGATATTGTGCGGTTTTGCACGGTGTCTATCGTTTATAGCGAACAGTGTGAAGCTACGACTGCGAAGGATCGTTTGGAGGCAAGTCTCCAAATCTCGGAGTTTGGGGGGACGTTGTTGGCGACGGCTCCGAGAGATCAAATATCGAGCTACCGTATCAAAAGACGTAGAGAGATTAATATGCAAGGTCCCACACAACGGTAAAGTGATATTCAAATGTTTGTAACAATAGTAGAATTAATCTCTGGAGAACTCAAAAGAGAGTACGCCTCTTAACACGGTAAATATACCCGCCAAAGCTTTCCGTACTAAGCACGATTAGGCTTCGCCAAGACCTGGGCAAAATATCCATATCAACTACATCTTTACTCCTAACAATTATTGGTATCGTACTAGTAAACAAATAACAATTGTGTATTGATATACATCAAATTCCAAGTGTTTTATTTAAGTGTTCAAAAGAGTGTGTTAGAAAGAGTGTGAGAATCAGAATATATGCCCCTCTTGAATAGCCCCCGCTTCGCCTTTGTTGAAAAGGTCCAACACCCTGGCCAGGATTGCCCGTCCCCTGATTGCCCCCTATATTTCCCTTGAATAGGTCTACGGACTAATAACAATCAAAAAAGCCACGAAAAGAGATGCAAGTTTGTAGCACCCATAGTCATAACACAAGCTATATTCTTATTAGTATAATGTTACACTTAGGTTAGTAGATTAATAGTTTATACTTACTTTTCATAGAACGTCCTCCATCGAAATTGAACCAATCGCTAGCAGCATAGGATACTGCTCCGTAAATTCCCTCGTCCAGATCACCAGGTTCTCCAAGAAACCTGATTTTGCCGACTTGGATAGGTTTCGAATTGGTGTCATAAGCCATTGTTCCTAAGCTGTGTGTTTTCCCTCGCTTACTAATGACAGAAGTGCAGCCTTCATTGTATCCATCTGGGCCTGACCTCCACTTAATAAGGTTAACAAGCAAAATGCAGTCAGCGAAAGTTTTTCCATTAGACAGATTGCGCTGCACACAGACTTCGTCGGCCTCACAATAACCGTTTGCACCATCCCCCGGTGCATTCGAAGCTGTCCTACACCAGCGACGTACGACCCCGGAGTTCCAACAGATGGAGCGGTCCCAAGTCTGCCCAGCTGGGCATGGTGGATTTGTGCGGGCGTCTCGGGCGCCAATAATTGCGAGGCTTGTATTGTGCGGTTCATGCCCGCCATCCAGCTCTACCGGAGGATCCGGCTCTATCGGAGGATCCAGATCTATCGGATCCAGCGCTATCGGGTCGTCATCCGGCTCCCCCGGGGCGTCATCCGGCTCCCCCGGGGCGTCATCCCGCTCTACCAAGGCGACATCAGACGAGAGGTTTGTTGTGGGGTCATTGACTTCTGAGAGAGGAATTGCAACACAACAAGCGGCAAAGACTCCTATAAGAAGAGAGAGCTTCATTGTTGAAGGTAGATGGAATTTATTTGATAATTAGGTAGGTACAGAGAAGGCGACAAAGAAAAATCATAGGGAATAGAATGTTGTATATATACTCAAACGCCGTCCTAATTTCGAGCTTGCTTGCAATGGAACTTCCCCGATGATTATTCTCAATGTTTAAACAGAGTTTGATTTTTACTAACTAGTATGCTACCAACAACCTTCGATTGCGCTCACACAACGCTGTTTTATTGTTCTATCCTTATCAATTGAATTCCACGCTTCTTGAATAGCCGATTATCCTAAGTCAAATCAGAAGCTTTATAGCGAGTCTGTTTAGAGATAGGGACATTCATTGAAAGCTCTATATTGCTTTGATCAAGAGATCAAGGGAGCCTTTAGGCTTAGACAGCACAATAAAACAAACAATCAAGTCATCAAATGATCAAGGGAAAAAGCAACGTTAAAATCCCCTGAGATCAGTAGTTCGTTAGTTCCCGATATAATTCTGCTGTACGGAGGTACAGGACCTACTGTGTAAGTTTAGGCTCACCGCCCGCGGCAGAACAAGGGAGTTAGGGAGTCAAATAGAAGGCGGTGAGCCTAAACTTAAGCACTAGTAATAGCACTCATATAAAAAGTGGAAGTATGTGAGCTAATACCTCCGTAGAAATTACGCCGTACACGAGCGAGAGAAGCGGCCTGAAGTACTGGGATAACTTTCCAGCGTACTACTTTCCTGCGCGTATCTTTCCAGCACGGTACTTTCTCTCTTATCCCCTCAACTGCCCAAAAACACACTTTTCCAGAGCATAACGCTGAAGCGAGGCGCTAAGGCTGCCTGGACAACAACACAAGTATTCAAATTTCAGCGTTCTTAGCCTAATTACAGGGTCTCCTACAGGTGTGTTTGATTTGGCAGTTGAGCGGATAGAATTTTTACCGTGTTACTTTCCAGCCCATTACTTTTTAGTATAATATACTTCGCACCTGTCCAAACACGTGGTACCGTGAGTTGCGCCAATGCCGAGCCCTCCGATAACTGTCGTTTTGTCGCCTGGATCCGGGTACGAAGCCCCTAGTCTTGCACTTAAACAAAAGCCAAAGCGACACTGTTTTCTCCAGAGAATTGCTATCGTTCAAAATATCATGAATTATGCAAGTTATGTGCAAGTAATCCTAGAGTAGTGGTGTCTCAACTAGAATTTGTGAAACATGAGATTATTTTCCATCTCAAATTCAGCTTTACGTCGTAGTGTCTTATAAATCTAACGATACTTTTACTAAAGCCTAAGTATGCGTACATTCCGAAGACTTATAAGTCTACACGGATAGCCTGCATTTACGGAGGTATCCCCTCTACTGCCGAAAACACACTTATCCAGGGCACGGCGCTAAAGCGAAGGGCTAAGACTGCCTAGACAACAAGAAAGCATTTAATTTTAGTGTTCTGTACAGGGGTGTTTAATACAACAACTGAGGGGATAAGAACCTTCGTAAAGATAGACCCAGTCACCGCACTTACCTCAGTCTTCAGGCACCTCTACTAAGTTCCGAGTTTTGTGGATCAAGGCTGGGCAGGCGTTTTTTAGTGGGGAATAGCGTACCCACAGTGGATCCAGGGGCATTTAGACTAATTAGGACTTAAGGAGGGTAAAACTCCGGAGAGAGCCTGAGGTCATTCGGGCGCGTTTTAGTGTGTTTGTCGAGCAATTCAGCTGAGAATCTTATCAACTTTAACACGATAAACCTGTAGTCAAATGAACTCGGAATAAAAAAACGAAAGCACTGTTAAAAAGCCCTAATTTAGGAGATTATTTTACATCCCAGATATTAGGTGATATTCCGACTTGTCGGCGTTTTATTCTGAGATTTTAGAATTTCTGAAATTTTAATTAAAATCGCTGAAATCAAATCTAAATTATATAGCCTTAAATACCTGATCTTCAAAAAATAGCTATATAAAAAAGAAGTAGATATTTATATAGAGAAATAGCTACTTTATCTGATTGATTTAAGATATTTTACTTATTATTCGTGGAAAGTTAAGATATCTTGAAGTGTTTGAAAAATCGCGTCTTTTCACGACGCGTGTTACTCGACGAACGCGAGATTTTGACTTAAATCTAAAGCTATATACCTGATATACGATAACTTTTATTAGGAACTTTAATAATATCACTAGATAGATTAAAGATTAGTCTATTACCTTTATCTCAGACTTTTACAACTAGATTGTGGTGCAGGTAAGAGTTGTTGTTTAAAGAGCAATTATCGCCGAAGCTATTTGACGATTACACTAAAATGCCCCCGAATAACCTCAGACGCTTCGCGAAGAGGCCTCTTGCTTAATAATCACTGAACCTTCCAAGACTTACCACGCTAATCAGCTCTCTAGTCTCTCTAGTCTGTCTTACCCCTGCCCCTGAGCGAAGTCTGAGAGCTGAGATAATCACCGCACGATATTCATGAGTTACAAGGACTACTTGTATACCCTGATAGAGGAGCTCCGCCTTAGACTACACATGCCGGATGAATAATCCTGTCGGAGTCTCGTCCACAAATAGATATTATTCTAGAAATCTCCCCTCCTAGAAAATTATGTCTTCGAGGATACTTCTTCTAGGATATTTCTTCTACATCCCTTGTGCTTCTGGAAACTTTCTTCGGGATGCACACACCTTGTGTATCCATCTCCAGAGGCTTCTAAAGCTGCAGGCGGATCTTTGTCGTGCGTAAGTGCTACTCGAGAGAGGTGATAGCGGAAATCCCACTGTAGAAAACGACACTTCCAGCCTGTAAAATGAGCATAGCCACCTATAGTCCTATAAAGATGTAGATATAACCACGAGGGAAGGCTTTATCGGAGGGCAGATGTCGCCTTATCGCATATATCAAGAGCAGTAAAAGCGCTTGATGGGTACGAAGGGAGACTTCATAGGAGAGCCTACGGACGATTGGAGATACGAGTAGAAGGAGCAAGGCTAGTGAAGAACCTCCCTTTGCAGTTATTAGTACTCGTTGTTTGATTAAGGATGGATACCTTCGATGACGGCAAACAGGTCTTGAGTATTATCTAAGGGAGAAGAGACCTTCGAGGCCAGCGCAAAGAGAACGTGCAACAGGCAGAGCAGGGGTACAGCGACGCCTGTAGCGTGATGAATGAGGCGTATTGTCTACAGTGATACCTCCAGGAGGTCTGCAAGCAAGGCATAGTAGGCGCCAACAAGGAGAGGGATGAGTGTAATCAAGGCGAGAGTGCCCCCTCGAAACCCTGCTTCCGCGGTTTTGGAAAATATAATGCTAAGAGAGAACATAGATACAATGAAACTGATACAAAAGAAATTAATTGCAATGAAAGTGGTCTATAGATCCACGCCTGCTCGGCCCTATGACCCGAAGAATCGATGATAGCGAAGGAGGTATGGATATGTGAGATGTTTGGATACGAGGACCGACAAGTACCCCACGAATGGAACAACGCACGGGTGAAGACGATTAAGAAGCAAGAGAAAGATGATGCCGCCTACAGTGATTGCGCATGCTGGAATAATATCCATGATAGAGACAGAAGACCCGAGACCTGAATAACTGTGGTGACTAGGAGAGGTGATAGGGATGATCGAAGAAAGGGGAGATAGAGATGGAGAGAGGGAGAAGGGAAAAGGGAGGCTCGGGGGGAGGGGGGCGGAAGAGAGAAAAGGAAGGAGAAGAGAAAGCAAAGGAGCAGAAGGGCGAGAGAAAGCAAAGGAGAAAAGAGAGCACAAAAGAGAGGAGACCGATCAGTAGCAGAATCATGACTCACAATTGTGCTCTTAGACAGGAACAAATGGGATGATAAGAATAGAACAAAGTCGGAGACGCCCTCGAGTTATGTGCAGACCATCAGGACAAAGAAAGGTCACCGTATCCGACCCCATGTAACTTGAGGTCTCTGAACTGAGATAGTACTATACCGACAGATGTAATTTCAACGACAGTCAGAATTGGTGAGCGACGGTCCAGGCTGACTGCCCTCAGAAACTGGCTGTTGAATGATTATTCGGTTGTTAGTGTGAGGAAATTCCGCACGTTGTCATCCACTTTCTGATGGAGGATGATGACCTAGGCTGGTCATCAAAACCTACCACCATAGTTTTGTAATCGTCGGCGTAGCCCCCCCCCCCCCCCCCCCACCTCCCTCCTTCCCCCATTATACCTACCAACCCCCCCTCTGGCGACTAAACTATTCCACTGATTACCACGGGGTGGGTTGGTAGGGTAGGTGGGGGGGCTACGCTGACGATTAAGCTGACTCCCGCTGAGTCTAGGGCTTTGCTCTGTCCCATAAAAGAGCCAAATATAGCGTGTGCTCTCGAATGGCGCAGTCGCAGCATTGCACGTGATGTCGCTGCTGCGCATGCTTAATCCTGCTGCTTCTCCTGCCGAAACAAGGACTCAAAGTGTAGTACAGCTATTCTTCAGTTTGGCGTGATTTTTCGGTAAATAACGCTGTACTTTTCAACTTACTATAACTTTATTAAAAGTAGGGTAAACTTTATAAAAAAAAACATAAAAGGAAAGAGCTAGATTAGGGCTTTAATTTATATAAATTTTAATATGTTTATTAGTATCGTACTAGTAAACAAATAACAAGTATATATCGATATACGTTAAAATCTAAAGTTCAGTTTAAAAGTATTTAAAAGTGTATATTATAAAGAGTATCTAAGGGTTAGAATATATACTACCTCATAAATAACCCCTAGTTTATATCTAAAAAGGGTCTATCTCTTAACTAAGATTACTTATACTCCTTAATTTCCTCTTATATTTCTATAGTAAAAGTCTATAGACTAATACTAGTAAAACTTCTTTTAAAAACAAAAGGTTTCTAATAAATATAAAGGAAATAAAAGAGAGAACATAAATATAATAAAAAGAACTAAAGATATAATAAAGTAATAAATATCTAACCTATATATATTAGTAGCTAAAATATCTCTAGTTACTATCTAAAAGTACTTCTCCTATTATATAAAGATATAAACAAATTATAATCTATAACTAAACTATATCTTAAA